TGGCATGAATGAGACAATCCATGAATGGCAAATACCACATGTGGGTGAATTAGCTCCTTTTAAAAAAGACATAAAAAGAGATCTATCTTATGATATACAAATATGCTGTCGAAATAATTAAAGTACCTTAGAAGATAAAGACAATCTTCTTGCTGCAGCAATTTGATCATCTTTTGTTGGAGTGCTTCCAGATCCTGATGCTGCACAGGAAATATGTTGAGCTTTCGAGTGATCATGGATAATGGTTCTCAAATCAGAAAAAAAACAGGAGACGTGGCAAAGCTTGAAGCAGATAATGTGCACTACAAATACATCATTATGAACAATAAAATGCATGGATATTGATTTTGTGTTTTTGGTTACCTCCTTCATCAGATGAAAGCCGACTGCGCAGATACTTTAATAATGCTGTTGTTGGTCCAGAAACCAAGGAACTGGTAACCAAAATGGAACACTGTATTATTATGTTGGCAGTTCTGTTTAGAATCCTGACAACCTCTTTGTGAAAAACTAGGACAATGGCATGGGCATCATACCTCCGAAGTGTCCTCATAGGATTACCAGTAAGCAGAAGCTTTCTTAGGGTTGTCATAGTACCTTGAATATAGCATGCCGAAGCATATGTGAGTGTCCATAGTTTCGAAAGTTCATTAAGATAGTAGCACACTTGCATAGAGCATGCTAAGTTTTCAAAGCAGATACCCCATGGAAAAAAAGAATCAGCCCTATGATCTATCCAACACATAGAGATGCATGCAATCATTTCATATCATAAAATTTCAGCTAACCAAATAGGAAAATAACAAAAGTGGCATCATCGAGAGGAGCATTGCACAGCAGAAAAACCAACCTAGTTCAGCAGGCAGACCAGATAATGAGTTGTTTGATAGATCAAGGAAAGAGAGCTTGAGTCTACAAGCCCCGACAGGATACTCCTTTAGCTGGAAAAGTGACATATTATCAGAAAATAATAAAAAAAACAGAAATGAACTTATTTCTTCTGTAATGTTCTGTTAATTCTAGCAGGATTGGTTGCAGAAGTTAAGCTCAATGTTACAACATGAGAAGTTTGTTGTTGTCTAATAAAGTGGTTTTGGGGATCAATATTTACATCAAATATTCTGAACAACACTGTTCCACCATTCCTTCCGAACATGTAAGTAACTGAGTTAATAAGAACTCAAAATATATCATAGCGCCATCCCTCTAACAAAACAGACAGGATTAGACAAGCCTATAGATGGTGGGAGTGACTATGGTAAATCACATGCAGTTTACATACACTATTAATGAAGCTCTTGGGATTTGGGAAGTGGGAAAATGTTAAGGGAGCGAAACATTCATGAAATTTTCTGGACTGGAGTGTATCCTAGCCATCCCGAGATGATCCTTTTTTCTCAAAAACCATCCCAAGATAGTCATAAGCAAAAAAGCCTCATGTTAGAATAAACAAATGATGTACTAAAATTTTGAGCCACACAGCTACAGATTTGATGTCCCAGCAACAAAGAAATCAAATCAAGAGCCTTTCTCCCAGTATCTTCAGATTTTAAAATGGTGCAGAATAACAAGAGTCAGGGGAATAATAGACTATTAAATTGGCAGTATCTGTGAAAATAAATGGAGTAAGACCTGGTTAGAGTGTAGATCAAGTATTCCCAAGTTCGATAGCATGCCAATATCCTCTGGTATGGATGTCAACAAGTTATTTCTGGAACATAAAAGTACAAATAGAGTGAACTTGTGCTGTTTAAAAATAAGAGCATGGTAAAGAAGTTTGTCCAAAATAGATAACCAACCCCATATAAAACTCTGCTAGAGAAGAGCAATCTTTTATGGAAGGAGGAATCAGGGTTATTTCTACATAACAAAAGTAGAAAGCCATCAATACAGATAAAAATGAATAATAAAGAGCTAGCATATGCGATAGTATGGTAGACTAACTGTTCTGATGCAGGTCCAGACGAATTAGCTTTGACAGTGCACCAATACCATCCGGGATGGCTGTCAGTAGATTCTTTGCTGTACAGGTTTGAATGTTAATCTCAGGTAGAAACTCAAGGATATCACATAGGTTCGACATTATTTTTGGTACTGTGGCTGTGTGGCATACCAGCATTCATCTCTGTAAGCATTGTCCATGACATAAACATCTTGTCTGATAGCGTCACGAGCTTGTTACCCTGACATTTTGCAGTAATTGGAGTTTTCAAGAACAAAAGAAATGCAGCACGAAAATATGATAAATCCAGCTTTGACATTCTCTATAAGGAGTATATACCTCTAGATTCAATCTGAATAACTTGGAACAGCCAGCAAGTTCATCTGGCAGTACGGATATAGTGTTGTTTGACGCCTACAGGTAGGGCATTACATTATATTTAGGACAGAGGATGAAGAGGGAAGCTATAAAGATGAGCTGTATATATCTTCATCAAACAAAGAAACCTTATGGAGAAAATAAGGAATACATCGATGGTGGCTTACATTGAGTTCTGACAACTCCAGGCATCTGGCAAGACTAACTGGGAGATCTGTAAGGCAATTATTTGAGCAGTCAACCCTGGCAACAACAATGCATCAACTTACATGAATATAATCATACATAGTCTCAAACATTGCTTCTTGTATTTAGGCGTCATACTAATTGTCAACATCATAACATCTAAAATATGTGACAGATGGTTTTAGAAATATGAATAGCCAAATTTTGAGCTTGTTTTAACAGTACATTAATGAAATCAATTAGAAAAGGGACATAGAAGACATACTTGACTAAAGCGGTCGCAAAACCAATCTCTTCGGGAAAAGCGTTTATTTGATTAGAAGATACATCCAACGATTTTAGCAAAGGAAGGCTGCATGGAAAAGAGCCATAAAAAAGTTCAGATGATATTAGTGGTCCACGGTTAACAATGGAAATTACTCCCTCCTGTCACAAAAACCATGCCTGCAAACTTGACCAGTAATCTCTATCGAAAAACAGTTGAAAATCTTGATAGAATGATAATATTATGAAACTGGTTTTGAAGGCAGTGACTTCAAACATGTCCACAAACGATATGTTTCCATGACCGGAGGGAGTAGTAAATAAGGATAGTCCAGTACATACTCTCCAATAGCTGCGGGGAGGGAAGAAATATTGTTGTGACTAATGTTTAATACAACGAGCGAAGACAAATTTCTGAGGTCTTCACGCAACACCTCAAGGTTGTTATGAGCCAATATGAGCTTCTGAAGGTCAACTCCCTGAATTACAAAAGGAAAAAAACAGAAACAGAAACAAATTTGATTGGCGTTGCTTGATATCCCTTGTTTATGCAGCATGTAGGGAAATAGTCATACAGGAAGGGGGCGAATCGATTTACCTCCCACCATTTCTCATCCTGAGCCCCCGTGTCCAAGTTGTTGTACACCTCCTTGGGTACCTCCCTGGCAGAACAGGCAGAGGTGTGGCGTCAGCGAGACATCAAGAACAAGAAGAGCGAAGCTGTGTGCGCGCGCGCTGGAATCGATTAACCCATGGTCCCCTAGTACACCGGCCATAATCAGACAATGCAATGCAGTAAACTGATGTGAGAAGCAGGTGAAGGCGTCATGGCGGGAAGGGATTGGATTGCGTCGCGTCCGAGCAGTGGGCGGCGGCTACAGACTAGGAGAGATCATCGTCCATGTCGCCGATGGCGATCCAACCGAGCGAGCAGAGAGAGACAATGCACCTGAGGGATCGATTGGAGAGGTTGAGGGAGCCCGACTCCCTGGCGGATTTGAGCACCCGCTCCATGCAAGCAGAAGCAAGCAGCCTCCGGCCTCAGATCGCCATCGCCGGAGACCTGATCTGATCTGCTGCACCAGCAGGCAGAGGCAGCACGAGCCTACCCACGAAGAAGACTAGAAGAGAGATCATCAACTTAGCAAGGACGGAGAGCTCAAACAAATCGAGATGAGATCTTGTTTTCTTTTTTTTTTCTTTTTCTCCTCTCTTCTTTGGCCACACACACAATGGAGCGAGAAATTAATTAAATTAAAAGGAAAAAAAAACAGTATTAGTCAGGCCCACTAATCCTGTTGGGCCAAAATCAACATTGAGGCCCAACGTCTATGTGATTTGGACCTTGGGGTGAACAAATCAAGGAATAAGTTCACTTTAGGTTCCTTAATATGTCGGCAAGTCTAAAATTCATCCTGTATTCTGAAAAAAAAAGTTACTTTAAAACAATCATATTAATACATTTTTACTTTTTACTAATATTCAATTAATCACGTGCTAATGGATAACACTGTTTTTTGTGTTGAAGTACTTTCCCAACTTCTACAGAGTTTTCTATAGAAAAGTTATTTTTGAAAAATATATTAATCTATTTTTCAAGGTTTTTAATACTTAATTAATCATATTCTAATAGATTTCGTGACGCACTTTCTCAACTGTTACTCCCTCGACTTCCTCACGTACCCTTCCTAAACGATTAAACGGTGCGGTTTTTACACAAATTTTCTATTAAAAAGGTTCTTTTAAAAATCATATTAATTTTTTTTAAAAAAATTTAAACTAGTACTACATCCGTTTCAGGTTATAAGACTTTATAGCATTGCACATATTTATATAGATGTTAATGAATCTAGGCACACATATATATGAATGTAAACAATGCTATAAAGTCTTATAATATGAAACGGAGGAATTACTTAATTAATCCCAAGCTAATGGATAACACCGTTATTGGTGTGGAACGCAGACAACCGCAGAGGCAGCTCGTCCAATGAAGTGTACTACATACAAGTATACAACATCATAATTTCTCCCCAAAACAGTTATTTCTCCGATGCAACATTTGCAGGTATACCATCTCTTTTTTTGCATACGTGCACAATGCTGGTGCACATTATACATAACACAAGCTGGTTCCACGATGCTACTTGACAAAAGCAAAGAACAAAACAAGAGTTTAAACACACCGAAACAGGTAAAATGGTCTTTAATTATTGATTTTCAAATCGAACTAAGACCGGAAATGAATGACATCCGGGCAGCCGATTCCCAATCCCTCTGCAATAATCTGATTCTTGAGCAACTCCCTCTTCTCCATCGTACACGGATATCTTGACGGGGAAACCTTCATCTTGATCTTAGGATCCAGATCACCGCAATTCTCACAGACCTTCCTGTCATATAGGGATACCTCCTCTAGATTAACTGCCACTTCCATCACACGCCTAACGAATCCCACCAAGTTGTCGTCGGGTTGGAAGCCATAGATGGTGACCTTAGATAGGTTCTCGTGCCTGAAACCATCAGGTGCAGATGATTCCCAATCTACAACTGTTTTGTCACCATAACCCTCCTCCCTCCTGTCCTCTTCAGTTTTCATGTTGCACCAACGATCCCATATTGTAATGCATATCTCCTTTAGGGAGGGTGCAGCTTCAAGAATGAACATTGTCCAATCAATGTTGCATCCTTCAGGAACATCAACGAGACTCACACGCTGCAGCTTGTGGAACACAGGCCCTAGTAGCTTTGGGCATTCTGGACGAACCCAAATCTGCAACATGAGGGTAACCTAAATTAATTCAGAATGCTTACACGCTTCAGAATTAATATGCTTTTTGGTTTTATTTCTCTATTTTGGGCTTTATTCTAAAGCCAGATCAGTAAGGTTGATCTTCCATGTAAACAAATACTCCCTCCGTATTTTAATGCATGACACCGTTGACTTTTTAATCAACATTTGACAATTCGTCTTATTCAAAATTTTTGTGTAAATATAAAAATATTTATATAATGCTTAAAGAACATTTGATAATAAATCAAGTCACGATAAAATAAATGATAATAACATAATTTTTTTAAATAAAACGAATGGTCAAATGTTAATTAAAAAGTCAACATCGTTATACATTAAAATACGGAGGGAGTATGAAACAAAGCGTAAGCATAAAAATGACCGGAACAGCAAGCAGCTAGCTAGTACCTTTTCGCTTTCAAAATTCAGGAGCAGGTCGCTTATGGAGGTGACGGTAGAAAGGAGCTGACTCAACTAGTGAGGCTTAGACTTGAAAGCAGTGGGACATCCCCAAAAGACAAGGGGTCCCCGTGACAGTCCCAATGAACATAGGCCATATGTCTAAGCTTTGGTAGGCACTTGAGCTCAACAAACTCAAAATCCCCATAGTTGATGTCAAGCTCAACAAGTTGCGGGTGCTCTATCCGCAGCACGGCCGGGTCATCTTGGTTGAGACAAGAGAACAAACGCAGATGCTTCAACTGTTTACATGTGGTGAGCAGGTTGGGGATGTCAGGTTCAGCGAAATGCAAGTGTTGTAGCTGCAGGCGTGTGAGGCCAGCAAACGCATCTGGAAAAGCAGCTAGAAAAGTTCTGAACTGCTTGCCAAAGCAGAGCATGTGAGTTTCTTCGCAACAGCCTCCTTGCTTCTCGGTTAGGATTGTGAACTCAAGAGTCTCGAGGTTGTAGGTGGACATGGCGTGTTGCACAGCTTTGCCGATGGTGAGGCAATCATAGTATCTCAAGTAGAATCGCAAGCTAAGTTGGCGAAGGGCGATCTGTTGACTCCTGAAGTTGAGTAATTTCTCTGTTGCACCAGCTAAAGCCTCATTCATCTGAACCACATCACTCAGTGTCAAAAGATCGGGTGCAATCTTATTGGGCGTGAAGGAATTGGCATCAACAACAATGCGGGAGAGCTCGGCAGGGAGCTTAGTCATCCTTTTGCAAAGGGTGCAAGCTCTGATGTCATCAGCCGTGTCCAGCCGCTCAAGAATGTTGAGAAGAACGTCATTAGGCAGAGTGGTGAGCCTATCCTTATCCTTTACAGAGTGGCAAGCTGGTTTCTACATTGAATTATCATTGCATTGCATTTAGTATTGCCGAAAAACTAAACTAACAAAGTGTAGGAGAATCAATCAAATCAATGCGAAGGAAGAGAAGAAAGAGGCTACTTACATTGCGGCGACCTTTCTTGTTCTTCGCCATTTGATACGAGGCTTATCAATATTGACTTGACTTGTTGTACAAGTGTCGGTGGGTGTTGTTTGGATACCGGGAACACCTCGCCTCTCTATCTATTTTATTTAGTTTAGAGAAAGAGAAATAAATAGGAATCCTATTCCAACAAACTGATTGCTTCTGGACCTCCTGCCGGCACCCAAACACAAACGAAATTGTTGTTGGAAGTCGATTCTATTTCGAAGAGACCTTTTACGGTGCTTGAAAGGTACCCAAGGTACCTCTCCTCAACTTAAACATCCACCGTTGATTCTCAAAGAGTATATTAGGAATTGGATTAACATAAATATGGGCAGTTTAGTAATTTTTCTTTAGCCATCGTGATTAACTGTTCTTTATCTTTGGTTATATCTTCCTGCAAGCTTGCACACATACCCCGACCTTCTTTTCACTGAGTTTTGAACGCTATATGATGGATGACTCCAATTTCAAAACTAGAATTTATACGTCCATCCATCTCTATTGTCTTTAGAAAGTAATCCATACAAAGAGATGGAGGGACATCGATCAATTTTTCATTTAGAAGTCTTTACAATCACTTGCAAATCTCATGTATATATATGGAAAGACGCGCGAATCAATTACCTAGTTCTAATCATCAATTATGTGGTCTTCAATTAGCATGTAGTTATACGATCTGCAAACACTAATCAAGTACTCCTAGGCATGTGCATTGGCACCAACGGACTGAAGACGTTATTGTCTCTCCGCGCTCCGGCCGGACCAAATTACATATCTAACATTTATGAAATATATAAACCAAATTACATATCTAACCTTTTCCTAGTAATACCTGGCCCACACTTTTAAGTATCTTTTCATAGGTACCTTCTACTGTGAATCGTTAGATTGGAAGTCATCAACGGATTTGGTGCACTCCAAGCACGGTAGAAAATCTACATAGCAAGTGGCGGCGCTCACCCCTCGAACTCCAAGGGACGTGGATGGGGATGGGTTGGGCTCAGTCTCCTTGCCTTTGGCCCAACACAATTAGTCGGCCTGCTGCCCAATAGAATCATCCGATCCGACGACAGGCGGCCGGGCCGACGTCCTCCTGCTCCGCCTCTTCAATTCACGCGCCACCATGTCGCGTCGCCGCCTGCCGGCTTCCGCGCTCGCCTAGCCGTACCCTGTTGTATTTACTTGTGATTCTTGTGATTTTGGATGTCCGGACTGTAAGAAGTATAATTTCTAATAAAATCCATCGCATTCGTCCCGGACACCCTGTCGTACCAGCCATTGGTTCTCCTCTCCCTCCCGTTCATGGAACGTGAGCGAAACCCTCTTCTTCCACGGGCAGTGAGCCCCGTTTGCCTACCACGCGCACGGCTGGATTCGAGGAAAAGGTGCCAACCCAAGTCGAAATATCAGCAAGTCGAGTTGAGTTCGTGTTCTAACTACAACCGTATCTAGTCAGAGCTTCTTTTTCTTCATGCATAACACTCGAGCCGTCAGGCAGGCAGGAGGTCGATCAAGCAACAACAGAGCAGGCATGCAGGATCACCCGCATCGCCCGATGAAGAATAAGAAATTAAGGTCACCGCCGCCACAACAACGTAAGCTAGCTGCCCTCTTCCTTCCTTCGAGTTGATTTGTTTGATTTTCGGCGACCTATACTATATCTGAATGCAATATTGCAACGGTAAATTGGTGATGCAACGTAGAAACCAGCTTGCAACCCCGTATAGAAGGATGATAGGCTCACCACCATGCCTAATAATGTTCACTCAACATCCTCGAGAGGCTAGACATGGGTGATGCCATAAGAACTTGCATCCTGTGCCAAGGATGCTAAGCTCCCTGCCGAGCTCCCCCGCATTGCTGTTCATGTCAATTCCTTATGACACTAGGTGAAACATCGCGCGTGCTGATGTGAGAGTTTACTATGATAACAATAAGTAAAAGTTGTTGGAATTAATGAATGGGCCTTAGCCCACTCGAAGATTAATTCTTTGGAAAAATCACAAAAGCCCACCTCATGGGATGGCATGCATGTGGAGTTTAGTACCACCTTGCTTATTCTAGGAGAGGGGGACCTCCTTAAAAGGAAGGATGCCCTCCTAGCCACTTGAAGCATGTGTGGTGGAGAGAAGAGGGGAAACACACGCGCGCGCTCGCTCGCCTCGCCGGGCCGGGTCGGCGGCGCGCGTGCACGACGTACGCGTCGAATGGTCCGACGAAAAATTGGCTCCTCACCCTTGCGCAGATGCAGCCTCCTTTTGCAGTTTTGTTTTGCTGCAAATTCGGATTAGTTTTGTTTTGCTGCAAATTCGGATTCGTTTTTGTTTTGGAAACGTTCCGAAAAATCCGGTGCGTGCAAACGGCGTGGAGTCCGGATAAGTTACGCGCGACTTATCCGGTTCGGTTACGCGCAGTAGAGATCGTGCGGGCGCCCTGATCAAGCGACCCTTCTCTATATAAACCGACTTGCCGTCTTCACGCAACACTTGCGAAAACAATCTAGGGTTTGTCTCCTACTCTGTACTGCGCCGTCGCTCGTAGACTACTCCATCCCGCTCGCCGGCGTGCACCGGCGATCGGGAGAGCAGGTCTCCGGAACCTCTGTCTTCGACGTTCTGCACCGGGAGAAGGCGGCAATAAGGTTTTTGGGAAGCGCTTCGCGCGACTGCTCCCTGTTCGTTCGCGACGGCTCGCCTTCCTCTTCGCTCGCGTGTTTCGTGCCTTCGTAGACACCTGCGAAAAGTTTCGACCAAGCAACCGGTCTTTCCGTCACCTCGGTACGTGTTCAATATGTTGCGCATATTTGATCTGTTCATGTTATACTGTGTAGTTTACATGTATAGATCTAATGATGCGTTCATGCTAGTTTTCATCTGTAATGTCATGATTTATTTATGGAATAGATTAAATCATTATATGTCTATAATCTCAACAAAAGTAATGTGTAAGATAGCTTAAACAACATTTGTTTACATAAGTTGATGTGATTTAAATTTAAATAGTACGTAGAATAATGATTCAAATATAAAACTAAGATGATGTGGCTTTACAGAGAACAAATTAAAATACGAAAGATAATTTAGACCATATGTCTAAGAGCTAAAAAAAATTGAGATGATGTTGCTTGATGAGAGAAGAAAAGAAGAAAGATAATTTGAACCATAGATTAATCATCTAAGGACTAAAAGCAATTTATGTAATATGACTTAATAAGAGAAAAGAAAAATAATATGAACTAAGTGAGTATGAACTATATAGATATATAGCATATTATAAAAAAAATGATGGAGAGATATATTAAAATATTATGTGGGTTTGATTTAACATGCTTACATTTTAAATCTCTAAAATTTAATAAATTATTAAATTATAGATAATATAACATGTTTGCATGATGCTTACATGTACCAGTTGACAGCGAGACGTCTGTGGTGACTTCGTCAATCTCAAGAATATGTCGGCCCAGTCTTCGAAGATGCTCATAGGGGTAGGGTTTGCGTGCGTGCGTTCATATGGGTGAGTGTGCGTGCGTTGCACTGAGTAATTCTCAAAAAAAATTGTTAGTGGATGATGATGTGACATCTTTGCATGTTAAGTTTTAGGAATTAGTAGGTTATAACTATATAGTAAGAGATGATTAAGTGGTGTGGTTCGGATGAATGACGTCGTGGCTAATGCAATAGACAAACTTCTCAACTCCAGGAGTCAACATATCATCCTTCGTCAACTTAGCTTGCGATTCTACCTGGGGTACTACGGTTGTCTTACCATCGGAAAAGCACTGCAACAAGCCATGTCCACATGCAATCTCAAAACTGCGAGTTCACAATCCTACCAGAGAAGGAATGAGACCCCTGTGAAGAAACGAACATGCTCTACATTTTTTTTGTGGAGGCTAACTTGTTTTCCTTGTTTCTGTTCCTGTTGTCGGCATAAATATAAATTAGCTGATTCCTGTAGGAACATAACCTCGGCATGGTGTTTCAGCATCACAGGCCAAACGACGGAGCCCTGCAATATTGAACGATGTCCAATATGATGCTTAAGATGAAAGCGTTGCTTGTGCATTTAATTGAAATAAGCATACAAGTTAGTTTTGTGTGTTTGTACTTCAAAGCCAGAAGTTTGTATGTTGGTAACAAACAATATAATCCGTCGATGGGATTGATGCAATGGCGTTACCAACAATAGAATTCGTCAATGACCGCGATGTGATGGTCTCAAATAATACCCAAGGTAAACACTAAAGCTAGGAGGCAGAAAGGTTCCATGGGCCGGTGCAAGCCAAAATCCCTACAAAGCATTCAAGCGAGATACTAGGTGTCCACCGAGTTCACAGTCCTAACTATGAAGTGAAACTGCTGAGCTCACAATCCTAACTGAAAAGCAAAACTACTCAGCTCACAATCCTAACTGAGAAGCAAACAGACCGTTATGAGAAACTGACATGCTCTAAACTCAAGAAAATGATAATACATTTACCATATGAGTCTTTAACGACACATATCACCTTCTCCAACCACGACATTGACAATTGCATTCATGTTGATCATCTGAGGACTATAGCTTTGATCAAACACCATTAGTCCTCTCTAATCGCAAGCAATCTCATGCATGGAAGTCATGTGGAGAACTTGATGAAGGAAGCCTGGAGCAAGATTGAAGGTGAACTAGTAGGATGGTTGCCATGACCAAGGTCGAGCATATGACGTGGATGAAGGAAATGATAAGTTTAGATGATGAAGGAACAATTAAGGTCATTGTGGGTATTTGACATCATGTTTTTGGTAAACAAATATAAAAAAAGGAAACATGACAATTTTGGATGGAATGATATTTCAATACTATGAACCAATTCTAATCTAACAAGGAGGAAACCTACATAACAATAAGATCAATGCTATAGAACTAAAATTGTGATATCTGAATGCTACAAAATCAAATTTGTTAAACTTTTAATGATTTTAGACATTGTACAAGTTTGTGAAATTGTTCCTTAGTTTGTAGCCTTTCACAAACAACAACTTTGTGGCTCTAAAACTATTCTATTACATGTGTCCATGAAAATTGTGTTTTGTATAGATTGGAGATATTCATTAGGTGAAAGATATATTTATATACAATATTTAGAAGCAGATAAAAATGTTGTTGTTCCAAGATAATTGATAATGGATATATATTTGGTTTTGGTATACTATGTGACACATGACAAAAATCCAACTGCTGAGTGTCACTATAAATTATTCCATTTACCATATGAAGTCACTTGACATTAAAATCGTCATATGATCTATTAAGGACCCAAGTAGATACATTATCAAAACAATTGAATGACTATATATTTTTTTTCTAAATTGGTCGGGTTCAACTTATCTTTATTTATCTCATACTAATATTATAGGTTTTATATAAAGTAAATTGCATCAGTAGTACAAGAACTTGGCAGGTGGGTGCGATTTAGTGCAACAACTTGAAAAATGTGCAGGCCGGTACATGAACTTGGCAATCAAGTGCATTTTGGTCAAAACGCTGTTACATATAAATGATTCAACATATTTTGTTTCTTCTATTATATTTGTTTCTTCTATTATAAGCATACTACTAGATTATTGGTCATGAGTACAATTGAATATGTTTGACTAATAAAATCACTTGGAAATTATGTTACAACCATTTTTATGCACTTAGTTTTAACGATTATTATATTTTTCGGTTTCAAATGACATACTATTTTTTAGTTTTAACGATCATTATATTTTTCGGTTTCAAATCAACATGCTACTTTTTATTATAAGCAAGCAAACTTGGACCATGATAGACGTCATTTTGATGGGTAGACAAACCTGGACCTTATGTTATGTTGCCATTTTGATTACTGTATCTCACTGAGTAGGCAACTATGATGGAGTATAATCTAATTTCTGTCGTGCTTTTTCTTTGGTTACTGTCCAATAATACTTTTTTTATTTATGTTGCAGTAAATTTTTCTTTGGTTAGTAATTCAATAATAAATGTCAAATAATACTTTTTTGTATTTATGTTGTAGTAAATTTTTCTTTGGTTAATAATTCAATAATAAACTTTAACGGTAAACAACTCAAGTAAAAGCTCAGCCTGTTCATACGCTGGTTGGGTTGGTTTAGTTGGTTCCGCAGCCGAACCAGCAACTGGATGGTTTTAGCCGGTTTGGGCTGGTTCTAGCAAATTTGAGGGATGCTGAGTTGGTGGGTTGGTTTGGGTGGTTGACCGGTTTAGACGGTTTGAGCCCGTTTAAATTGTTTATTAGAACTGCACAACTACACTAGCTACTACGATAGCTCTTATATCCACACTTTTATAATCTATCCTGAAAATTGAGAAGGAAGAAGCAATTGGCACTAAACTCGCAATGCAATGACCAATATATATACCTCATTTGCATGAAAGTTCTTGTCTAATGCTCTCTGTTTTGTACCAATCAATTCTGATACAACAGAAGGTTCAACCTCTAACACTGGCCATCCAGAATATTAAGATTTCTTTCACATACACAGATGAGCTGAGTTGGAGATTGGTTCATGGTTTACCTGAAAGTGTGAGAGGATGGAGCACCCGCTGCAATGCTGCACTAGGTTCGCCGCCTAGAGATCCGTCGCAAGGTTGCCTACCAGGGAGGCAGGAACAGCTTCCCTGAGCCCAATTTCTACCGCGCCGCCGCCGCCGCACGCTCGCACGAGGGTTTCGATGGGAGTATCAAATTGGGATGGGTTATATAGTTTCGCTGGTTCTATCTCTCCCTGAACACAACCCATGTGATGCTTTAATAGTTTTGACCTAAAAACCGATGAAGCTGGTAAAATCGCTAAGAACGGGTTGGTCCAGTTTGGGTTCGCGATTTGTGCTGAGTTCGCTTGACCTGTGAACAGGCTGAGTAAAAGCCATATCACAATTTCCTGGTAAAATGCTAGAATCTTGGCCACTGCTTCACAATTCTGTACACTCCTATTCATGTCCAAACATTCATGTTGTGTTTTAATTGTTGTTGTTGTTGCTGATTTAATTTTGTCCTTGAATTTGGTGTGTTTTAATTGTTGTTGCTGTTACTGATTTAATTTTGTCCTTGAATCTATTTGTAGAGGAGATGCTCAACCTGGGGGGCCTTTCTTCAAAGGCAAAGGCCTGGGAGAAGCGAGGTTAGTCACTTATTCAGTTCCTGCTTATTTTCCTTTTAATGGTCACATGTTTTCTGCCCTCACCGCCCTTTATCCGCTATCCGCAGTGAAGAAGCTGAACATCAGTAACAATGGTGTGTACCCGGCGGCATCCGCGAAGAAGCACAGGAGTAGCGAGATGTTGAGAACTCTGTCGTTAGGAGTAGCGAGATGTTGAGAACTCTCATTAGGAGTAGCGAGAGATACTCTGTTCCTGACTATTGATGTTGAGAACTCTGTCATTAGGAGTAGCGAGATGTTGAGAACTCTGTCATTAGGAGTAGTGAGATGTTGAGAACTCTCGAGATGTTGAGAACTCTCATTAGGAGTAGCGAGAATACTCTGTCCCTGATTGTTGATGTTGAGAACTCTGTCATTAGGAGTAGCGAGATGTTGAGAACTCTATCATTAGGAGTAGCGAGAGATACTCTGTCCCTGGCCATAAATAGTCGTTGAGAACTCTATCGGTCTAATAAGACCTTATATCTTCTGCTGCAGTATCAGCTATTTATGTGACGTCTCATTGTTGGTTTGCTTGAGAAATGAGAACTAGTTATTTAAATGTCAGTTTTGCTTGGCTTGAGTTCATTTCAGCTTTGCCCGGTGCTGCTGCTGTAGGCATGTAGGAGCATGCAGGAGGAGCTAGAGGTGTTATTCTGTTATGCGGTGTTATTCTGTTAAGCTTTTATATATATATATATATATATATATATATATATATATATATATATATATATATATATATATATAAAAGAAAATCGAGAAGGTGTTTTAGAGTAAGGTCAATAAAAAAGCCCGCTATTGGTTGTGATAAGTGAACATGTCGCCTATAGTAAGCGTTATAGCTAAGACATACAATAGAGATATCATATACTTGTAACATAAATATTTTATTGTTTTACGGGCCCACCATCTTCTCCTCTTCTCCTTCTTCTCATCCTTACATGGACGCCTCTTCTCATCCTTACACGGACGCCGGCAACGGAGAAGGTGGCGGTGAACATGGGTGACAACGATGGCTGTGAATGCGGACGAGGGCGGCGGCGACCGCTGTGGACAAGGGGAGGGTGATGGCGTTGATGGACAAGGGCGACGTTGTCGACAGCCACGGCGGCCGCAGACTAGGACGACGTCCGCCGTGGACGAGGACGGCGGGACGAGTGCAGGCAACGGCGACGGCTGCGGTGGACGAGGACGGCGACCGCGGGCGTGGACGAGGACAACCGCGGAGGACGAGGACAGCGCGACGGATGCGAGCGACGGCGGCAAACGCGAGTGATGATGGTGGGGCGGACATGAGGGACGAGGACGGCGACCGCTTGCGAGGATGGCGGGACGGCCGCGGGCGATGGCGGTGGTTGTCGTAGAAGAGGACGGCGGGAGGGACATGGGCCATCGCGCGAAGGACGAGGACGGCGACCGCGGGCGAGGATGGTGGGACAGCCGCAGGCGATGGCGGCGGCCGCCGAGGACGATGACGATCAAGGAAAACGGTGACGGCGATTGCAGCCGAGGACAAGGACGGGCGGCTGCCATGGCTGCGGGCGAGGGTGGCGGTACGGTGGCGGCCGAGGAAGATGGCGACGATGGTGGCTGGGGAAGACGGCGACGATGACGACACGAAAGACGAAGAAGGCGGCTGCGGCCGAGGACGAGGACGGGCGGCCGTGGGCTGCGGGCGAGGGTGGCGGGACGGTGGCGGTCGCGGAAGACGGCGGCGGCGGCGGCCGGGGAAGACGGCGACGGCGGCGGCCGGGGAAGACGGGAACGGCGGCGGCCGGGAAAGATGGCGACGATGGCGACGCGGAAGACGGCGATAATGGCGAAGCGGAAGGACGCGTGGAGGCACGGGCGCTGCTTGCGCTACCATCGCGGCGGGCCCACGTCTCGGGCCACGCATATCGCCCGGCGGTTAATTAGTCGCCCGCCGGCTCTCTCTCTCTTCCAGATCAGCAAAAAAAAAATCCTACGTGAACCTCCTAACGCTCATTATTGTACAGTAGAGTTTTCAAAACACCCGCATTTTGTAGCAAGGGTATACGAAATGTTGCAAGGAGGCAGGAATGTGTGTGCCCACGGTTTTGAGTTTGAGAGACGAAACCACGGGCCGCGGACCAAACTCCAGCCTCCTCCACACGAGCCTCAGCCCAGTAGTGATACTGACCTGACTTGCTTCCCTTCCTCCGAATCGAGACACGTCGCCATCGTCGTCGTCTTCCACCCGCTGCTCGTTTCCTCGTCGCGTCGCGCGGGAGATCTCTCTCTCTCCCTCCCTTCCATTAAGGTAATCAATCAACCATGGCGCCCTCCCGCCCGCTCATGCGCGGGATCCGCCCGCCGCGCGTCTTCCCCACCCGCGGCGGCCGCACCTCGCCCTTGGCCCTCGCCCTCGCCGCCCTCCTCCTCGCCTCCGCCTTGCTCCTCGCCCTCATCGCCTTCGGCGTCTTCTCCCTCCCGGTCTCCGCCCCCAACGCCGCCACCACCGACTCCGCCGCCGCCGGGGGAGACGCCGAGCCCGCCGATCCACGGCCCCCGCGCACCCGCGCCCGCCGCGACCTTAGGTAAGGGGCCGGGTTCCCCCCCCTCCCCCTGCTGCCATAATATCTCCAGATTTGCTTCCTCCTTCGATCTGCCGCTGCTAACCGTTTCTCTCTTGGTTTCTCTGGAGCAGCGAGGGCCTTGGGGAACGAGGAGCACAATGGACGGAAGTCATATCATGGGAGCCCAGGGCTTTCGTCTATCACAATTTCCTGGTAAAATAATCTGCTCTCTACACTTGTTCATTCATCTGCATCCTCTCCTCGCATACCGGGATGGCAACAACAATGGTGTTCACTGAATGCATGTTATGAGAATGGAATGATAGTACTGATAGTTCACGCTTTGTTGCCTGATAGTACTGATAATTATTTACTTTTCTGCACTTTTTGTTGCCTGATAGTTCACGCTCCAATAACTCTGATAGTTTACAATTCATTTTTGTTAAACTGTATGAATTGCTGATGGCTTATCTCTTTTGTTAGTCCAAGGAAGAGTGTGATTACTTGATTGGATTGGCCAAGCCTCACATGGTCAAATCCACGGTTGTTGATAGCACTACTGGTAAAAGCAAGGACAGCAGGGTACGCACAAGTTCAGGCATGTTTCTCCAAAGGGGACGAGACAAGGTTATTCGGGCCATTGAAAAGAGGATAGCAGACTACACTTTCATTCCTATGGGTATGTCATGGCTCAAATGTTTTCTCTTCTGCTATTTCTTTTCACAAATGAGCCAAATTCATAGTGTGGCCATACATGTCCTTTTTATTTCTTAGTCATGGATAGTACCCCATTGGCACGTAAGAGGTTTATGGCATTGGGTTGTTAACAATATGCAGTTCAATAATGCAACTCTCAACATTTCCATATTTTTATCATGCGAAGGTTTTTATCATGTTGTTGTAATCGCAATAATGATTTGATTCATTCTGGTTTGCAGAACATGGAGAGGGACTCCAAGTTCTGCACTATGAAGTCGGGCAGAAGTACGAGCCTCACTTTGACTATTTTCTTGATGAGTACAACACCAAGAATGGTGGTCAGAGAATGGCTACTCTTCTGATGTATCTGTACGTATGGTACTCATTTATAATGTATTGGTTACAAGTGTTGTTAACTGGATTTCTAATTAACTCCTTCACAATGTTATCAATGGAAACAGATCTGATGTTGAAGAAGGGGGTGAGACTATTTTCCCTGATGCAAATGTGAACAGCAGTTCATTACCATGGTATAATGAACTTTCAGAGTGTGCCAGAAAGGGCCTTGCTGTCAAACCAAAGATGGGAGATGCGCTTCTTTTTTGGAGCATGAAACCAGATGCCACTCTAGACCCTTTAAGTTTGCATGGTCAGTTCAGTGACTTATCTGCTGTTCTTATTACTTTTTTTAAACTGATTGCATGACTTGAAGCCTGCTGGGCACTTCTGTTCTATTTGCTATGTCCTGTTTAAAACTTCCATCGATGCTCCTTCAGATACTTTACGTGTGTTTTATATGCTCCAAGCAGTCCCTTTACAAATTTCTTTATGGTCTGAGCAGGGGGTTGTCCTGTCATCAAAGGAAACAAATGGTCATCAACCAAGTGGATGCATGTCCGTGAGTACAAAGCTTGAGCTTTCTGAAGTCGTGATTACCAAAGGTATCTAGTGTTCCTATGGATCTGTACTGAGTAAGATGTAAAGCTGGCGATATTACTGCATATTGCTTTCTTAACTAGTTTTGGTCCTCTTCAAAGTGACTTCCACTCATTCACCCTAGCACCAGAAACCCAGGAAGCAATATGGCTTTGAGGTTATCTAGCACCTTTAGCTTTGCATTCTTCTCTTTTCGTGATTACTCCTAGGATAGGAGTCATGCATTCAGATAGTGTTCTATGTAAATTTTCAGCTGAGGATGGTTAACGTTTGCTTGTAGTAGCTTGATATCTGCCACTTTGTGAGATCTTTACTATCTGAAGAAATAATTTGCTCAAAACTTGTTTTATAAACTGATGTGCTGTATCTTTCTTTGGCAGATGGACCCTATATAAAGCATTGACTGGGGCACTTTCCAGGATGGCAGTTATGTAGGCTTTAGAGATCCACACCGGTGGTATTCTTTGCTCTCTGAGAATATATAGTAGAGGCACTAAGCAAGGGGGTTTACTTGTCCATACCGTGTTTTTGGAGATGGTCTTGTTGAACCTGGCGCCTTTTCTTCTTTATTTTTTCTGGCAGACTACAGAGGAATGAATGGTCCATTGTTGGGGACATAGGGTGTGGCGTTTGATTTAGTTTGTTTTGTGGTGTATTGCTATCTGCTAATGTTAGTAGCTTAATTATGTACACTGTTGAGCTAAGTTGTCATTACTATAGAGCTCTCTCCTATACATGAGGGGAGGTGACATGATTTTGGTGTGCCTTTTTCTGTCGGTGGTGGTGCTGCTGGGTTGTGGTCATACAATCCAGGTGCAGACATGATGTATTGTTTGCGAATTTATTATATTTTTTCAGTCTAACCCTGAGGAAAAGGAATCTTTGGTGGTGTGGAATAGGCAAAATACGTTGGGTGGCATAATGTTAGATGAAGTGATTGATACACAGGTGGTTGTAGAGGTAACGTTGAGTGATCAAGTGCAGGCTTGCTGGAGCAAAAAGAAGATGATGCCTCACTCAGTCGTTGACGGCACAATCTAGCTAACCTGCTGCCATTGTGGTGATTCATGCCTCCTCTCCGAAGACTCTTTGACTTGTACTAATGGAGTGGACTGCTACCAAACACGCATGAATAGACGACCAGATCATCATACAATTCATCAAAATTAGCACTCCTAGTTTCAAACTACTTAACAAAGGAAATTCAACAAACTTCATTAAAATAGTGTAGTGTATTTTTTTCTTTAAAAAAAAATTGCCAACGCCAATCGCGGAGTTTCACATGGAGGAGGGAAGAATGGAATGAGCGCCAGGCGTCGCGTCGGCGCGCGCGTGAGTGCGTGATTTGTGTTGGTTGTCTTCCTCTTGGCTTCGCTTCGCTGCTTTGCCGCGCCTTCGCCGAGGGAGGCCGACCAACGCATCAATCAAACACACAAGCACACCACGCGGACGCAGCAGCAGGGGAGGAGACAATTTCCTATTCTTCCTCGCCCCGCGTCGCCTCGCCTGAGTCTGACTCTCCAAACGCCGACCAGTGACGCCGCGAGCCTTGCCCCTTGCCCGCGCAGATCTCACCAAACCCTACCAGATCTGCGCCCCGCCATGGACTCCGCCGCCGGCGGTGGCGGCCTCACGGCCATCCGCCTGCCCTACCGCCACCTCCGCGACGCCGAGATGGAGCTCGTCAGCCTCAACGGCGGCACCCCCCGCGGAGGCTCCCCCAAGGACCCCGACGCCACGCACCAGCAGGGGCCCCCCGCCGCCCGTACCACCACCACCAGGAAGCTCGTCCTCGCCTGCATGGTCGCCGCCGGCGTGCAGTTCGGCTGGGCGCTTCAGCTCTCGCTCCTCACGCCCTACATCCAGGTATACCCACTACCCTTTGCTCTCCCTTCTGCTTCAGAATGGAGAGTATCCGCATTTGGGAACGGGAACGGATCGCCCATATATGCGTGGCTTGATGCTCCCTTTTCTGTTTCTGCTGACGCAACCGTATTAGAGCACCAAAATTCGCGCCCTACATATTTTGTGCTTTGAATGCAACTGCTTACTGAAATCAAGGTTGCTGCCAAATGGCAATAAGTGAAAAATCAGCCAGGGGAAGACTTGCCTGCTTAGGAATTTCGATACCGTAAATTTCGATACACAGGAGAGGTTTAACTAGATGAAAAATTCACACTCTTCACATGTACATGTTAGAGAAATGGTTTCTTAACACCGAATAACTTGGTGGGCTAATGAGTTTTTAGGTAGTATATCTGTTTCACATGACACATCTTTCAGATCTATTTACAGCTATTCATTGTTGATTTTGATGCAGACCCTAGGAATAGACCATGCCATGGCATCATTCATTTGGCTTTGTGGACCTATTACTGGTTTTGTGGTAAGTTTCTGCAATAATTAAATTCCTCTTTTTTTTTTGTTTCATAACCAGGCATGTCCAACACTCCAAACACAATAGTATATTAATGTCCCGTGATTCTCTGCAGGTTCAACCATGTGTTGGTGTCTGGAGTGACAAATGCCGTTCAAAGTATGGAAGAAGGAGACCGTTCATTTTGGCTGGATGCTTGATGATATGCTTTGCTGTGAGTTAGATGAAGTTTGATAGGTTATCATATGTTCCCATTCTTTCTGTGCTCTAATAGGAAGAAATTCATACGTAGGTAACTTTAATCGGATTTTCTGCAGACCTTGGTTACATTTTAGGAGATACCACTGAGCACTGCAGGTAATCTTTGATACTTCTACTTCCTTTGATAGTTTTCTTCACATCAAGTGTGCCGCCACTAAAATGACGAGTACTGTTTGTTCAGTACATATAAAGGTTCAAGATTTCGAGCAGCTATTATTTTCGTTCTTGGGTTCTGGATGTTGGATCTCGCAAACAATACAGTTCAAGTAAGCCTCTTCAAAAGTTTGCTTGTCGTCATTTGTATTTGCACCAAATTTGTCAAAATATATGCCATGAATTAATTGGATTACCTCACCATGGATGTTCTCTAATATCCTGTTTCTCCTTTCCTTTTTCCCTACATACAGGGTCCTGCTCGTGCCCTTTTAGCTGACCTTTCAGGTAGTTAATGTTTTCATTTTGAATGTCTACCATACTGGACCCACTTAAATATCAGTGACTAAATGATATACCTTCTATTACGTAGGTCCTGATCAGTGTAATTCTGCAAATGCAATTTTTTGCACATGGATGGCTGTTGGAAACGTTCTTGGTTTTTCATCTGGTGCTAGTGGGAATTGGCACAAGTACGTACTTCATGTGTCCTTTATGTGCTTATGTTTACTTGAAGTTTGTTGCTCATAAGTTTGCGCTGTCCTATACATGCTACTGTTGGTAAAGGGTTGAATTGACTTGTTCTACTCAACCCAAATGGATCATTGTACAATTGGTAACATCTGACGGCTGGTAGTCAATCTGTATTAATAAACAAAAGCTATATATACATTTAGCAATTTCAGTACCATTTGTTTCAAATACTGGTGATGTTGTTTACCCTTTGAATGATACAAGAGTAGCGTATGAACAAGCAAATCACGGTAAAACATTGTCTCAGCATCTTTCTCTTCTGTGGAGAGAGTATCCTATCACATGTTGAAAAGTACTATACGGTGATTACCTGTTTGAAAGGACTACTGTCTTGGTCCTCTTGTTTAGGCATCTTGCTTGATGAAGTCCCTCTAGTTAGTAAGGTTTTTTTTGGCATGAAATCTGAGTTTATTTCTCATAATTATTGCAGGTGGTTTCCTTTTCTAATGACAAGAGCATGCTGTGAAGCTTGTAGTAATTTGAAAGCCGCTTTTCTGGTTGCAGTTGTAAGTTCTCTTAAATCCCGCTGCTGCGCCTGCAGTAGAAATTTCAAGCTGTTTTGTAACAGCCTGCAGAGCTAGCAGGTCATTCTTAGGAATTGCATGTGATATTATTTTGTGGAGTGTGGACTGTAATGTGTGCAAGCTGATAAGCCCTACTATGCAGGTATTCCTTTTGTTTTGTATGTCTGTTACCCTGTACTTTGCTGAAGAGATCCCGCTGGAACCAACAGATGCACAACGATTATCTGATTCTGCGCCTCTCCTGAATGGTTCTAGAGATGATAACAATGCATCAAATGAACCTCGTAATGGAGCACTTCCTAATGGTCATACAGATGGAAGCAATGTCCCAGCTAACTCCAACGCTGAGGACTCCAATTCAAACAGAGAGAATGTCGAAGTTTTCAATGATGGACCAGGAGCAGTTTTGGTGAATATTTTGACTAGCATGAGGCATCTACCTCCTGGAATGTACTCTGTTCTTCTAGTTATGGCTCTAACATGGGTATGCTACCTTAAGACATCTATGCATGTATATCAGCTGCATGCTGATTGTCTCTTACTGTTTTGGAATTTGTAGATTGATGGTGTTCATCCATATCGTTTGCTTTGCAGTTGTCGTGGTTTCCCTTTTTCCTTTTTGATACTGACTGGATGGGACGTGAGGTTTACCATGGGGACCCAAATGGCAACTTGAGTGAAAGGAAAGCTTATGACAACGGTGTCCGAGAAGGTGCATTTGGTTTGCTATTGAATTCAGTAAGAACCCTTGATCAATGTGTTTACTATAATTTGTAGTATGTCGCTATGTTTAGATGCTGTTACACCCCAATCATTTCTAGCCTTTCTGTATTTTTATTGGATACTGCTAGTTGTTGCTCTTACTCTATCAAACAACTAGCTGAAAGTCTTAAAACTTAGTTCATGTGCTTTCCTATTCTTTGTGCCCTGTAGTGGTTTAAGCATTTCAGTTGGATTCTAGTTTGAGGTGATAAGTTGGTGGCTTCAACGTTTGGGTCTTTAATACAGGTTGTCCTTGGAATTGGGTCCTTCCTTGTTGATCCACTATGCCGACTGATGGGTGCTAGACTGGTTTGGGCAATCAGCAACTTCACAGTGTTTATCTGCATGCTGGCTACAGCAATATTAAGTTGGATCTCTTTTGATTTGTACTCAAGTAAACTTCACCACATCATTGGAGCAAATAAAACAGTGAAGAATTCAGCCTTGATTGTTTTCTCCCTACTTGGACTGCCACTCTCGGTAAGTACCAGACTTCACAAAATCCTGCCTTGTTGGGTTGGAAGCTTTCTTACACTTGGCTCTTGAATGTCACAGATCACATATAGCGTTCCTTTTTCTGTGACTGCTGAGCTGACTGCTGGAACAGGAGGTGGACAAGGTTTGTGTTGCTGATGTTTTTTTCTTTTACACTATGCTCATGTGATTCTCATTGATTGAGGATATTTTTTTTATCAATCTCCAGGTCTGGCAACAGGAGTCCTGAACCTTGCAATCGTTGTTCCGCAGGTTAGCATGTTCATAAGAAACAAAATGTATTTCTATATGTGCTGTCACTGAAGATGTCTTGACCATTTAATACTCCATTATTCTGTGCAGATAGTAGTGTCACTAGGAGCAGGTCCATGGGATGCTCTCTTTGGGGGAGGGAACGTCCCTGCTTTCGCCTTGGCTTCCGTTTTCTCACTAGGAGCTGGTGTCCTCGCGGTCCTTAAGCTACCCAAGCTGCCAAACTCTTACAGATCTGCTGGGTTCCATGGATTTGGCTGAGCAGAACACCAGCCGCATGGTGTGTAACATTGAGAAATGCAACTCCATTTTGCCATTCGTTTACAGTGAAATGATTCTTTTTACCTACTACTACAACAGAATAAGCTGAAAAGATAGAGATTAGGATAGAGAGCTAGGTAACTAGTCCAGTTAGGTTGATGTGCATACAAGGCAATTGGAAGGTGTAAGAGCTGTATCTACTTTTTTGACAGAAAAATGTAAGCTCTGCCCGAATGACATGGCGGATAGATTTTACAATGGATGTAATCATGTACTATATATAACACGTTTTGGTCACAGCTTGCCAAGTTTCATGTATAGTACTGCTACTACTTGCTGTGTGTTTCTGAGGAAAATTTATTAGCTGTCTGATCTTGAGTAGTACAAAGCTCTCTTCTCTTTGAGAAAAGGGTAATAATGTACGCCTACTTAAATTGGCTTAAAACATGCTGGGGCATCAGGTTCATTTCTGAGTGAGATCTACTTATAAGAATCAAATGGGATATATGTCCCGAAGATGGTGAAGTGGCAGATGTTTTTTTTCTTTTAACTCCGGAAACAAAATGAAGTCACAATTGCTTTATGCAAAGTGATACATACAGTAAATCGACGAAAAAACAAAGAGGAAAAAAAAGGGGAGTTTGCAACTTTGCATAGACGTGGGACGGTCTATCATGGGCCATTGTTGGCCCGGCCCACGAGCCCAACCGACCTACACAACCCAACTAACAAAAAAGCGAGGCAGAGGCACATCTCTTCCTCCCTCTCGACTCTGGACCTCTCCTCTCCACGCCGACCGCCATGGCCGCCGCCGCCGAGGTCGACGCGGCCCCCGACCTCCCCAACGGATCCTCCGCCACCGCCACAACCGACAAGAAGAAGTCGCGGGAGAGCGAGCGCCGCCGCCGCCGCCGCAAGCAGAAGAAGAACAAGGCCGCGTCCAACGCCGCAGATGCGGATGCGGCCGGGGACGCCGGGGCCGACGACGACGCCGCCGAGGAGAAGCCTGATGTCAAACCCCAGGTACAGCCACAGGGAGCGCCTCTCTCTTTGTTCTTAGGGTTTGGGGGGGTTCATGTTTTTTTCTTTTTTCCTTTTCTTTTTGCTTGTTTGGTCTGACCTAGGAACCGTGGTTGCCGCAGGTGGAGGTGGAGGTGGAGTACGTCCCGGAGCAGGCGGACCTGGACGACGGCCTCCTCGCCGACTTCAAGAGCATCTTCGACAAGTTCACCTTCAAGGATTCCTCTGCCGACGCCGAGGTATTACCGCTTCCTCTTGTGCTGCTACGGAAGACAAACCGATCGATATAAGATTCCTCTCTCATGCTTCAATTTTGCCTGCTCTATGTGGAGAAATTGACAAGTGGATTGGTATTTTTCTGATAGGATGACGAGAAGAAAGATGAGGCTGGCACTGATGCCGCAAAGAAGGCTGCAGGGTCTGATTCGGACGACGACGAGCAGGGGACACAGCAAAAGAAGGAAGGGGGCTTGTCCAACAAGCAAAAGAAAGTTCGTTCTTCGCATCTCCCTATTGTTGATAACATGTTTCAGTGCCTCCATCTTCCTTCTATGTTAATTCACCTTAAGCTTAAGTTTTTCTTTCCGTTTTTTAGCTACAACGAAGGATGAAGATTGCAGAACTGAAACAGATATGCAATAGACCTGATGTTGTGGAGGTAAGCTACCCTTATTAGTTATGCTAAGATTAACTGGTAGTTGGCTGCTTGATGTACATCTGTTTGAGTGTGTTGTCACTATGTTATGTCGTAATTGCTCATCTAGGGTGTCACTGCCAGCGCTGCCAGATATAGGTGAATCTGAAGTGAATTCACAACAATGTGTTGAAATGCACCACTTATAAGATTAAAGCTTCTCAATTCTCAAACGTTTTTGTACATTCATTACCTGTGCAAGGGGTACACCCTTCTGTTGTTCACAGTTCCTAATGCTGGGCATTCTTGTATTTTAGCTTCATTGAACATACATAGTAATGTGCTGCATGTATTTTTCTTGATTCTTGAGGGTAGAATTGTTACATAAATTCCCTAGCAATTGCAGCAAATGTCTTCATGGTGCACACACTTGTACCAGTATTGCTATATTGGAGTGCAAACATAAATATTACTTTTATCTTATTGAGGAAAATGAAGCAACGGGAATGACACCAGTAAAGTAGTTCTATGTAAACTTGTTGATTAATCTTTGTTTGAGACATCTGTATTCTTCTTGCTAGGTCTGGGATGCAACGGCATCGGATCCATCATTACTTGTCTATCTGAAGTCCTACAGGAACACTGTACCTGTCCCAAGGCATTGGTGTCAAAAGCGCAAATTCTTGCAGGTTTGTGATTACCTACCAACCTGCCATCAATGACAACCATGTTGTTTTGCATAATATTAATGAAGAACAGTGCTTCTGTGCGCTCCTAAAAAATTGCACACAAATTTAAATGTTGTTGTTAGTACTGGAGTTCCTATTAAGTAGTTGCGACTGTCATTCAAAGCCATCATTTTGCTTCAAAACTCACCTGTAGAAGAGTTGAATAGTTTTTCTGAATCATTTTAGTGGAGTTTGATGTGGAACAATTTACTCAAAAAGAGGTGTGGATGGGGAGTGAGGGGACATAATGTTGATAAATTTACACCCCTCTTATACAGATGCAATTCTTGCAGGGATGCTGTAACAACCTGGGAGCAAGAGCTTCATGGTGCAATACTTGACTGATTTGTATAGCATAAACTTTAAGGGTGTCACATCTAGTTAATTCATGTGGCATTTTCTGAGAGAGAAATTTTAGTCTAGCCTGGGTCTATCCGTCTATGTCTCTTGTTGCTTGCATATATGAACTTGTCATTTTCTCTAGCCATTACATAGCCTTTTTTAATATTCAATGCGCGAAGCTGTATTTTGCATGGAGCATTGCCTTTATTTGTTGATTTATTTCCTTGTCCAGATTTTATGCCACCTTATTGTCTCTTGCAGGGTAAGCGAGGTATCGAGAAACAACCTTTTCAACTCCCTGACTTCATCGCTGCAACTGGAATAGAAAAAATAAGACAGGTAACTTGATTATCTCGATTCTTTTAGGCTTTTCTTGGGACATGATACCAGCTTACTTTAGGAGCTGTGTGGTGCTCGAATTTTATTTAAATTTCTTTTTTTTTCAGGCATATATTGAGAAGGAGGATAGTAAAAAGTTGAAACAAAAGCAGCGGGAGCGTATGCAACCAAAAATGGGCAAGATGGATATAGATTATCAGGTAAAAATTTACTCCTATTGTCTATAGAGATCATTTGATGGTATCAACATTTATTGTAAACACACATTTTCATACTCTTTCCTTAAGCTCAAGTTCTAATAATGTTGAATTTTTCTGCTTTTCTTTTTGAGACTGGTAATGGGTGTTACAGACTGTTTTAGTCCTAATGCAGCATTACAGCACACATGTTTATGTTAAGCTCAAAATTCAGGGTGTTTTAACTATTCAACCCAAAATCTAGAGTAATTTATCTCATATATCCAGCTGGGGCCTGAGTTATCAACTCCTGACATGATTCACAGGCAGGAAAAATAAGTCTCACCTTGATTTCGTTGGTACAGGTCTTGCATGACGCCTTCTTCAAATACCAAACAAAGCCAAAATTGACTAGTCATGGTGACCTGTATTATGAAGGGAAAGAGTTTGAGGTACTTTTACATTATCTTTCATGCTGATATATATAAAAGAATCGAGATAATTGGTAACTGTCTGCACAATCCATTTATCTGTGTTTTCGTACATTGAGTATTTGAATTTGTTGCTTTGTACATGTGGACTTAATAGGTCAAGCTTAGGGAAATGAAGCCAGGCATGCTGTCGCGAGAACTTAAAGAGGCTCTTGGTATGCCTGATGGTGCGCCACCTCCATGGCTTATAAACATGCAGGTATTTTTCTGAAGAACAATTTCCATGTATCCGGTGTTCTAGTTGAGAAGTTCTCTATGTCAACTGATAACATTAAATTTTGGCAGAGATATGGTCCTCCGCCCTCTTATCCTCAGCTGAAGATTCCTGGGCTAAATGCTCCGATTCCTCCTGGTGCTAGCTTCGGATACCGACCTGGGGAATGGGGAAAACCTCCTGTTGATGAGGTATATCACATGTTAGATCCGCCCCTGGCGGACTCTGACTTACTAAAATGCAGTCTTTAACCAACATGCATCTCTTACTAATTTTGTTCTTTTGGAAAACAGCATGGGCGCCCCTTATATGGAGATGTTTTTGGAGTCCTACAGCAGGATGAACCTAATTATGATGTATGTCTATTTTTATATTTTATTGTTTGAGCTGAATACAAGAACTGACTGTTGTTCTATTTTGTATTGCAGGAAGAACCTGTTGATCGCAGCAAGCACTGGGGAGACTTGGAGGAGGAAGAGGAGGAGGAGGAAGAAGAGGAGGAAGAGGAGGAAGAAGAGCCAATGGAAGATGAAGACATGGAAGACGGCATGCAATCTGTTGACACCATCTCAAGGTGCTACCATAATTCTTTGATGCCTTACTTAGTTTTTCTTTCCCAAATAAAGAACTATGTATTGATGTTTGTTTTGCTGATAGCACTCCAACTGGTGTGGAAACACCTGATGTGATTGATCTTCGGAAGCTGCAGCGGAAAGAGCCTGAAAAGCAGACCGAGAAGCAACTATACCAGGTGAGGACTTTGCCTTCAATTGTTTGTGGCATCTCAGGATACAGACCTTTAAATTGGTTTTGTTCAGTCTATAACCGACCTTTTTGTCCTTTTTCTTTGAAGATTCTTGAGCAAAAAGAAGAAAGAATTGCTCCTGGGGCTATCTATGGATCAAGCCATACGTATGTTACATTAACTACTACCTAGTTACCCAACGTCAAACTTTTCTTATGGTATTCCATCCAATTTGACGATATGAATTAACTCTTATGGAATCTTGTTGCTTTTGCAGGTATGCGATTGGTGCACAGGATAAGGCTGGTCCTAAAAGGGTAGGCTTCATAGTCCTTTGCACTATGTTTACAAGTGGTTTCACTGAATGCGTGCTTTAATGATTTTTGGTTGTGGACCACTGCAGGTGGATCTTCTCAAGAATCAGAAGTCTGATAAGGTGGATGTCACCATACAACCTGAGGAGCTTGAAGTTATGGATGATGTTTTGGCTGCCAAGTAAGATTTTGTGTTGTCAATGCATTGTGAAGTTGAGATGGTGCTAATCACAGCGAGTGGAAGATGCTAACACTTTATACCATGTACACAGGTACGAGGAAGCCCGGGAGGAGGAGAAGCTACGGAACCAGAAGGAAGATTTCAGCGACATGGTGGCGGAGGTACATTCTTCCCATTGTCACCAACTAAGAAGCATGAGCTTTTTGTTGTTTTTATTCCTTGGTGGTGTGTCCCTATGTCGCTAACAATAGGGCATATGTGCATTTTGCAGAACGCAAGCAAGAGGAAGAGGAAGCAGGAGAAGGACGGGAAGTCGAAGAAGAAAGACTTCAAGTTCTAGATGTTGCCCTTTGCGAGTTAGCCAGATCCAAGGAAGAGGAGGCGGCACGGCATCCATCTGTTTTTTTAGATTGCCCTTGTCTGAGAATAGATGAATGCGTAGGCACGAGTGTAGCAGCAGCACAGCCCTTTTTTATGTGTGTGTGTATTGTATGACTGATGGCCTTCACCTTGATATGATGATGATGTTTACTTTACTGGACAATTATCGTGTAGTAGAGGACAGAGAGCGTTACGTTCTCTTTTCACATACTAGTAACATCTTCTTAGCTTCCGTGTCATGTTTCTTTTTGTTATCTTTTCCTTTGCTGAGAGGAGGCATTCTTTGCCTTTCTCAGCCCAGGTGACAGGCAGTCCACATCCTTATCGCTCTTTGCTAGTTAGCGCTAATTCTCTTTAGCTAGTATCTAAACAAGGCGATATTCATGACCAGCCGGAATAAGGTTACCATATTTTAAATCTAACTTGAAAAATACAAAACATCTCTGTCCACTCGAAACTGCTAGTATACAAAATGGATTTATCTTATAAACTACTCTGGGACTGAACATGTTTGACCGTTCGTCTTATTCAAAAATTTTTGTGAAATATGTAAGACTATACGTGTACATGAAAGTATATTTAACAATGAATCAAATGATATGAAAAGAATAAATAATTACTTAAATTTTTTGAATAAGACGAATGGTCAAACACGTACTAAAAAAGTCAACGGTGTCAAATATTTTGAAACGGAGGAAGTAGTATACATGTTGTGATGAAATAAATTGTAGAGAGTTGAGTTGAAGAAGAGGGTGTGGCCGGAGACAATTTGGGCTCTCGTCCACGAGTCTCCCACTCTACTCTTCCCCTTTCGCTTGTGCTTTGGGCCACTAGTCCTCTTCATTGGTCTTTTGTTCCCAATCACAAACGAAAGCGCACCATGCATGGCTACCATGGCTGCATATTCCTTTCACGATTACCTTTCATTCCAAACTCTCTTTGATTACCTTCTATTTTAGAGAGAGATTGATCAGCAGCTGGTTCATATTGCATTTGAATAACTAGCGTATCAAGGATTGCATTGTACTAGCTAGGAGGAGCATTGGTCGCTTCTGGGCGATTCGATTCGATTCGAGGATGGAGAAGAAGAAGAGTAATACCGATAACAACCTGGAGGTGTTCCTCCAGGCCGCCACTCCATGCCTGCGCTGGCGCTCCGCCTCCATGGTATACATTCTGCTCAAATTAACATCTCTCCTGCCCTTGCATACTTTCAGCAAACAAATTATCATCTCTATTTCTCTCTCTTCTTCTTCTTCTTCTTCTTCTTCTTCTTCTTCTTCTTCTTCTTTCAATATTCAATAATGTAGGAATGTTTCCAAGATCCCAGCAAAGTTTGGCAACTCGACAAGAAGAAAGACGAGGTCGATTACTTCGCGCTTGAGGATCTCTGGGAGCATTACGCTGAGAGCAGTGCGTATGGCCTTGCTGTTCCTGTCCGTCTTGAATCCGGCAACACCATCACCCAACATTTTGTTCCCTACTTATCTGCCATTCAGATATACACCTCCACCAAGTCTCTCCTTGCTTTCTCCAGGTTCGTTGCTACTCTCTCTACCTCTCAATCTCATGTCTCTTGTAGCTGTATGCAACCTACCTGTACATTGTTTTACTTTACTGCAAACCCTTAATCCTCTTTGGCCTATTAATTGTTTCCGATCTGATCGAACTAATGCCATTCGATGAAATCATACAGAGGCAGCGCAGGGAGCGAGAGTGATTCTTGGAGTGATGATAGTACAGGCGACAAGTTATCAAGATCATGGGATGCTGCTATGTCTGATGACGACGACTCAAGCCATGATAGCTCTGAATCGGTTTCTGCAAAGCAAGGTGCCGGCTGCCTGAATTTTCAGTACAACGAGTGGAGCTCGCCCTACGAGAGAGTCCCGCTAGCAGATAAGGTTACTAGTTTTGTTTCAGTCTTCAATGTGATCAATGCAAATAACTTACCACATTAGTACTCTAATTAAGTTTGGTGTTGCATACGTTGTGTTATTGATTAGGTGGCAGAGCTGGCTCAGCATTATCCATGCTTGACATCTCTCAGCAGTGCACAACTTTCACCTTCGAGCTGGATGTCTGTAGCATGGTACTTGAATTTACACATCATTTTCACTTCTTTGATTGTTAAATTATTGCTCTGAAGCTAGAGGTTCAAATGCATACATAATTGCACATTACATCTAATGTATATTCAGAAAACTAAACAAAGGAACAGCTTGTTGAGATGCTTGACTTGAACTCAACTAATCTTGTCAACAATAATCTGCATGCATTCAGGTACCCGATTTATCATATCCCAGCTCGTGGAAACCTCAAGGGGTTATCTACGTGTTTCCTAACCTATCATTCCCTCTCCTCAGTTTTCCAAGGTACGTAATCCATCCACATATTACATACTCCTATATAACATCAATTCGTTAATCTTGTGGCTGTGATATGTGCATTACTGACAGTGTAATTAGATCGATGTTGATGATGGAAATGCATGGGCTAATTTGCAGATAATGTTGAGGAGGGGAGGAGCGTTGTTGGTGTTTCGCCGTTTGGGCTGGCGACGTACAGAGCGGAAGGGAAGCTGTGGACATCGTCGAGGAGCTCTGATCTCTTCTGGGCAGCGTCTTCTTGGCTCAAGCAGCTGCGAGCTTACCATCCTGACTTCATCTTCTTCACGTCTCACTGCCGGCAATCTGCATTCTGAACCTGACGCTTGTTGCTTAAGCTTAATTATACTCGATACTCAGCCTCCGGTGGTGCTAGAAGAAGGCCAAACTAGGATGGAGGAAATTGTTTTGTCAGTCACCTTGCGAGCTATACTGAATTTAAAGGACTTTTTTTTTTTCATCAACAGCAAGTATGTTGTACTCCTTCCGTCCCATAAAAAACAAATATAGTACCGGATGTGACACATTCTAGTACTATAAATCTAGACAAACGTATGTCTAGATTCGTATTTTATAGGACGGAGGGAGTAGACTACATCACTCTATCTTCATAGAATTATGAACAGGTACGAACTACGTAGGAATTGTTGCTGGTAATGACTTGACAGGGAAAAAGATCGACAATAGAGCTGGAAAGATAAATTGGATGTAAATGAGAAATGAGAGTGTAAATTGCTTTTTTTTCCCTTCTCTCCAAGGATGAGAGAAAATCTCAAATAAAGTAGCCCTCCACGTCGTCTATGAAAAACACGTGAAAATATGGACTATCCCATTCGGTTGATAATATTCAACATTTGGAATAAGATTCGGTTACTTATAAAATTCCATTCATTGATAATTTTTCAAATGTTTAATTTGAAACAAAAGGGATGACATGAAGATAATTACTTTGAAATGTATATGAGTTGTTACTAGGTTTTATAACTTGTTCTAATATAAGCTGGTTGTAATATTGGGCCTGCTTGCAGCCGCTGCCTTTTTTTTTTTTGCTTGCTTCACTGTTCTTACAACCGAACCCGCCCATTAAGAGTGATTGAATCTTGTTCTAAACATTAACTTTTTTTTTATCCGTGGAAGTATTTAATTTATAGGTAGCTAGGAACTCTTGTCCTCTCTATTTTTTTTCCCAAATTAGTAGCCTAATTTAATTAATTCGGACGTTTGAAGCAAATACTGTACTAGTAGTATGATTGCAGCAGCAAGCAAAGACGAAGAATTCAAACCCAACCCAACGCGTGGCGTGAAGCAACGAAGCGAACGAACCACTCAAAGAAAAAAGAAAAGGTGCAGTGATGGGGGCACCGACAAGTGGGTCCCACCCACCGCAGAGACACCGCGTGGGACCCACGCGCCATCGTGTAAAGTAGACGAGACGAGACGACCCAACCAGCGACCGCGCCATCCTTGCGTCTTGCGTATCGGGTTCCCCCCCACCCCAACCTTGTCTCTTTACATTCCGGTCCCTCCCACTCCTACAAATTATTTACAACCAGGTCCTCAACCTCCACGTCGCTCACCGTCGCCGTCGCCGTCGCCGTACGTCTTCGGCGGCGAGGCCATGGCCCTCGCCTTCCTGCTGGGATTCCTCCTCGGCCTCCTGGCTCTGGCGGCGCTCGAGGCCGCCGCGCTCCTCTGGCTCGTCCGCCGCCTCCGCCGCCGGGACTCTGCCCCGCAGCCCGCGCCGGACGCCGACGAGCTCCCCGGCGAACGCCCCTTCCCGTACGAGAAGCAGGTCAGGCTGCTTCCACTCACGTACCTCTCGCTTCGATTACCCTCCTCGGGGATAGGGGATAGGGGATAGGGCGAATGCGGCGCGCTGGAATACTAGTAACAGTAACTGCTTCTGCAGCTTTGGAGCTAGGGATCACCTCTCGATTCGATCTCCTGTTTTTTTTTATCTTACTATGAAATAGTTGCAGCTTGCTTCCACTGCTAATTACTTACTTGGGAGGAGCAAAATGCTACTACTGTGCATTCATATGCTAACAAGGTTTCTTTTTCCCCAATTGCTGCACTTCAACTAGAGAATCGACATGCCTTTGTGTTCAGACCGCAATTTTTGTACATCCTGGATCGTTCAGTTGTTCCAAATACTAATATCAGTGATTGGGTTCTGTTATTCTGGTTATTCATCGCAAAATTTTATGTTCCCCTTTTGTTATCCAAGCAAATTGCTCCTAGGGTTCATGCATGCCATATATGTTTACTTCTTAAGTTCCTGGCCTTTTTTTTATTTCAAATTCTAATTTGCTCCTGGCATTGACCTCTACTTAGTTTTTGGCCCATGATTCTATCCATTGGCATGCCCAGCTCATACACCTGCTCATCTCAGTGTATATTGTTCTCCTGTGCGGAAACACCTACATGTTCTCATCTTCATCACAAGTGTTGTACTTGTACATGTAGTAGACTCCACAACTAAGCTTAATGAATTCTCTATGGATGAACTAGTAGGTTACATGCTGAAGAGACCTAAACATAATCGTTTCCTTTTGGTTCCAATTATCACAGCTGATACATGTTCACCACTGACCAATATACATACGACCTGGTTATATTTTCATGAATGCAACGTTTTTTTTCCTGTAACTTCCTTTCACCATGATGTTCCTTGTTTTTACATATTTTTGCACTGCATCTTTATGCTAGTTCTGTTTTACATCATGGGTACTCAACATTGAGCTTATAAAGGTTGAACAATATGGTTCAAGGAAAATATACTTGCATTTTGGATAAAATGGCTTAAATACCATTGCAATCCAGAGCTCATCCAAATTGCTTTGGCATACTATATTTGCAATAACATTTCATTTAGATTCCTCTTTAGAGCCTCCATGTTTTTTAGTTACTAAGGATGATCCTGCTTAAAATAGATGCTGTATGTTTACAGGGCTTTCTGTGGATACTAGAGCCAGAAAAGACACCTAAAGCTAGTAATGAACGCTCATCGATTGGAGGCCCTAAAGAAACAAAGGAAAAAAAGAATATTGTGGAGGTTTTTCCTGCAAAGAGGTCGGCTAAAATCAAGGGGCGTTCACTTATTTTGTCTGGTCCTGATGGCTTCCACACAACCATTAAGCTTCTGAATTGCACAGTATTTGCTGTTTCAGCATCAAGTATGCCCTCTCGCAAATGGTCAGTATTTGGTGCAGGAGAAAATGATACTTTTCATCATGAGCTCATCTTTTTTTTACCCCTATCCAGTTTCCAGTTGTACACATTGTGAATTTACAGTCAAGTTTAACCTTGTGTCGCGATTTGCCAAATAAAATTTCAGAGGCATGTAGAAATGCTTTTGTTTGAAGGTAAATCATGTATTTGTACATGTTGGAGCCAGCTTATATGGATTTTATTTCTTGAAGGAACTCCTATAGAGACGGAATGTACTTCTTTAGAAGACAGTTAGAAGTACTTGCCAAGCAGCTTTCTGTTCTGCTCCTTTCATTCAGCTGTTTTACTTCTGCTACTAGGGTTTTTTTTTTGCTCGTATACTTCACTCTATGTGTAACTTTAGTACCTTTGCTTAACTTTCAGGGCTAAAAGGTATCCTATTAAACTGGAAAGCAAGGAATATCAAATTTATAATGGAAGCAAGGTATGCTATCTTTATGCTGAAACTTCCTGGGAGAAGGAATCATGGTGTAAAGCACTTCGTCTTGCAGCTACTGCTGACAAGGAGAAAAAGAATTGGCATGCCAAGCTGAGCGAGGAGTTCAATAATTACATATCATCATTAAATTCTGAATACCCAGGTTTCCTAAAGCCTACAGTATTTTCTAGTGAGGACCATGAGGTTATGGACAGGGCAATAAAGACTGATGGGTCTTCCAAGGTCCGTCTCTTTCTCAAAAAGCTGGCAAAGAAGGCATCTACAAAGGTTCCGTTAGAGGGTAAGACAAGTTCCGGATCATCTACACAAGGAGAAAGAAAGATATTGGATAAATTACGCAGCTATCAGGGCACACCGTTTATTGAAGGATTAATGGGTTCACAAGATGACAAGTCCAATAGCAGTTCATCACAAGATACAGTGAAACCCAGTCCAACGTCTCCTGCTCTGGGTCAAATTGGACAACCTTCAGCTTTCCCTGATGTAAATGCCGATGATAGAATAGCAGATGAAGGTACACTTTGTTGGAACCTTTTATCTTCACGGTTGTTTTTTGATGCTAAAATGAGCGATGAGATACACAAGGCCATCAAAGCACGCATTCAGGTTAGATATACTGCTTATGTTTACAAAGTAACCTGCTCTTGTCTGTACTTGTTAATTAGTTGAATTTTATTTTGTTAGCGAACGTTATCAAGCATGAGGACCCCACCTTATGTTGGTGACATCACACTTGCTGACTTCAGCCTTGGAAAGCTTCCACCTTATGTACACGCGATGAGAGTCCTTCCACTGGATTTGAATGAGTTATGGGCTTTTGAAGTTGATTTTGAATATTCTAGTGGAATACTACTGCACATTGAAACAAGACTCGAGGTTCAGGAACCAGAGTTACAGAAGGACATAATGAAAAGTAACTTTGGTACAGACTCAAATGGAGAGGTTGAATCAGATCTTCTTGAGAGTATTGAACAATACGGTAACCAATTTCGAGATTCCCAAAATTCAGTTTCCTCAGTTGAAGAAAAAGGTGAACCAGGTATGCTTCAATTTCATATATGTGTTTTCTTGTTTATTTCATTTGTTTCTTTGAGTAACTGTTTATGATTGTCCTACCAATGACTGCATTACAATTAAGAGTAAAAAGAATCCAATTAGTTATGATCTACCGCTGGCATGATCAGCTTGTTGTTTTCCTGTTTTGCTTATGTATGCTTGTACTGACTTGATGTAAGCTTTATTACAATTATGGTTAGAAGGTTGCCCAGTCCTCTGATGCATCAAGAATCAAGATATGTTTAGTGATCCAGACCTTGTGTGATCTTTTGTATCAGATGGTAGTCAGCCCAAGAGCACTGGATGGACATCGGCCTATATATCAGGGTGGAAAAATATCATGCATTCCATAGCAGATCATGTCTCACAGGTTTACACCTCTCCTTTTGGCCTTCATGCATCTCTTTCCTACGTGTTACATGTTTCTGAGCACATCTCAGGTCATCTCTGTATTTGATAAGTTGCTCTTAAAAACTGTAACATTAGCCTTGGTACATCTCTGCCAGTGAAATCGTACATCAAACTTATTTTAGAAGCTTAAAGTTATGGAGATTTCTCTTTAAAACAATATGAATATTTCACCAGTGATCTTAAGATCTTCTTGCACAGGTGCCGCTCTCTCTGGCGATAAAAATTTCATCTGTTCGAGGTGTCCTGCGTGTGCATGTGAAACCTCCTCCTTCTGATCAACTCTGGTACGGATTTACATCAATGCCTGATTTAGAGTGGGACATCGAATCTTCTATTGGTGATAGGAAAATTACCAACAGTCACATTGGCTCGCTTATCGGTAACAGATTCAAGGTAGTGAACACATCCCATCCTCTTCTGAGCTTGTTACTTCTCTTCCAACCTACATGTTTTAATCACACCTTTCTGCTGCTCAGGCTTCACTCCGTGACAGTTTGGTGCTCCCAAACTGTGAAAGTATTTCCATACCATTTATGTTGGCAGAAAAGGATGACTGGGTACCTCTCAAGGATGCACCTTTTATTTGGCTCAATCGTGAGCCCACTGAGACCAGAAGCCACGCTGCAGCCGTTACGCCAACCCGGCCTGACGAAGTTATTCTGAAGGATGATGCTAGTAACAAAACTGTGGCGCCAAGTTTGCCCAATTCGTCAGCAAGAAGTGAGGAAACACTTAAAACAGCAGCATCCATTGATGAGCCAACCCAAGTGCCTGTGGCGGCAGCGGATGCATCGCATGAGCCGAGGAAGACTCCCTTGGCTCCAGCTGGTGAAGCATCGTCTCCTTCCAGTCCTGACACAATCGACGAGCTGAGGAAGCCATTGCTGATCACAGAAAAGATTCAGGAAGAGGATTCTGAAAGCAAAGTGGAGTCTCCCTCGCCCCTGTACACATCTCTGAGGGGGATAGTGCCTGCAGGGGAGCAATCTGGAGACGAGTCGAAGCGAAAAGGCGGCAGGCGAGCTCGGATGATGGACTTCGGGAAGAAGATGGGAGACAAGCTGGAGGAGAAGAGGCGGCACATCGAAGAGAAGGGGCGGAATATCGTAGAGAAGATGCGCGAGAATGCCAGGACCAACAGCTTCGATAGGTCAATGACTAGCAGCAGCCATAGCAATAGCCAAAGCCAATAGCTAGCTAGCTCGTTTGTAAAACTTTGGAGATCGTTTGGTGCCAGTCTTTATTCCTGGTTCAGATGTATAGCTAACTTTCCTGGACGGTATGCATGCATGATTTAATTTTTGATGTGGAATTCCAGAAAAATGGTAGCTCTGTGTACCATTAGCATCGGACGTACGTGTGAGTGGCACGACACTTCTGCAGCTCGAACTGGGCCTTCGAGCGATCGATTTATCGAGCAATGAAAAATTCTTGGTTATGTAGATGGAAGAGAAGTTGCGCCAGGTACATGCGCATGTTGGCCTGGTTCTGCCGCGACACTCAGTACAGGTCATTCGAGGAGTACAGTCAGTAATTGCTCATGATTTTGTAACTGTTTGATATAATTGCTACAATACATTTTACTGGATTGTTGGATTCAGTTCTAATACAACCTAGAGGAAAATTAAAATTATTTACACACACGAGCACAAGATCAATCTAGGCACACTAATCTTGGTCAGTCGTCCAAAAAATTTCTCTGCTTCAAGTGAAAAGTCTTGCCACTATAGGCCGGAGAATCCCCAGAGGCCTGGAGTACATATGAAGGCCTCCCTCACATGACCATTGCATATCACTCCTCGGTACAGCTATATCTTGAAATGCCTGTATCCGTAATCAGAGTTCTTCATCCCCTCTTCCCAGTCGCCCATTTTTTTGCCACCAAATACCACTTGTTTGATGCCCAAGTGCCTGAAATTTTTGTCAAAGCCACAATCACAGCAAAAGCTAATTACAATGCACAAACATTTTGAATACAAAAAAGTAACTCATAATGTACGTGATGGGCGATGAACTACATATTAGGACTGATCTGTGACATATTCAGAAACAGGCATGTGACAAACTGACATGTTTGCAGAGTGCCAGAAATTTCTACAGTGGTATATTACTCTCACAATTCAGATAACGTTTCATTTTCTCTCCGCAATTGAACTAAAGACTATAGGATCAGATTTATCTCCACAATCACAATTGAACTAAAGACTATAGGATCAGATTTGAAGCTATAGCTGCTACTGTTTTGTATAAGGTATAGAGAAAGATGACTTACTCTGAGCTTAATTGTGTAAGACAGTTGAGTAATACATCCAATCCAAGATAATCCGATGTTCCAAGATCCACCCTGAATGAAGAGTGCATTTTCAGTACTGTAGAACCCATAACACAATTTCCAGACTATAAATGTTTCCAATCCTCACCAAACTCTGCCCCAATTGTCTTGGAATTCGACATCACTGATATCATGGAAAGATGAAGGCATCACACCAGAAGCTTGATCAGAATCATATGAAGGGTCATAGTCCAGCATTGAATTGGCCAGCTGAAATTGAAATAGACAAAATTGCAAGTCAGCTTGCATAGATAACACACCAGTGTTACATAATTGTGTAAGCAGTTGATAAAAAGGTAGCACCAAAAAGGCATGTTTACAGTTTACTAATGGCTCATTATACAAAAATGACTGGTAAGGAAGCCAGCTAAGCTATTAACTTAGACTATGTGACCATGAGTTGGCAACATAAGTTAAGTCCAAAGCTAGCCATGTAAAGAAGATTCACAAGTTTCATCAAAAGAAGATGGTTCACAAATTACAATAGTGCATACAATTCCACAAAATTCGGAAGGCACATATGACACGTGAATAATTAATTTCATGTTTCCATGCTTTGGCAATGAAACCCAGAAGGTGTATCTTAGATATGACGCATTGTTGGTTAATTAGGCAATATGATGGTTGACGTAGGAATTTTCAAGAAATAAAAAGATGAGATGTTTTGTTTTCTCCCTACGTAGGTGACGAGTCATAAAAAAATAATGTAATCATTGTAGTTTCCAACACTTGAACAAGTCCAACCTGCAAATTTGAAGAGTTGTAAGCTCCTAATCTCCCCATGACATACCAAGCCTGAATCACCTGCAGAATATAAATGATGTTGATGTCAAGACAGGGTGATTTCTTTCTGAATAATGAGAATCCAAAGGAACAGAAATACAATGTCACTTTACACCGCCAAGCAGATCAACATCTCGATCCGTTGGTTCTCCAAAGAGTTCAAACCAAATGAATGAATTTAGTGGGTTGAAGCTGCAAAGATAGAAAGATAAGTGGCATTCAGTCAGTGGAACTAATATGCATACACAGAGGAGTATGATATCAATTTAGCTACTGAGTTAGTGTATTAATAGTCCAAAGTCGTATCATCGTATCAAACTGAGAAAAAAAAAGAAGAGAAAATCTAGATGATGCTCAACTATGACATTGAAGGTTTTATCAGTCATTAAATCTTAGGTGGAATTGAAACTCACTCTCGAAAGCTGACTTTGAATGCAACAATAGACCCTGTCTTGGATTTGTTGAATTGTGCCCTGCCTTTCTTGCGTACCCTTTCTTGGATCTGCCACCCGTGCACACAAGTAAATGTACAAGTAAGTATTACTAGAAGAGAAGTTTGAAGTGGCGAGAAAGAAAGCTCAAATAAATTAGGGAACCACCCTTTGCTTCATGAGCTCTGGGTTCCCGATGCTATCACCGAGAATGGCGCGGAGTTCGTCGTCGTCCCTGCAGGCATTCTCCAGAACCCTGCATTTGCACAGCAGGCAGCATTAGCACCAGCCCACAAATCTACTGTATCTATCTGTATGGATGATGGTGATGATGATGCAGAAGATGGATTTGAGTGAGCAGGGAAGGGAGGCGAATCCAGATCCAGGAGCAGAGTATGTAGAGGGTAAAAGGACAGTGCCTTGCCCAGCCGGGATAGGTGTTGTCGAGCTCGTGCTGACGGCGGCGGCGCTCCTCCCGCACCTTGGCGAGGCGGCGCTCCCTCGCCGTGGTGCCGGACGCCGCGGCGGCATTGTCGGACCTCCCTGTGGCCGTAAGGCGGTGGAAGCGGAGGCGAGGAGGTGGCGGGAAAGGGGTGAGGAGGAGGAGGCGTAGGGTTTGAACTGGTGGTGGCATCATCTCATCGCCGAGCTGAGCAGCAGCAGCTCACTCTTGCTGCTTTGCTTATCCTCTTCGCAGCCGTCGCCGTCGGGAAGCACATTGGTTGGCCCGGCCGTACTGATTGATAACCAGGTGGGCCGTCGGAGAGCAGCCCGTCTGTACAAAAACTCAAGGCCCAATAATAATAATCCAAGAAGAGCAATCCCAGCGAGCGGTGGCAAACTAGGAATAAGTTCACCGGAGGAACTTAACAGCGAGATTTTTTGAGGTCCCTTAACCACAAAACCAGAAATGTCTACCCCTAAACTTACTCAAACCGTTCACCGGAGGTCCCTCGGCAGTATTTTTGCCCAGTTTTGCTGACGTGGCATCCTACTCAGCAAAAAAAAAATAAAAGGTACGTGGGGCCCACATGTCAGCTGCACATATTTTTTCTTCTCTTTTCTTCTCCCTTTCTTCTCTTTTCTCTTCTCTCCTCTCTCTTCTCCTTCAGGCTGGCGGCGGGCGCAGTCGCGATGGCCGAGCGCGGCAGCAGAGCGGTGGCGGGCTGTGGGCGGAGCGGACGGCGGGCGAGCCCGGCGGCGGAGCGGAGGCTACGGGCGGAGCAGCCGCGCGCCGTGGCCGCCGTCGTCGTCGCCATGGGCGAGGCTACACGGCGCGGCCGTTCGGCGGCATCGGCCAGGCGTCGCAGTGGCCGTGCATAGGTGGCTCGAAGTGCCAGCTGACGCCGCGACAGTGGTGGCGGCGGCAGCGTCGCCGGCCTGATCCCATGGCCCTCCCGGACGCCCAGCTCGCGCAGCTGCAGCAGGAGCGTGTCCACGCTCGGCGTGCCATCGGCGTCGTGGACGGTGGTCGGCGCGGGCGCGGTGACCCTCGTCGTCTTCGCCGACGTCGCGGTAGCACTTGACGTCGTAGCTCATACGCATATACACCGGGTACAGATGGCCGCATGTACATGCGTCTTCGTACGAGCATATATATGCATGCATGGAGACGACCAGCTATAGCCTAGCTAGCTTCTTGTTGGTTTGCCGCCCGATAACATGCAGACGTATATATTAACCAAGCATGTGTATATGGCTGAGCACACTCACATGTATATATGCCATTACGTGCAGTGGAGGAGCGCGGATGCGGGGGGTGCAGCGGAAGGCGAGCGCGGCGGAGGAGCGGCGGCGGGCGAGCGCAGCGGTGGGCAAAGCAGCGGAGGGCGAGCTAGCGAAGCGGAAGACAGTGGATGGGACGAGGAGCTTCCCCGTGCTCGGCCGCCACCACCGCCGTGCCCCCGCGGGTGGCCGACGATGCTAGGAGAGGCACCACCGGCGGGAGAAGGGGAAGAGGCAGAGGAAGCGATTGTTTCTTGGTTGTCGGCTGCCTCCCCCTCCCTCCTAAACTCGCTGGCCACCGCGCTCGCTCGCCGCCGCTCCACCGCCGCGCTCGCGCTCCGCTACTCTGTCCGCGGCCTGCTTGCGCTCCACTGCTCGGCCCACCGCCGCGCTCGCGCCTTCCGCTGCTCTGTTGCCGCGCTCGCCCTCCGCTGCGCCGCCTGCATCCGTGCTCGCCACTCCGCCTGCTGCCTCCGCTCCGCCGCCGCGCTCCGCTGCCTCCGCTCCGCCACCGGACGGCCGCGCCGCATAGCCTCGCCCACGGCGACGACGACGGTGGAGAGCCGACGACGGCGGCGGCCACGGCGCGCGGCTGCTCCGCCCGCAGCCTGAAGGAGAAGAGAAGAGAGAGAAAAGAAAAGAGAAGAGGAGAGAAGGAGAAGAAAAGAGGAGAAAAAAAGATGTGAAGCTGACATGTGGGCCCCATGTGTTTTTAAATTTTTTTTGCTGACTAGGATGCCACGTCAGTAAAACCGGGCAAAAATACTGCCGAGAGACCTCCGGTGAACAGTTTGAATGAGTTTAGGGGTACACATTTCTGGTTTTGTGGTTAAGGGACCTCAAAAAATCTCGCTGTTAAATTGAGGGACCTCCGGTGAACTTATTCCGGCAAACTAACAGTTCCAATTTAGAGGGCAGTTGATATCACAGCAGCAAACTTATCATGGAATACAAACACAAAGTTTCAGAGTCTAATTATCTGTATCTCATATGCTTACATATTGCTCCAGACCCTCAGATACCTTATATTAGCATGGTATCCCTCAATACATGTCTTAGGAAGACGCACAAAAATTGCTTCGGACGAATGCAGCATAGCCGTCACGTGTCCAAGACAACAGGTAGCATCTCATTCTAAGCACTGGGCATTGACGGTACACAAGACAAATAGATGATCAAACACAGTACAGTATCACTCCTATTGTCCTACACCACATGCAACAATATAGGTGCACGCGGACCTCTGCATCATCCTCTTCGTTCATAAATGCAAAATTGTACTATCTTCCAACTCGCTCCCTGTAAAAGAATTCAACCTCGACTGACACAAATCTCCTGGATTTCATTCAGACCAATTAAAAAGAAGGGGAAATCAGGTTATCATCTTTGACTAGGCTGAGAAGAGCAGAGGCAAATAATCCTCCAAAGCCTGCAGAAGATCAGCAGTCCAGCAAGCACTGAATTCAGTTGTGGTGTTTTTCTTGTAACTTTTACTCCTTCTTAATATACTCGGATGGTCTCCTTCAGCCTTCCCGGCGAAAAAAAAAACACTGAATTCAGACAGTTAGTTCATCACCTCTGCCATTATTCTTCTTGATAATCAATTTAGCAGATGTGCCATGAATGAACCATGAAGAGTGATCGTGCGCCTCCTGGGCCTAGTCAGGAGTAGTGCTCATGAGTAGCGAGTAGCCATGAAAATTATCCAAGTCCTCGACGCAGCTCCTCTGAGCCTCAGGAACTCATAATCCAGGCGCAAACATCCACTTCTACCCTCCCATGTCTTCTTCTGATCGCACCGGCATTGTTTGGTTTGGAATTGAAGCACCCCATCACCTGCAAATTTGCAGCTTGATTTGTCTGTGAATTCAGAAAAAGAAACATCAATTTAAAGCAGAATAGCATTGGACAAAAACCTGAATGATTGGTGGGCTGAAGAATCAATCAGACATAGAAAACTGAACTAATATGTATACAGGCGTACATGCAATGCAAGCATTGATAATTAAGGTGATAAAGAAAGATAGAGTTCCTTCCAATAAAACTAAAAGAAATGGCAGGCAGGCCATTGAAATGTAAGCACTAGCAATCTGCCCTACCTACATATCACAAACATCACGCCTCCACTCTGTTCCGGGCAGGATGAAAGGGAATAGAGATGGGAATTTACCAAGCCAGAGAACACAAGGTGCCACCTCTTGCAGACAGCAGAAATCAATGATGCAAAGGGACATGTGGAAGGTACAAGAAAGAAACTGCTTGTGCTAACTAATTGCTATGATTTAGTAAATTAAGTGCCAGCCAACAGAGGGAACCAATTAAGTGACTCACGAGCATCATCGACATCAAAAGACCAAAGTGCAAGACTATTTCTATAGCCCACTCTCAATTCACAGTCTCTGAAAAGTTCATCCCTGAAATATGAGCATTCCCCTCCTCGCATTCTAGACTGCAGGATTTGAAGATTTCATTCTTGCTTGGTGCATCACTTTGTATACGCTCTTTGTGATTAGGCCTCTCTCAATGGCATGAACCCAGAGCATATTAAGCGATCCCTTCTCATCAGCATAAGAGGTACACATACAGTTGTAAATCTGGGGTGTTATGTACAACTGCTTCTTCGCCATCTCATTCAAGATATCCAAAGCAGCAACTGGCTTCCCAGCAGTCAGATATGCACACGCAAGTGTAGCATACACAAGACAGTCAGCTTCTAGACCTTTGCCTTGCATTTCATTGAACACATTCCCAGCAAGATCAATAAACCCTTTCTTGCATAGCCTTCGGATCAGAGACCTATATACTGCTTTATCTGGTGGAAATCCTCTTTTCATAAGTTCATCAGGAATGGCTAGAACTGCAACTGCATTATTCTTGTTGCATAAACCATCGACAATCCATGACAACACACTATAATTGGGTGAAAATCCTGCGTACAAGGGGAAAAAACACAAGATATACCAAACATCATTAGAAAATACTGATATGGATTGATAACTGATAAAACAGAGTCAAAGATGCTGCATGCTTTTCTATTATAACAAAAAGGATCTCTCAATATGCATTATTAAGTCTTGATGATGTACTATCGCTACCAATCAGAGCCATAAATTTTAGTTAGATTTGTAGTACCTGCACCCATCATCTCAAACAAGGCTTCCTTGGCTTCATCCAGCTCCTTGGCCTTACAGAAACCATGGACGAGAGCCTTGTAAGTGAACTGATCCAACTGTAGCCCTGACTCCATCATCCTTCTTTTCACCTTGAGCGCTGAGGTCATGTCCCCTCTCTTGCAGTATGCGTTGATCAGCGTGTTGCACGTTACATGATCAGCCTGCACCTTCCTCTCATCCATCTCATTAAGTAACACATTGACCTCCTTCATCTTGCCATCTTCACAGAGCTTCCTGAGAATCGCATTGTATGTCGCGACACCTGGTAGCATCCCCATTGCCTCCATCTCCCCTCGCAGCTTGACCGCCTCCTCCAAGTCGCCTGCTCGACAGTACCCATCAACAAGCGTGGTGTATGTGACATGGTCCGGTGCCACCCCTGCCATCGCCATCTCTCTCAGCAGCTGACTCGCCTCCTTCACCCTGCGCTCCTTACACAAGCCATGGATCAATGAGTTCCATGTGACGACGTCAGCCTTGACACCCTGATTCTCCATCCGCTCCCGTACGCACATGGCCTCGTACTGCATGCCCTTCCTGCAGTAGAGCGCGATGACGGTGTTGAAGGAGAACCTATCGAGCGGCACACCGGCGGCGTCCATCCGCGTCATCAGAGACTCAGCGAGCGCGGCGTCCCCGGCCTTCAAGCAGACGTGCAGCATGGCGTTGTACACGTGGGTGTTCATGGCAACCCCGGCCCGCGTCATTTGGTCGAACACCTTGCGCGCGGTGGCCGTCATCCGGGACTTCGCGAGCGCGGTGAGGAGCGCGGAGGAGGCATGCGCGTCGGGGACGACCTCGCGCGCGCGCATGTGGTCGAAGACGCGGAGGGCGTCGTGCGGGCGGGCGGACTGGGAGAGGAGGAGGAGGAGCCAGCTGGGGAGGTGGGGGTCGGCGAGGAGGGAAGGGAGGAGGAGCGGGGAGGAGAGCGGGTGGCGGAGGGAGAGGTCGCGGAGGAGGGAGCGGGCGGTGGGGTGGTGGCGCGGGTGGGGGGCGAGGAGGCGGAGGAGGGCGAGGGAGGCGTCGAGCGGGTGGGGCGGAGGCAGGGAGCGGAAGAAGGCGAGCGCGGTGGAGGGGAGCGGGGAGAGGCGGTGGAGGACGGCGGCGAGGAGGGAGGGCGAGGCCGCGAGCAGGTGGTGGTGGTTGTGGGGTTGGGTTAGCGTGGATTTGATGACGGCGGCGCAGACGGCCTCCACGCCGGCGGGAGGCGGCGCCATCAGCGGGAATCACCTCTTACTCAAGGTGCTACTACTAGTAGCAGCCGATGACGACGAGTGTATCTGCCTTGCCGTCTGATCCACAGACTGAACGGTCCAGATTGCAAGGGAAATTTTATTTCAAAGTTGTTGTTGAATTTTTTTTCCCAAGTCGTTAAAGATTACAATAATCTGGATTACAGTAATGTTAAATTGAAACAAACAAGGCCTTAGTCTATGCTCGGAAGCTTTGCTTTTTGCCGTACACAAAATGAAAAAAAAAACATGATTAGTGTACTAGCTATAAACTTGAAAAATAAGTTTATTTTAAATTTTTTTAATATAAAAATATTTACAGAATATTTAATAGTTTGGTAAGCGAATTTATGATAAACGAGAAAGTTGTAAAAGCTAAGTGAGGTTCCGTATGCATCCCGCATTGTTAAACAAGTTTTGGATAGCATTCTGAACCCAACCGTCCGGGCGGAAGAATATGCAAAATCCCTCGACATTACAATACTGTAGGAGTAGCTAATTAATACTCCTCTAAACACAAGTATGCTGCTGGTTTTTTTAGCCTTCCAAAAACCAATGCTTTCCTCCAATTCCCTGAGTGTTAGAAACATGTTCCGACCAATTTGTTGTACTAGCTTGATGTGATGAGCAGCAGCCCCAGCGCATCGATCAGCAGGTAAACAACACATTTCAGACAAAACACGAACTAATTAACTTCTTTGCACCGATGCAAAGCTCACAGTAGGACTCTTGCAACACTAGTATATGCTTATAGCTATATAGACCAGTAATATAATAAGGGTAAATGTGCATACCTTAATAACTGGTTTCTCAGTCATCACCAATGTCACCCACCCAGCTTTGGGTAGATACCTGTTAACATTACAGAAGAACAGTATATTAATCAGCCCATCACCAAAACACAAATTCACAAGTACTACTCCAGTAGACAATTAAGCCAAGGTGAAAGTATTTTTACCCTATGGCCCGTCCCATGATGTGATGTTGCTGAAGCCAAAGCTGCCCATGTGTGTAAAGAATTCGGTCGTCCATAGGATTGTTGTCACCTGATAATGAGACAGTTCATCGATCAGTATAACGCAGCGCTATTCACAGTACAAATTAATTCATGCTCATCACTTGAGCCAACAGATATATATGATTCAGATTACTTAATTAATATGCAAGGAACAAAATTAGGAGGTCAAAACCACTGATAGAAAATAGTAATAAGTGTAAGTATACCTTTTGTGAGGAAATCAACTTGTGCATTATCCCGTCGTTCGTGAACCTACAAGGAGATATAATATAATTAACAAGGAAAATTTTCAGACATAATACCTGAGATCAAATGTAAGGGGAGACTGATTGGTGTGGATATTACAAAGCTTAACGACCTCAATAACGCGATGGACGATTGGAATTTCACGGCCCTACAAATCAAAGAGGCAAATCGCAATAAGTTAATTAGTGCCTTGCAAATGATGCACGTGTATTAGCATCATTAAAACAAGGTTGGAGAAAGGGCTGCTTTGTTGATGATTCAGAAAATATTTTTATGGTGATCGATAAACCAGTGACAATTCAGTAGGGACTTACATCATTGAAAACAACTATATCTCCTGTTCGTATAGGGTGTTTGCTCATTTGCAAAAACAGGATATCCCCCTGCCAGGCAAGCAAACACACTAACATTGATCAGGTGAATCACAAGCTAGGACATATAGATGACAACAGTTTGAAGAAAATGGTAGAGTGATTAGTAGTGAATTCATGCCATGGGATGGAGGAAGGAAAATAAACAGACCCTTTCAAATCCAAGCTCCATGCTTTCAGATAGAACCACAACTAGTGGCGACTCACTCCCTGTCATGATAATCAATCCCTTCCATATCATCAATGCCGAGCTGATAACCATCCCTGTCAGTGCCAAACAACAAACAGATTAACTAAACGGGGAGGGAGAACGAGCAGCATATACAAACACACTAATTCTAATCAAAATTCACTGTCTTTATCCATTGAATTCACGCCTGTTTGGAGTCAGTCAGTCAGGCATATGAAGGGACAAGGTCTACAGGCACTAGCAATTTAATCGAAGCGCAAAAAGGCGTAATATTATGCAAAAAAGAAAAGAAAAAAAGGATCGATTGTTACCCAGGGTAATGAGGTGGACGAGGGCGTGGCGAATCTGCATCGCGCGGATCGGCTCGATCGACGATCATATTACTCCATCGCTACAGTATATATCTGCTAGCTAAGCTACTACTGCCTCTGCTCGATCGGGAGGAGAAGCAGCTACTACAAGAGGTGGAAGAGAAGTGACGCGGAGAGAGAAGTCAAGCGAGGGAGGGACGGACGCAGAGAGAGAGAGAGAGAGAAGAAAGAAAAGTCAGACGTGGCGGCTCCTTCACTTTCAGTATGGGCCGCTGGCCCATCACATCAATGCAAGTCCGGCCTGCCCGAATAAAAGTTCACTTTGTCTCCCTTAACTAGTGGCCGAATCTGATTCATATCCCTCAACCACAACACCGGATATCTGGACCTGTGTTCGAGTGGAGTATTTGTTTTTTCCATGATATAATAATAAGTATGACATTTCTAGACTAGTAATTCTAATAACTACGAGATTCGGCCAGAGCAGCTACACAAGATACACATTATTTGAGATTTCTTTTATAAAAATTTTAATTTTTTTTCCTAGCTAGCTAGCTAGTACTCCCTCCAGGTTTTTTTATATGATGTTGGCTAGTTCAAATTTATACTAGTCAATGTCATACATATATGTATGGAGGTAGTAGTAACTAGCTTCTCTTTCATTTTTCTTGCAACATGTGGTGCGGTGTGACACCCATGCATACATACATGGCACAATATGAATGAATATACATAATAGATTTTATTTGATTGATTCTTCCTCCTCTGCATCTGCATGATGCCTTGGACCTTAATAATTTCTCCCTTGTCGACTCGATCCTTAATTGGTGTCAGTGAGTGGGGGAGGAAGGCGATACTCGTCGGGTTTGAGAGCCACGGCGAAGTCCGGCAGCGGCGGCGCGCTGTCAGCATGGTCATGGATGATGATGTTGTCCTTGTTGTAGAGGTCCTTGTTGATCCGAACTTTGCACGACGACTCCTTGTGTATCTTCTCCTGAAGATACCTCATCGATCCCCACAGCGGCGGGCTTCTGCATTATTATTCACATGCATGCAGGTACCAAAATTCAGAAATCTTAGAGATTCTTAAGCTAGCTCACTGCAGATAACACTACATCTGAAAAGAATGGAATGCACGCCTTGAAACAGGAGATGCCGCATGGAAGGCTTCACATGCAGCTTTGCTCTCTTTGAGCAACTCCTCCGCTGATTGCAGCGCTGCCACCGCCGTCCTATGAGATTTCTCACTGTTTCCTTCATCAAGGATTAGTCCATGGTAGTAGTATGCCGCAGCCTGTTTGTAGCAGGAGGATCCACATATGTTTCTCTTCAGTTATAGATAGATTTTATCATAGTGTAAATGGAGTATGAAATTAACACACTCACAACAAAACCGTCCTTTTTGCAACATGACTAAATTATCTTTACACAACTACACTATGTGTTAATGTACTTCTTGTTAATTTGTATAGGACAGCCATTAATTTGTTTGTGCTTACAGCATCATTCGTTGTAGTATTAATGTTTCAGAATATGAAAGAAGTTTTACATACTTTTGCTTCGATGTGTTTCCATGTAACAAAGAGCCTGTGCTTTTCTGCCCAGCCATCAAGCAGAGGTAGGTCCGAAATGCTTTCATGTGCCTGAAAATGAAATAGTACACAAGAAAGATTGAACAGATCAAATGAAAGAGATTATACAGAAAAGAATATTGATTCTCTATTTATCAAACTAAACTGCAGGAGCATTTATCGTTTGATTTGTGACTCCTCATAGGCTGCTAGGAGTAGTTTCTGAACTCAAACATTTGCTTACTGACTGCAAAGCTACGTTCAGACAATGTTCAGAGTTCAGTTGAGGAACAGGTAAAACCCAGACTAAGATCTCAGCAGAGGTTGAACATCATTAGTAGCAATAATCCCTATAGCCTCAGTGCCTCACAGTGAGGCCATAATGATGAATATCCAGGAGTATCAATTCAAGATTAACCAAAGATGAGGCAAATAACAATTGAAGCTGCTTCCAAGTGTTACACGTGCCTTTGTCAGTTACTACTTAGTCAATAACAGCATTACTTAAGAACAGACTACTTCAGATATAGCACTGATATGGAAAACAAGTACTACCTGCTGCCAGCACTTGACCATCTCACATGCCAGCCTCCTCTTCACTGCCAAGGTAGCCTTTGGACTGTCAATTGCCAATCCAAGCTGAACATCAATTGCCTGACAGTACACCAAGCCGCGTGACATGGACATTTTGTCAGGATGATGTTCTTCAGACATAAGTAAAAGCCACAAAACTATAGCATGTACGCAAAGCCATGGCATTTGACTTATACTAGTAAAATTATGACGATTGGTCTTAGAAATGGACATTTCAACTGCTATTTACATGAGTCATGTGATTTCTAGCTATTTGATTTGAAAGAAAGATTCACCCAAAAAAATAAAATAAAAGGAAGCAGATGGAGAAACGCTTTACTTGACCCAGGGCTTGCATGCAGATAGCTTTCAGGATTCCTTCAGCTAAGTCCACAGGAAGACCTTTCCTACACGAAATGGCAGTCAGCAACAATAACTCCTGTCCGACCTGCACTAACTACAGAACGCAACATTGTTCATCAAACACACCACCTTTTCTCCGGCGATATCTTAGGTAGAACATGCTGGATTGCACACTCCAAGTATCCGGCTGCCTTGAGAAATATCTCCACTGAAGCTCGTTTGTTTTCTGAAAAGTAAAAAAGGGAAACACAGAACAGTCAAAATGCTGCAACGGACAACAGCTGAGAAGTAAGGAACATCATCGAAAATTCAGAAGTAACAAGTACTACTTCAAAATTCAGAAGTAACAAGTACTAATTCTGCATCAGCGAGGAATCAATGGTGATCATGGTACAGACCTTCAGATACCTTAGCATGGTATCCCTCAATGGATGTCTTTGGAACAAGAAGGGAATTTGCTTGGGACAAACGCAGCAGAGCCATCAAGTGTAGAACTGATAGCACCTCATACCAAGCACTGGGCATTGACGTATCCTACACAACACAAATAAGTAGACGATTAATCACAGTCGTATCACTCTTACTTGCCACAGAAAATCAAACAGTACGCATAACAGCATGTAGACCTCTGCGTCATCCTCTTGGTTCATCCATGCAAACTGTACCTTATCTTCCAACTCGCTCCCTGCAAAAGAATTGAAGAACCAGGAGTACTGACAGTTAAATTTCCTGGATTTCATCAAAGAGCAAAGAGAAGGAAGAAAAGCATACATGAGGAGTTTTACCATCTTTTACTAGGCCAAGAAGAGTGGGCAAGTAATCCTCCAAAGCTTGCAGAAGATCAGCTGACTTAGACCCCCCTGCAAGCACCAAATTCAGACAGTTAGTTCATCACCTCTGACATTATTCTTCTTGTCATCAGATGATGAGCCATAAAAGGATGAACCATGCTGAGTGATGGTGATCCTCCAGGTGGGCTTGGTCATGTACAGTGCCTCATGAGCAGCCATGACAATTATCCGATTCCTCAACGCGGCCAGGCGTTCGGTGAGCCTCCTTGGGAGGCCATCACCTAGCGGCTGAAGGGGCAGCTCATCCGAGCTCTCGGGTACTCTCAATCCAGGCACGAACACAGCCACCTCGCCTATGCTCCCGGGTCTTCTTCTGATCGCACCGGTGTCGTTTGGCTTGGAATTGAAGCATCCCATCTCCTGCAAGTTTGCAGCTTGATCTGTCCGTGAATTCAGTTAGAATGAACACAACCTATAGCTGAACTACATGCAAGGACATGAATAATAATCAGAAGTGGTAACAAACTGAAGAAAGGTAAGACGTGTACAAACAAACAAACAAACATACATACAAGCATTTATAATAAGGTAGCAAAAGAAAGGTAGTGTTGCTTTCAATAAAAACTAAAAAAATGGCAGGCAGCGATTGATTGAATTGTAAGCACTAGCAAGCAATAACAATCTGGCAAGAATTGAGAAGCTAGCTAGTTCTAGGATGCAAACGAATGCATAGGTTAATCAGTTACAAATGATAATCTCAAAGACAAAAGACCAATTTAAAGATGGAAATTACCAAGTCAGAGAACACAAGGAGGAAGGTGCCACGTCTTGCAGAGAGCAGATCGATGAATGGTGCAAAGCGAAATGGGGGGGAGGTAGAAGAAAGAAAGAAACTGAATATGCTAGCTAATTAAACTGTGGTGATTTAGTGAATTATTAAGTGCCAACCAAGAGAGGGAAGCAATTAAGTGAGTCACGAGCATCACATCGACATCAAACAACCAAAGTACTGGCTGCAAGCTCACATGCCCTACCACGACACGTCAACGATCGATCTTGCAACTAGAATTCGCACTTTTTCTCCCCTTGCATGAATCATTCATGAAAATTTTATTATTTTTTCTCACACTTTTCCATTTCTCAGTAATAATAACAATAAAAAGAAACTGTTAGCACCTGATTGCAAAGTCAACCTTCAGTTAGAACGGACAGTTTGACTGTATCCAGAACCAATCAGCTTCTATTATTGGTCACAAAGAAATCGATTTTTGCGTCTGCCCTCGGAGATATTCAGGAATATTTGAAGGAACCGCATAAAAACTGGGCAGGAGACGATTCGGAGTAATTAAAGAATCAGTGAAGAAAACCGATCGAGTGGGATTGGACGAGCGAAATTAAAGAAGAGAAGGGAATCAAGCACGACAAGTTCAAATCCATTGGCCGCTAGATATGGAGTTGGAGGAGTCGCTTACCGGCCTTATGGGGGCGAAACCCAGGTGAAGAAGAAGGCGAAATGGCGCCGAAACGTGAAAGGGCTTTCCCGGTTTTAAAGAAGAGAGCAAGGGGAGGGAAAGCAGATGAGGCTGACCTGTGGGTCCCACTCTTCACACCATTTTCGTTTTACAAATAAGAATTTACGCCCACTCCTACCGGGTCAATGTAATTTTGCAAAAATTAAAGGCTTGTTCCTTCCTTGCAAAACACAATACTACGTGCTGTACTCTTCAGTGAAACTGAAAACAGGTTTGGGGTCGGGTGCGCACACGTCTGGGCCTTTCGTGCTCCTCGCCGTCGGCTGATTTTGCTGATTGGTGGCTTGCAGCCCGGAAATCTGTTGCTAAGGTTGACCGCAAAACGTTCGATGCGGGGGTGATCCTTGTAACCTGGTTGATTTGGAAAGAGCGAAACGCAAGGGTGTTCGAAGGGATCGAGGCAACGATTCTCCATCTTTGTTCCGCCATGGGGGATGAATGGGAGACTTGGATAGCTGCAGGTCTTGTTAGCCCCATGTGTCACTCTGTAGCAACTCATTCTGTGAGATTTTAGCTTTCTTTTTATGTCTGTAATGGTGGTGCATTGACTCATCGCGCTACCTTGTACATTTCTTTTCTTACTCTTAATATACATTGGCCGGCTATTCTCTGGCCCGGCGAAAAAAGAAAACTCAAGTGAGAATCATGGCTTTCTGGAGAAGGCAAACACACACCTCGGATTGTAGTTTGTAGCATAGCATAATAACCTCTGCCCACTGGATTTTGGAGTAGCAACGGTTGCTGTAAGTCACCAGTGCAACAATGATAATGTGCAGGAGTATTTAATTCTCACACTACAATACAGCTAGTGTCATTCTGATAAGGTTTAGTTCATCCCTAATCTGGATAAGATCTGGTAATCCAGCCGTTTGGAGACGCTTCAAGTCATGCTATGATAGACCAAGAATTTTCCTTTTGAGTGGATGTCAGTACACTTCACAGATATTTAAGAATCTCAGCTCCTTTCCTTAATTGTGAAACCATCGGTTGCAAGAGGAGAAGCTTGACAGAAGCTAACCAACTTGTAACTTGAGATTAGAGGAACTAAGATTGGCAATCATCATCCAATCAAGTAGTAAAGGATAGCAAGGCAAAATGTACTAGTACGTCATATCAATTTACTGATTAGTTTGTTACTCGTCCAATTAATCAGGCTTCAACACGTGTCAGATTGCTCCAATTCAGTCCTATCTGAAAGGTTGGAGGAGGTTGTTGGAGACTCTGAGAAAGAAATGTATGTTGAGGCCGACTGAATACTGTTTTTATGTGACCATGTATGTAGTCATGACCCATTCTGCAATTTCTTAGTACTCCCTCCGTTTTAAAATATTTGGCACCGTTGACTTTTTAGCACGTGTTTAACCATTCGTCTTATTCAAAAAATTTAAGTAATTATTTATTCTTTTCATATCATTTGATTCATTGTTAAATATACTTTCATGTACACATATAGTTTTACATATTTCACAATTTTTTTTAAATAAGATGAATGGTCAAACACGTGCTAAAAATTCAACGGTGTCAAACATTTTGAAACGGAGGGAGTACTTGGTAGTAGTAGTACAGTCCAATTCCAAATATATTCTGTTGTGCATGTTTGAATTGGATAGAGTTAAATATGGATATGCTGATGCTTACAGATGAAAACGAATACGTTAACAAGGACGTTGATGTACTGTTTTTTTTTTCAAAGAAGCAATACTCTACTTACCTCTGAGCCATAAGAATATGTAGAGGATTGATATATGATGAGAAGACGAGATGATAAGGAAAAAAACAAATACTGTACTGTATACTCCTATGTAGCTACGCCTCAAATTAAGTTCCTGTGAGGCAGGCAAATCCCATGTTGCGATGATGAACTAGAAATAAGGAGCAAACAAAGAAATGAAGACGTCAGCGTGGATTATGTAATGTACTGAAGAATGAAGATGAAAATCACAAGCAAACAAGAAAAGGTACTATTACGGCCCAGAGGAAAGGGATGATGCGGCCCACAGCCCAATAGATGAGGAAATAAAAGATCTGCTCCTACCAGATTTGGTGTGAACCACACACACTAATCCGGTCCACCGGAATCGAAACCAAACTGTTGATCATCGTGCACAAGCACAACTTGCCAACCGCCACTTCACGCGATCGATCACTCTCACTCCTCTCGCTGCCGCTGCCGCACCTAGCCAAATTATGCCTTCGCCTTCGCACCTCGCCGGCGCGCTGGACGCGGCGCGCCCCTTCCTGCGCGGCGAGGAGGAGCAGGTGGACCCGGCGCTCCCCAAGCTGGCCGCCGTGCTGCGCGCCGCCGGCGCCGGCGAGTGCTGGCACAAGCACGGCACCTTCCTCGCCCACCTCCTCGACGTCCACCGCATCCTCCGCCTCTGGGGCGCCCCCGACGCCGTCGCGCGCTGCGGCCTCTACCACTCCGCCTACTCCAACTCCTACGTCAACCTCGCCATCTTCGAACCCGACGTCGGCCGCGACCACGTGCGCCCCATCGTCGGCGCCGCCGCCGAGCGCCTCGTCCACCTCTTCTGCGTCGTCCCGCGCCACCAGCTCATCCACGACGACCTGCTCTTCCACTACGCCGACCAGGACCTCGTCGCCGACCTCGCCGCCTCCGAGGCGTCACTGCAGGACGCGCGGCGCGGGCTGTTCCACCACGACGGCGAGGCCTGGCGGCTCAAGATCCAGCGCCTCCTCCCGCCCCACGGAATCACTGTCAAACACATCAGGTGAGTTAGTTAATTAGTTACAATAAATAAATCTTCTTAATTTCTACTGCTCAGCACCAGATGGGGTTACGAGAATTAATTTTTCTCCGACCCTAGATGATGAGTTCATTATGGGAACCGTTCGATTCAGAACGTGTGGTGAAGAATCAATCGGACAGAGTCCATCACAGCATATATCTTGGTTCAGAAAATCTATTCCACGACATCCCGTGGAGACGGGATAGTAATCCGGATCGATCCCCTCCTCCTACCTCACTCTTCTCCCCCAAATCGTCGGAGCCAGCGGCCACTGTCGTCCCCGTCGCTGTCGCCCCACCGCTCGTCGGAGCCGGTGGCCGCCGTCGTCCCCGTCGCCGTCGCCCCACCGCTCGTCGGAGCCGGCGGCCACCGCCGCGGGGGAGGCGGCGACGACGAGGAGCTTGGCGACGGGTGAGGTGAACAAGAGGGAGAGCGGGAGCGGGGGCGCGGAGGCCGCTGCCGGCGCCGGGGAAGCCGCTGCTGGCTCAGGACCCCGGCCGCCGAGGAGGACGACGACGGCGCGGCCTCGGCAAGGGTCGCCCTCAAGCTCGCCTCCCTTGCCGCGCCGCTCTGGCTCCCCGCTCTCGTCGGTCTTCTCATCGGCTGCCCCGCCTCGCCGACCACCGGATTCGCCGCTGCCTCCTCCACGCTTCGCCTCGCCGACCACCGGATTCGCGCGCCACCTCCTTCTCCTGCTCCACCACGCGGCTACCTCCTCCTCTCTCTCCTCCTCCAGGCCACCAGGTACTAGATATCACGGGTACCCGGTACCAGATACTAGGTACTAGCCTGGTACCAGGTACCAAAGGTATCAGTCGGTACCAAAGGTACCTGGTACCGACTGATACCAAGGTACCAGGTATCAGGATGGAGAGGAGGTAGAGGTTCCAGAGCATGTTGCCGCCGGCGTTGCAGTGACCGAGACACCGAGATCGCCAGATTCTTCTGCTTCTGTAGCGGCGGAGGAGGAGCCACCTACGCTCACCGGCAAGGAGGCGGCGGGAGCAGCGGGCAAGGACGACGGCGACCTTGGCAAGGAGCGCGAGGGAGGAGGGGAGAGGCCCCGGCGCCGGCAGCGACGAGAGCGCCAGTGGAAGAAGCAGTGCCACAGCGCGCGGAGGCGGCGCCGCAGCGGGCGGAGGACGACGTCGTGGAGGTGCGGCGAGATCACCCTCGATGCCGCCCCGACCTCGCCGACGCCGTGCCGTCGTCATCCACGGCCGCCGGAGACGACGACGACCCCTTCCTCCTGGCCAACTTCATCTCCGCCTCTCGTTTTCTTCTCCTGTGTGAGAGAGTTTGTGGAGGGAAAGGGAAGGAGACAAGGTAGTGGAGATCTTATCCCGTGGCTGCTACGTTGCAACGGAATCTCGTACGGTAGCTGCCCTCTTCCAAAAATAAGCATTTTCTACGTAATTTAGTAAGGATTTGGTCAAAATTTGAATTTAAATTGCCTAGATGCATTTCCGAAGATTCGGATTGGTTGAAAATGTGTGGATTTTCGTGTATTAAAATTGGTGTACACATACATAGCAAGACGGTTACCATGGCATCAACCGAAAACCGTGTGAATTTCATCTTCGACGTTTAGAATTTAGAATTTAGAAGTTTTTAAATCTCACGACAACAGCTCGAGTGAAAATCATAGGCATGTCGGATGTCATCATCTTCTACGCTGTTGCTTGGAGAGCATCCGCTGTAAACAATTTTCATACAGTGATACTAGTGCCAGATCCGGTTCCTGAGTATCAGACCCGTTATCTATATATATCTGACCTGGTACTCGTATGTGCCATACCTAGTATCGGGTATCAGGTATGATAATTTGATACCTGAGTATCACGTATGATACATACATGTATCTTATATGGTACATGGTACTTGCGAGCCATATATAAATCAGGCATCGTGGGAGCCCAACGTGCACTAGTCAATCTCAGTACCAGACATAATAGTGTATCATCAAAGATTATCAAGACAAAAAAAATCTTTTTATTTTTCACAAGCCTCGCTCCATGGCTCGGGAGGCATATTGCCCTGCCAAGACATCTGGCCATGCCTGCCCAAACTCAATTAATATATCACAACTCAAAGTGCCCAACTAAGCAGCTCTCTCGAGACCTAGTCGTTGAGACCCATGCATGTAGACCGGTCAAGCTGGGGCACTTGCACTAGTGGGAACACGGAATAGCGCATGTTTGATGTGGAGCGGCATGTGCGACTTTGGTTTCAGACATGGTAGTTGGGAGCGACGAAGCGCTAGATGCGGAGCAGGTGACGTCAGCACTTATCCCGTTGAAACGGAATCCCGTTGTCTAGCCGTTCTCATCTTGGTTACCAGGAAAAAAACACTTAACAATTCATGACAAAATTAATCTTCTCATACATGTTTTATACGATCAGAGGATTTGGCAGAAAGATGTCTTGACAATTTTACAGACTGTTGTTTATTATACCTGACAATACAAAAGAACATAAGCTCATGTTGGCAGCTAGTGCCAATAAAATTTGGGGAGATATCCAGTAAACATGGGAGTATCTAGTTTGTTTACTGCTGCGATAATAACGTAACTTACAATTTAGATCATATCATCCACAAGTAACTGTAATCTACAGTGCATGAGTACAATGCAAAGGCAAACCAACCCCATGCATAGATAGCAAACAAACTTAGTTGCATTTCGAAGTTGGTTCTACATACTTCGATCAGATTGCACCTGATTTTTGTCTGTACTTTGAATTGGAAGGACTGGCGAGGATGTGGCACTGTCGAGGCGCATCGCGGCAACCTTCCTTCTCATGACAATGGCGGACTTCAGCGACCAGCTCTTCGACTGGCAGGATCGCCTCTTCGACAACACCAATGGCCGCCTCGAGTTCAGTGGCAATACCTGGACTTCGCTCTGGCCAGGCACCGGCAAGCCCGGCCTCTGGACTGCCTCCATATCCCGCATGGGCGCGCTCTACAGCCTCATCGTTCGCGAGGAAGAGATACACATAGCTCAACGAAAGCATAGCAACAATGGCCAAGAAGACGATCGTGACGAGGACATTGAGCTGGTGATCCCACCGGTGTTCAATGGCTGCACCCAGGTGCTCACCGCCGACGACCAGAAGGCGGCACGGGACCTCTACTGGGATGCAGTTTGCAGCGGCGGCGAGGACGAGACGGATTGGCGCAAGGTGGAGGAGATCCTGCGACGGTGCATTGGCAGGAACCCGTTTGTAGGAGAGCCTCACCTGGTTCTTGCTCAGGTGCTTCTGAACATGGAGATGTATGAGGAGGCAGAGGAGCAGATAGAGGCAGGGGTGAAGCTGTTGCTGGAGTGGGGGAGCAGCTGGGACAAGAGGATGCCATGGGAGGCTTGGGTGTCATGGGGCAGGGCGATGCTGATCAAGGCCAAGGACAAGGATTGGCCGCACACCTCCTTCGGCATCCTCAGCATAGGGCTTGTCAAGTGAGTGAACCCATTCACCTCCACTCTCTGATGGTAAATTAAGCTGCACCTGTACTGTACATGTCATAACATCACCTGATAATTGCTGTATCCTCTCCATCGGTATATATATGCTTAGCTCGATGGAGGAAATCAAACATGATGGATATGAAATAAATCGCTCCACAAATATCAAAATAATTTGACGCATCCATAGATATCATTTCGTGCCAATGCCAACTGGGTTGAGTTGAGAATTGTGCTATCTACTACTTTAGGTCGTTTGATCATATAAGTCCTTTTGACTTTTTTATGAGGTAATTTTTTTAGATTTGACTAAATTTATAAAAGAAAATTAACAATATTTCAAAACAAAAAATTGTCACAGCAGTCAGCCAAATGAATGAAGCAACAGGGATGGGCATAGGTTCAAACGCTTAAAAAAGTGAAAAATACCCAAAGAATTGTTTCATAGTGAAGCCCCATTTGGATTGGAGGTTTTTGTACAGCGACTATTCCGTATTGGAAGATTTGACTGTACCCAGAATAGGGCTTTTCTCATGACAGTTTAATTATAATTATTTGGTTCCTATTTATTCACGAAGAGGCACAGAATGGATCACATGGTTACATCATGTGTCCATATATAAAAGTACGTTAACAACAGTTAAAATCATGTTTGTTAACACTTGACAGTTGGTATGAATTTTGTATTAGAGTCATCACTAAATTAATTTGTATTGGGCAAATCCAATGACTTACTTTTTTAGCATAGTTTCTTTATTAAAAGAAATACAAATTCCGAATAGAGTTTCGTGACCCAACACAGCAACTTCGTAGTGATTTCATAGAGATAAGCAGAGAATAGAGCGGGGGTTACCGTGGAGGCAGCATCAGCAAGGGATGCAAGAGGAGCGGGACCTCTATGAAAGTAGTAAAACCAGTGAAGGTAGGCATTGTACTGCTGCAAGGCACATAGACTAGTGTTTTTCAAGTCACAAGAAAGTAGTCTGTCTGTTCCCAGTGATTTGAATTCATCTGATTTCACCATTAGGAAGCCACATGGGAAAAAAAACAGTTAACGTAATTAAATTAAACAAACCAAAAGGCCTGGGAGTTACCAGGGTAAACTAAAAGATCTAGCAGTGGCGGCGGTGGGGAAGAAGAAGCTCTGGCTTGGGCAACTTGTCCTGGACCGCCTGAGGCGCCTTGGAATCGGATATCGCACTTGTCCGACATTGACGCGCGCAGATGCGACCTTGCGAGAAGCGACAGGGGAATGAACGAGCACGGTCAAGTTTAGTGATATTCCCCATGGACGCCGAGCGTCCCCTTCCTCCGATTCGCAGTCGCACATGATGAGGATGAAAGAGAATCGGAAAAGCTAGTTGGCGCGCGCGCCGGCGGGGCGCGTTTTAGGCCCAGAAGGCCCAGTGCCGGCGCGCGCCCTTCTGCACGCTTTTTTTTTCTTTTTTTTTCGTTTTTTTCCTTTTTTTTTCCTCACTTTTTTTTCTGATTTTTTTTAATTTTTTAGCATGTTTTGAGTTTGAAAGTTTTTAAATTTTGAGTTGAAGATTTTCAAATCTGGATTTGAAAGTTTTCGAATCTCGATTTAAAATTTTCAAATCTTGATTTGAAAGTTTTCAAATCTCAAATTGAAAGTTTTTAATTTTTTTCAAATCTGGACTTGAAAGTTTTTGAATCTCTATTCTCGAGTTGAAAGTTTTTCAAATCTGAGTTGAAAGTTTTCAAATCTCGAGTTGAAAGTTTTCAAATCTCAAATTGAAAGTTTTTAATTTTTTTCAAATCTGGACTTGAAAGTTTTTGAATCTTGATTCTCGAGTTGAAAGTTTTCAAATCGGAGTTGAAAGTTTTTAAATCTAAAGTTGAAAGTTTTCAAATCTTAGTTGAAAGTTTTTAAAATTTAACTTTAAAATTTAAAACTTAAATCAAAAGTTTTCAAATCTAACTTCAAAAAATTTCAATCTGTTAGTAAAAAGATATCCCAAAAAAATTTCCAAATATTTTCTTAATTACTATCATTAGTGTTAAGTATATTAACTAATATACGTAATTAAGACTAAAGGGATAAAGTGCTCGGCAGGTTCTTTTCCCGGCGCGCGCGCGCAAGCCATCCCCGAAGAGAATGAAGGGGATGGAGTGGAGAGAAAGAGGGGGAGAGGGAGCGGATGAAGGAGAGGACCGCCACGACGGCGCGATCGCTTCACCGCCATGGCTACCGATCGCGACTGCGTTTCGTTTTGGGAGAATTGGCCCCAGGCCTACCACGCCACAGCCCAGTAAGGAGACGCGGGGCCCATTATGGCCCACCTAAACAGTACTCCGTATTATTTACTAGAGTAAATTGCACCCACAGTCCTAGTAAAAAAACCGGACCGGCCCGGCGGTTGAACCGGGAAAAACCGGAACCAGCCCCTCAGTCGGTTCGGTTTGCTGCAAGAACCGGATATGCAATCGAACCGGTCACAACCGGATGAACCGGGCGGTTTTTGGTGAAAACCGGCGAACCGGACGCTTCTGAACCAGCGGTTCTGACGAGCACGTGGACCAGGCTACAAAGGCCCACTAGGCCCAAGTCATAAATGAAAAAAAAGGAGTCATAAATGAAAAAAGGGTGGGAAGATGAGACTCGAACCCTGGTTGTCTCGTTACAGGTTCGACGACTAAGCCAACAAGACCACCTACAGATGTTGCTTTAAGGAGAATACACATGTAATATGAAGTCTTCTGTTCTGCAGTCGAACCGGACGACCCAGCGGTCAGACCGGTGAACCAGAAGTTTGACCGGTTCGATGGCCGGTCCGGTTTTTTGCACTATGCCCACAGTTCATCAACTTGGAAAGTGGGTGCAATTTGATGCAAGAACTTGAGAAATGAGCGTTCTAGTGCAATAACTTGGCAGATAAGTGCAATTTAATACAAGAACTTCATAAGTGATCGCATAAATGTAACAACTTGTAAGATATGTATGATTATGATACAATAAGTTAAGAAGTTATTCAACAACTTAATTATTTGGAGCACATTTTTACACATATTTGATTTTTAAGTGCTTATTTTGATAATATACTAGCGTGGGTTTGTATATAAGCATATTTATATTTTTATCCTAATAACTAATAATTGAAATTCAATTAAACTGGATGTGGAAATTATTGTATTTCGGTTGAGATTTGGGAAGGTGAAGAAAACAAAAATTCTTGAAGGTAATTGGATGTGCAGTATAATTCTTAAAGATTAAATTCAATATTATAAGGTAATATCCGTAGGATTGCTATGTAATGGCATATCGACATCGCGAAAAAAAAACTCACCTAGCATATGCTTAGCTAAGTTGATGCATCAAAATACTAAATTGTTAAGTTCTTATACTAGAACGTACCCACTTGTCAAGTTGTTGCACTCGAATGTTCAATTCTCAAGTTCCTGTACTATATCGCTCCCACCCGTCAAGTTGTTGTACCGTGGGTACAATTTACGCTATTTACTATTATGTTCTATACTATACTATAGTAATTCCAGCGCAGCGCACATGCAGACTGTTTGCTGCTTTTGCAACATTTGACATTGCAATGCTCTCTAAACCCTCTACTCTAATTGCCTGTCCTTGATGATCAACTCACAATTATTTTTTGCGAGCGGGGAACGATAATAATAGTTACTGCCTTCGTTTCAAATAATAATAAGATGTTTTGAATTCGAACTAAAACTTTTCAATTTTTGAATTAAAAGTTTTTAAAATTTTCAGAATTGAATTGAAAGTTTTTGAAAATTTGTGTGGTTACTTTTTAGAATCGATTTTTTCCATTTGTTTGTATGTTTGATATTTCTTGTATCTTTTTCATATGGTTTGTTTTGTTCCACCTAAGTAGAGAAAAGAAAAATATGTTTTTGCATAAGAATACCGGATAGTGTCCGACCGTTATCCGATTCCGACGGATATCACCAATATCATATTCGTTTTCATTCCGAAAAATAATAATATCCGAACTCATTTCCGAATTCGAAAATTTCCGAATATATCCGACCGAAACTATCCGAATCCGAAAAAAGTCTGGTTGGATGGAAACTATTCGAATCACTTTCAACCCTACGCCACTACGCCAGACACCTGCTAGCTAACTGCAGTTCATTATCCGGTCTGACCGTCCACACAACAACAGTCAAACCGTCCTTCGCGGGAAAGATTCGATATTTTCCAAATTTAGTTCAAACTTACTATAATTTGATTCTAGTGTTAAATTTAGATATTAACACCATTCTGGCTGATATCATCATGCATATAACCCAATATGCTCACCAGGCAAGCTGAAGCGGTGCATCTTTGGCAGTAGTACTTTATATCTCTGAACTACTCTATTGACTGAGGCTCTGTTTAGTTCGCATAATGAAAATTTTTAAGTGTTACATCGAACATTTGACCGAATGTCGGAATGGGTTTTTGGACACGAATAAAAAAACTAATTTCATAACTCGCCAGGAAACCGCGAGATGAATCTTTTGAGCCTAATTAAACCGTCATTAACACATGTGGATTACTGTAGCACTTATGGCTAATCATGGATTAATTAGGCTCAAAAGTTTCGTCTCGCGATTTCTCCCATAACTGTGTAATTAGTTTTTTTATCTATATTTAATGCTTCATGCATGTATCCAAAGATTCAATGTTTTTAGGAAAAAAAATTTGAGAACTAAACAGGAAGCGGTTCTATCATTTAGAAACTAATCTCTGAACCAACGGTCGCATCCCCCTAAGCACTACATCATGTCGATGGTTCCAAAGACCCCAGAAAACTTGAAAGTGCTTGTTGGGATGCCACGGGAAGGGATCAAACCCGATAAGCTAGTTCAAATTAAAACAAGTTCGTGCAGATCAAGAACTAGTTAGTTGGTTAGGCAAATATTATGCATCAGTTGTATTTGGCATCATGCATATGGACAGAATCTGAAGCTTGATAACGATGTTAGCCTTTAGCCGATCGATCAACTGATCTTACAAGAGAAAAGCACAAAACGATCTAGATATATGGGTGCACAGCTAGCAGCTATAGCGTCACCCAACAACCATGCATGACTGTGCAACTGCCCGTCTTTGATTTTGCATGATCGATACATCGTTGTCGCATATATTTTCTTTGTCGCCTCCTTCTCCAAGCTTAGCTAGGCATCTCTTGTCTCTAGTGTACATAAGCGGTAACCCCTCTATGATGTGTTTTATTCGATAGGTATTATTGAATCTTTGATCCGTGAAACAAGAGTCCAACTCCAACACGCCAGCTAGCAGTAGGTGTAAGCCGTGTTTGCAAAACTGCGGTAACCGCGCGGTCACTGTGCTTACCACGGAACACGGTAAAAGAAAAACCACGGTAACCACCTTAAATTCAAATAAATTTAAAAAATATTTTAAAATTTTAATAAATTTTACATGGTTTCGTATGGTTCGCCACGGTTACCACGTGGCAACCGTGCTTACCGCCGAGGTGTGGTAACCCTGGTCCCGGCGGTTTGAGAAACCCTGGGTGTAAGATTGGCCCCATTAAGCTAGAGATGAAAAAAAGCTCTTGGCTCGTGGCTTGGATCAAACTCGCCTGGAACTCGCATACTTTCAGCTCATTGGTATAAAATTTCTTAAAACCTTAATGCGTAGGAGTACAAAATGTTGAGGTTGCACCTCTAATAGGGAAGTCTATTCGTCCCTCTAGAAATGAAACGGACCCTCAGTTCTTCTATATCTAAAAAATGACTCTGAACATAACATGTAATTATATCATAGTCAAATTTATTATTTTTATTTTTTAAAATTGTATAGGTCAAATTTTAACTTATGTTTGTGTAATGATATATCACATATTGATGTATATTACTCCCACCTTTTTAAATATTTGACACTGTCGACTTTTTAGCACATATTTGACCGTTCAACTTATTAAAAGTAACTTTTGTGAAATATGTAAAACTATATGCATACATATAAGTATATTTAACAATGAATCAAATGATAGGAAAAATAATGAATAATTAAATAAGACGAACGGTCAAACATATTTAAAAAAGTCAACGACGTCAAATATTTAAAAACGGAGGGAGTATATTTTTTTAAAAAAAATATGAACATTTTAGGCAACATGCATAAAATAAGTGGAAATCACCTTGAGGGACAAAAATTAATTATAGCAAAATATGTTTTCCTTCTTACTAATCTGTCCCAAAAAACCAAACTCTGGCTATGAACCTGGACACGCATATGTCCAGGTTCGTAGCTAGGATTGGATTTTTTTTTGGGACGGAGGGTACATCTGCATGTAAAATTCCCTTGCATATTTGCAGTGATATACAACAATAACATTTGTATATTTTGAGTCTATTGTAGAAGTTTTCAGAGAGAATTAAGTTAGCCCTAATACTTAATAGATGAGTAGATAATGAACCGAGCAACAGAGCGAGCTAGGTTATAAATTGAAGTGGTTAAGCCAGTACTCCAGTTTAATATGCGCGGACGCAGAAGTTCAGAAGAAGAAGAAGAAGCAGAGTGGCACGGTTGAGAAAGAACAATAGAGCAGAGAGCATGGAGAAGAAGAAGGTGGATGCGGTGGTGGCCGCCGCCCGGCCGTTCCTCCGCGGCGACCTCTCTCAGGTGGACCCCGAGCTGCCCTCCCTGGTGTCCGTGCTCTGCGATGCCGGCGCCGGCGAGTGCTACCACAAGCACGGCACCTTCCTCGCCCACCTCATCGACGTCTACCGCATCCTCCGCCTCTGGGGCGCCCCCGACGCCGTGGCGCGCTGCGGCCTCTACCACTCCGCCTACTCCAACTCCTACGTCAACCTCGCCATCTTCCAGCCCGACGTCGCCCGGGACCACGTCCGGGGCATCATCGGCGCCGCCGCCGAGCGCCTCGTCCACCTCTTCTGCGTCGTGCCGCGCCACCAGCTAATGCACGACGACCTCCACCTCCGCTACACCGACGCAGAGCTGACGGCGCACCTGGCCGCGTCGCAGGCGTCCCTGGACGCCGCCAGGAAGAGCGGCGGCGGCGGCGGCGACCCCGGCGAGGCGTGGCGCGCGAAGCTGGCGTCGGTGGTGCCCCCGGAGGGCGTGGTGGCGAGGCACATCCGGACGGGGGAGGCGGTGGCGCTGTCGCGGAGGGTGTTGGGCGTCTTCATCGTGATGACCATCGCGGACTTCAGCGACCAGTACACGGACTACCAGGACAAGCTGTTCGACAACGAGGACGGGCGGCTGGAGTACCGCGGCGACAACTGGCGCGCGGTGTGGCCGGGCAGCGGCAAGCCCGGGCTGTGGATGAGCGCCATGTCCAGGCTGGCGGCGGTGTACCGCCTCATCGCCACGGACGAGGAGATCCGCGAGCTGACAGCTGGAGAGAGGAGCGTCGTGAAGAGGGAGGACGCGGAGCTGGAGCTGGTGATCCCGCCGGTGTTCGAGCGGTGCAGCAAGGTGCTGGACGCGGCGGAGCAGAAGGAAGGCCGGGATCTGTACTGGGAGGCGGTGTGCGGGGAGTGGGAGGAGGGGAAGACGGAGAGGCTGCTGCGGCGGAGCATCGAGAAGAACCCGTTCGTGGGGGAGCCGTGGCTGGTGCTGGCACAGGCGCTGCTCAACTCCGGGCACGACGAGGAGGCGGAGGCGGCGGCGGAGGAGGGGGTGAGGCTGGTGGTGGAGTGGGGGAGCAGCTGGGACAAGCGGATGTCGTGGGAGGGGTGGGTGTCGTGGGGAAGAGTCCTCCGCGACGGAGCTCATCGCCGGCAATGGCCGCGCACCGCATGGGGCATCATCAACCTCGGCCTCGTCAAATAATCAATTAAATTAATTAATGGAATTAATCTCTCTCTGGAATTGGATTGTACTGTATGGTATTGGTATGTACTCTAATGAAGTATGGAATAAATGTTAAATGGGCCGGAAAGAAACAAGTCTTGTTGGGCTGTGACGTGGTGGGCGGCACCGCCTATTGGGCCACCCAGGAAGGAGCTCCTCTCGCCATTGATCCGTCCCCTCCCAAAACCAAAACGAAACGCACTCGTGAATGCCATGCCATGGTGGTGAAGCGATCGCGGCGTCGTCTCCTACCTCCGCTCCCTCTCCACTTCATCCGCTTCATTCTCTCCCATCCCCATCCTCATCATGCGCGACTGCGAATCGGAGGGAGGGGACGCTCGGCGTCCATGGGGAATATCACTAAACTTGAGCGTGCTCGTTCCCATGTCACCCCGCGCCGCACTTCTCGCAAGGTCGAATCTGCGTCAATGTCAGACAAGTGCGAGATCCAATTCCAAGGCGCATCAGGCGGTCCAGAACAAGTCGCCCAAGCCTCCAATTTTGACAGAGCTTCTTCTTCCCCACCGCCGCCACCGCTGGATCTTTTAAATTGCCCTGGTAACTAATGATTCCTTATTTCAGCATCCTTTTCCTTTGTTTAACTCCCAGCCCTTTTGTTTTTTTTTAAAAAAAAAATTCCCTCTACCGTTCATCACGTTGACTGTTTTCTTTTGCCCCTTCAAATGTCGTCTCGTGGCTTCGAAATCAGATGAATTCAAATCACTGGGAACGGACAGACTACTTCCTTGTGACTTAAAAAACTCTAGTCCGTGTGCTTTGCAGCAGTACGATGCCTACATTCACTGGTTTTACTACTTTCATAGAGGTCCTGCTCCTCTTGCATCCCTTGCTGATGCTGCCTCCACGGTAACCCCCGCTCTATTCTCTGCTTATCTCTATGAAATCACTACGAAGTTGCTGTGTTGGGTCACGAAACTCTATTCGGAATTTGTATTTCTTTTAATAAAGAAACTATGCTAAAAAAAGTAAGTCATTGGATTTGCCCAATACAAATTAATTTAGTGATGACTCTAATACAAAATTCATACCAACTGTCAAGTGTTAACAAACATGATTTTAACTGTTGTTAACGTACTTTTATGGGCACATGATGTAACCGTGTGATCCATTTTGTGCCTCTTCGTGAATAAATAGGAACCAAATAATTATAATTAGACTGTCATGAGAAAAGCCCTAATCTGGGTACAGTCAAATCTTCCAATACGGAATACTCACTGTACAAAAACCTCCAATCCAAATGGGGCTTCACTATGAAACAATTCTTTGGGTATTTTCACTTTTTTAAGCGTTTGAACCTATGCCCAGCCCTGTTGCTTCATTCATTTGGCTGACTGCTGTGACACTAACTGCAGCCTCCGTGGGAGGCGGTTTTTGTAATTGCTCCGTAGCTCCTTCCTTTATATTCACAGCAGAATTCACTTAAATTACACCATTTATCTTTGAAGTATTTATTGGGAATGACATGCATAAGTAATGATATGGTTTCTTTCTTTGAAAGTGTTTGGAGAAGGAGAACAGCATGACGCTCTTATGGAGAACTGTAAAAGCCTTTAGTTATATTCAAGGCTCCATAGTGGGTGAGTGCATTGTTGAATGGATGCGTACCGTGATTAAAGAAAAAGGTGAAATAGAACATCCATTTGGCATCGATGCTGCTAAGGTACATCTAAATCTCCTGGCTGTTTAGTTTGGCATTGATTACCATATTGATTCTGTTTTAATGATTGAAAGAGAGGCTCACTAGTTTCTTGTATTGGTTATTTGCAAAAAAAAAATGATGGATGGTTTCAAGTGCATTGCTAAGGAGGCTGAGTTGATTTCTGAATGGCTGAGGCATGGGCGCCGTATGCTTACCGATGATGAGTACACCTTGTGCCATGAAATCCGGGCTGTTGCTTGTAAACTTTTTGTTATCCGTGGGGAGTGGACTGTTGATATTGCTTCTGCCCTTCTGGTATGTGCATGCCTGCCTTCACCTAACCACATTCTGGTATGCTTGTCTAAAGTTTGTGTCACTTGAATTTGATCAATTTATTTGCACCATCAGGGTATCAGAAAGGAGGCTGAGTGGTTGATTGAGAACTTGAAGCGTTTTCCTGTTGAATCCATTAGTACCTCCATGAAGATTCGACAATTTGCCTTGGATTTTGTGTGGGAAAAGATTGGTGAGTATGCATCATATAAGAATAAGGAGAGCAGTGAAAGTGAAATGGCTTCTGAAAGTGATGCCGATGTCACTGAAAGCAATGATAACGACTATATGGTACGGTGTATGTTGTGAAAAATATGCTCTTGATTTTACTCAATGGAGATATCAATCTCATGCTACATATATAGCTGACTCACATGTATGGTTTTGGATTGTTGCCAGGTTTGCTATGACGAAGACTACTTGAAACTTGGTATATGAACGCATGTTGAGACTTGAGACCAAATATATCAGGCACAAGGTCTCGCCCCCTTCACCCGCACACGAGGCAATATCTTCATGATCAAAGCAAGAGTAAAGTAAAGACTGAGTTAACTAGATATCTCGAAGATATTCCTCAAGAAAATGATTTCCCTGATGATGATTTTGACATACTCCAGTGGTGGAGGGTGAACTCTTGCAAATATCCAATATTATCACGCATGGCACTTGATTTGCTTGCTGTCCCTGCATCCTCAGTTGCATCAGAGTCTGCATTTTCTACTGGATCAAGAATCATTAGCGACTATAGGAGTAGGTTGGCTAGTGGAACTGTGGAGGCATTGGTTTGCCTTCAAGATTGGATGCGAGCCGATGGTATGAAGCCTACTTTAGTTGTGCATTGCTACTTATATTATGGGCCATGAACTTATTTATGTTGAACTTTTGTATTCTGATGTTTTAGGTTTTGGTGATCCATATTCAATTCTAACTGATACGGCTGAGGGCGATGATGTTAATATGCAACTATTAGGTATTCAAATTACTTGATTTTATATTTCTGTATGTCTAATTGAATATGGGTACTATGATGATCTAATAATAATTTACAATTTATTCTACATTTGCTTCTTAAATGAGTTGCTAGATCTGGAAAAAGAGTTGTGTACACATGCTGCATTACCCCCTCACCATGGTCATAAAACTGTAACTGAATTGTTTCTGTTCCTTAAATAGTACTACATAATTTTATCTTCATTTCTAGGTAGTTTGGACCTCTCTTTTTCTGGGGGTCAGATTCACTTCTATTCTGTTAGATTGCTTTTAAATTCAATCCAAGATGTTCTGGCACTGGCAATGTAGATTATGTTCCAACTTTTAACCCCTTTTTTTGTCACTGGGCAGGACATTAAATCATTTGACATCTCAGGCAAATTACCATGTGAGTTCTATGCAATCTGGGTTCTGAGAAATTTTGCTAGTTCTGGAGCAGTGGTCAGTGGAGCTTGCTTAGTTTCCCAGCTCATATCAGTGTTTCCCACACATGTCAGATTACATCCAAAATTTGTATGATGTATTGGAAATTTAGTTGAGCCTGGGATTTCTGGACTTCTTTTCTGCCGTTGAGCCTGAAATTCATATTTGATTTTGCCTGGTGAATTCTGCATGAGTGACAGGAATAGATGCAAGGATCAGGCGGCTTTGTTGCTGTCAGGATATGCATGTCTTTTGAGTCCTTTTTTTCCCCTTTATGCTGTTGTTAAGCTATGAATATTTTGGAAAGGGATTTTTTTAGGACAATTTGATTAAGGATCGGTGGATTTTTATGCCAAATTGTAGACTCTGCTTTTCGCTGCAGTCACTGTCTTTCAGAAGATTTCAGGGCTCAAGATGGTTACTAATATTTACTGATTTTCTGTTTCATCTGAAGATTCACCCCTGCAAGCCTGCATTTTTGCTTATACTGAAGAACTCTGAGTCTTCATGCTTGCATACCATATATCGCAGTTTTTTTTCCTTTCATTTTGGTTTAATTAGCAGATGTAATTGATGCCACAGTTGAAGAGAAGGCAGTAATTTTTCTTGCATTGACAGTGACAACTAATGCGGGCGTGCGGACGCGGGCGCAGCCTGCCCGCTCCAGCCGTGCGGGCAATGCCCCTAGTGCAGTCTCCTTTCGTCATGGGTGATCTGATCATTGGTCCGATGCTTCTGGCTAAACCTATTCCCAGTGGCAGTGTGTGTGTGCAAGAAGTTCAATGAGTGCTAGTCCCGATACTCCGACTTAGAAATTAACAACCTCTCTTCTGCTCGCACGCAGTTGTTTTATTTTGATGAATTTCTCTCGGACAAACTTATCTCTAATCTTACCTGTGCTGTGCGGTATCGATCTACAGTCCATTATGCAATGAATAATATAATGGCTCGCCTCAGTCCGCCGCTACTGCCGTGCAGGCCATGAGGGAGCACAAGTCGCCGCGCTGCTCGATCCGCATGGCGATGACGTACGTACATGCTCGCCCATGGCCCCTCCTGCTCTGCACAAGTCATAGTTGGCGTGAATCAAGTGAACTTATTCCTAGTTGTTGGGCTGTGATGTGGTGGGCGGCACCCCATCTCGCCTTCCTTCTTTCACCTCCCAAAACGATCGCACCGTCGTCTCTTTCCTCCGCTCCCTCTCCCTCTTCACTCTCCATCCGCTTCATTCTTCATCATGTGCGACTGCGAATCGGAGGGAAGGGACGCTCGATCGGCGTCCATGGGGAATATCACTAAACTTGAGCGTGCTCGTTCCCATGTCAACACTTCTCAAACCCTAACATCCTCCTCAGTTTCGGACAAGTGCGAGATCCGATTCCAAGGCGGTCCATCCCGAAAAATTTGATAATTTGACACTTTTGTGAGGATGACATATGGGACCATCTGAGTGAATAAAAGTGCGTCAGGATGTCAAATAATCGAAACCCATTTGAAAAGAGTGTTAAATTATCAATTTTGACACAGCTTCTTCTTCCCCACCGCTCCATCTTTTAAATTGCCCTGGTAACTCCCAATCCTTTTTTGTTTTATTTAATTTAATTAATTCCCTCTACTGTCGTTCATTACATTAACTTGTTTTTGTTTTTTTTCCCATGTGGCTTCCTAATGGCGAAATCAGATGAATTCAAATCACTAGGAACGAACAGACTACTTCCTTGTGACTTGAAAAACTCTAGTCCGTGTGCTTTGCAGCAGTACAATGCCTACCTTCACTGGTTTTACTACTTTCATACAAGTCTTGCTCCTCTTGCATCTCTTGTTGATGCTGCCTCCATGGTAACTCCCACTCTATTTCTCTGCTTGCTTACCTCTACGAAATCACTACAAAGTTGCTTGCTGTGTTGGGTCATCCGAAATTTGTTTTTCTTTTACAGAAACTATGCTATGCTAAAAAAAGGTCTAAGTCATTGCATTTGTCCAATACAAATTTACTGATATGACTCTAATACTAAATTCATACCAACTGTTTAAGTGTTAACAAACATGATTTTAACTGTTGTTAACGTACTTTTATGGACACGTGATGTAACCGTGTGGTCCATTTTGTTCCTTTTCGTGAATAAATAGGATCCAAATAATTAGAATTAGACTGTCACGAGAAAAGCCCTATTCTGGGTACAGTCAAATCTTCCAATACGGAATAGTCGCTGTACAAAAACCTCAAATCCAAATGGGGCTTCACTATGAAACAATTCTTTGGGTATTTTCACTTTTTTTAAGCGTTTGAACCTATATGCTCCCAGCCCTGTTGCTTCATTCATTGGGCTGCGTGCTGTGACACTAACTGCAGCCTCCATGGGAGGCGGTTTTTGTAATTGCTCCGTAGCTCCTTCCTTTGTATGCACATCAGGATTCACTTAAATTACACCATTTATCTTTCAAATATATACTTATTGGGAATGATATGCATAAGTAATGATGATTTCTTTCTTTGAAAGTGTTTGGAGAAGGAGAGGAGCATGGTGCTCTTGTGGAAAAATGCAAGAGCTTGTACTTATATTCGTGATTGCTTAGTGGGTGAATGCATTGTGAAATGGATGCGTACCGCGATTAACGTAAAAGATGAAAGAAAACGTCCATTTGGCATCGATGCTGCTGAGATACATCTCAATCTCCTGGCTGTTTAGTTTGACTGATTGATTGCCATATTCATTCTGTTTTAATGATTGAAAGAGAGGCTCACTAGTTTCTTGTATCGGTTATTTGCCCCCAAAAAAAATGGTTTCAAGTGTATTGCTAAGGAGGCTGAGTTGATTTCTGAATGGCTGAGGCATGGGCGCTGTATACTTAACGATGAGGAGTACGCCTTCTGGTATGTGCATGCCTGCTTTCACCTAACCAAGTTCTGGTATACTTGTCTGAAATTTGTGTCACATGACTTTGATCAATTTATTTGCACCATCTGCAGGGTATCAGAAAGGAGGCTGAGTGGTTGATTGAGAACTTGAAGCGTAATAATGTTGAATCCATTAGTACCTCCATGAAGATTCGGCAATTTGCCTTAGATTTTTTGTGTGAGAAGTATGTTGAGTATGGATCATTTAAAAAGCAGGAGAGCAGTGAAAGTGAAATGGCCTCTGAGAGTGATGAAGATGTCGTTGAAGAACACACCTACTATGTGGTACGGTTTATGCTCTTGATTTTACTCAATGGAGATATCAATCTCATGCTATAGTTGTCTCACATGTTTGGTTTTGGATTGTTGCCAGGGTGACCTACATGATGAAGACTACTTGAAACTTAGAAAGAAGAAGACTACTTGAAACTTTTTCCATAAACGCATGCTGGGACCAAATATATCAGCTGTTTTCTTTTGATGAATTTCTCTTGGACAAACTATCTCTGATCTTACATGTGCTGCTGTATCGATCTACAGTCGTCCATTATGCAATGAATTTCCTTTTTCTTTCGGCATAGTTATGTCCGATCTTATTATTGAACCTTTGTGTTGGAAGTGGTATGGCTGCGTCATCTGCTATAGAACGCCACTAATAATACTCCGTATTTACCTTATTAGTGCTCTGTGCCAGGTTGGGCATCATATTTTTGAACCAGTTGGTAATGGGCATCAATGGTCGTTCGTCTTGTTGGTCTAGCGGCGGCCTTCGGTCTCTACACCATGGAGATGCAGATGCCTCCTCGTCGATCAGTCGTCGCCTGCGTGCCCCGTCAGCCGTTGCCGCTGCCGGACGAGCTCACGAATAGCTCGTGTGGATTGCACACGTCACAACGAACAAAGTCAAAAACTGATTCATAGGAATCATGCATTCAGAGAGATTCATATGATCCAAATCAAACAGACAAGCCTGCAATCGATAAATGCTACTACCTTCGTCCCATAATATAAGAAATTTTTCGTGGATGTGGCGTCAAATAATCTCTACGGACTGCGTGTACTCTAATAAATAAATAATCATCCGATGGGATGGGCCGGAAAGAGTGGCTAATTGTGCTTTCAGTTCACAACAAAGCAAGGAAAGAAACAACTCTTGTTGGGCCAACAATAATGTAATGTAAGGCGATTGCCACAGTAAAATTAGCTATTACTTATGCAACCACTTATGTGCATCATGCGGTGCATAATCAAAGATGATAATGTGGTGTACAGTGGCATTTATCAGTTCACCAAAAACTAAGTTAAATTTTGACCTATACATTGAGAAAAAAAAAGATAAATTCTAATGTGAACAATACCGCTACTATTCATACGCTAAATTTATCTTTTTCACATCTTCATGTGTGAGTTGAGTTTGGACCTAAATTTTTTTTAGAGTGGTATATATATTGGGTGAGTGTTGTCAAATTCTTCAAGAATTTTATATAACTGTTCGGATGGTTTTTAAAACGAGAGGGGGGGGGCATCCCCTCGATAAATCAAAATAGTTTCCCGCAACAAATCCAATTATAGATGTCAACAAAAATGGTTGGGGTATTCTTTTCTAGGTGCTCTACCCTTACAAAAGGAATAGATGGAGGAATGTGGTCGCTGACATGTTGGCTTATAGACAAAGACCTCCATATGTCAGTGACCACGTCACAGAGGCAATAATGGTAGAAGATATGATTCTCTTGCAAAACTACTAGATGTTCCTGCGTAGTTTTACATTGAGCAATATTTAAAAATATACAATTAAAATTCAATATACAACTCTTACTGCTCATATGTTTCCGTAACTACAATTTTGTTTGGTATATAACTCAATCTACCTTAACCACCACCATATAATCTAAGAGCATTGCTCCAGTCCAGCATATTGTACCTCGAGGTACCGGTACCTTGAGGTACCAATTTAAATCCGGCCGTTCATTCACGGAGGGTAAGATTGAAAATCTCACACGCTAAGCAGCTCGTGATGCTCCTTCTCTCTGACTAAGTGACTGTGTCAACGAAGACTCCAAGAGCAACTGAGCAAGTCCAAACCAAGAGCAAGGGCGTGGTGGGAGCGGGATGAGGGGTGGTCGGCGCCGGTGGTGCCGGGGGCGTCGGCGGCGGGGTGTTGGACGGCGGCGCGTTGGGCGCCAGCGGTGTCTGCATGGTGGCGAGGTAACGAGGAGCAGGAGGGGTGGTCGGCGCCGGTGGTGTTGAACGGCGGCGCCTGCGTCGGAGGCTGCTACGCGGCGGCGGAGGCGACGAGGACCTGCGTCGGTCGCCGATGTGCTCGAATCCGGCAGCGAGATTAGGGGAAGGGCCGTGGTAGGCGTATGTCACCGGCGAGCTTGGAGGAAGTGATGCACGGAGGCTCTTCGGCCCCCTCCACCTCCACTCCGGCTAGCCTGTCCATCCCTGGTGAGAGCCATCGATCGATGCAGGCATGCAGCATCTTTTGGAGAGAGAAAAGACAGGAGGAAGATGAAGAAGATACACGCGAAATTACTTAACTACCCTTGCTTCTTTAGTACCTCTCTATGCTCTGTAAAATCACGTGGACAGTACTACTAGGTACAACTCTTTCTCACCCGTTGGATCAAACGAAATCGATGGCTCAAATTGCATATACCGACAGGTACCAAGGTACCTGCTGGACAGTAAAAATTCTCATAATCTAAACATATTTCTTCTCTCCCTATGATGAACGTGATGGTTTTTAGGCCTTCAAAACGATAGCGATGTTCATTTTCGTCATCTATTTATAGTAACTAGAGATAACGCTTTGGACCTGCCCTGCCACCAGGATGCGAGTTGGATGCTCCAATTCGGATTGGGTGAAGCTGGGAGTTGGGAGGCAAGATAGGCACAGCAAGTCGGGTCGCCATCCATCAATCCTTTCATTCATATTGGCCGGCCCATTCATGATGAAATAATGTTGTTCGATTGGTATATATCACAAGCACACATGCTTTTCTTTAAACTATTGAAGTGTTGTTCAATGGAGTAATTAACTCTGGTAGGAATCGGATTCAGTGATATTCATATTATCCAAAATAACAGTGAAGCCTGCAATCGATATTCGATACTACTCCAGTACTAAATGCTAGTGATAGTATTAGCGTTGAATGATGCTAGTACGAAGTTAAAGCGAAGTATGCAGATGCAGCCATGCATGGAAGAATTCGTTCGTTGCTCTCCAGTCTCCACTCTCTGCAGTCGTCCGTCATCAGAGATGGAACTGAAAGTACTGTACACAGGAGTACTCCACTCTCTGGGCTGGACGCATCATCACAACCTATAGTGATGGTAGTACGATGCAGTGCAGGCGATGCAAACATGCAACACATCATTCATCAATGATCAATCAGTCATGGACTCATGGATATGGCCAGACTGAAAAGCTTAACGCATTTTCTGGCCTCCCTCCTGCTGCAGCAGAGTGTACTCCAGTAGTATCAAAGACACAAAGAAAGAATCAAGAATGGTACTTGAGGTCTGCTTTACGTACAGAAAAAAGTTATCATGGAGATAGCATGTACTATGTGTGCGTAGAAATTGCTGTAGTAGATCGCATCAGCTCATCCGAACAAGAAGGTCGTGGGGCTTGTTTGGGGGAGCTTAAAATTCTAAGAAGCTACTGCTGAGAAGCTAGCTGGTGAGAATCTAGAAAAGCTAGGAAACCTAGCTTCTGGCTTCTAATTCATTTTCCAGATTCTTGCTAGGAAACCTAGCTTCTGGCTTCTAATTCATTTCCCAGATTCTACAACTACAGATTTTCAGAATCTAGATAAAAAACTGAACTGTTTGGAGGAGCTTCTGGCTACTGGAGATTCTAGAAGAAGCTGCAGCTGCTAGAAGCTCCCCGGCCTAGCCTCCTGCCAAAGTGCCAAGGAAACAAAAAGGAAAGGAAGAAAGATGGGGCAGGTTAGGTTAAGGTGGGCTGGAAATTCGCCTCGCCCTTTTCGTCCAAGTTTTGCTATTCATTTCACACATCCCTCATTAGTCACAGAAATTGCTCACCAAGTCACCAGTAGTAAGATGTAGTATTACTTTAGTGTAGTAAGTAAAAAGAGGCACATAAATGATATTTAAGGCAGGAAAATGGGGATCAATTCATTTCACATCATCTTCTAAAACCCTTGTATGCTGAAAGAAAGAGACCTGCTGCTGCTGCTGCTGCAGTGCTTGCATTTGTTCGGTCCAGAAACAACAGGCTGCCACAGTCCAAGTCAAATTCAATCCTTTTTTTGCGCTGTGCACATGCACAGGCTGCTATATTTTTCCTGCAACTAGCAGTATTTGCCTGGCTTCATTGGCCACACCTGCTGCAGATATTATAGACTCCTTAACATGTTAATGATGCAAGCACAGCAACGAAAGCAACATCCCCAATTCGGCTCCGTCATTGGACGGAAAGCGAAAGATCATTCGATTCCTTATCAACCATCGCAAATTCGCAATACCATTCCCTAAAACAAAGTGCAATTTGAAGCCACATTTTTCCCCAACACCTGAATTTCAGATTTCCACAGTATTACTCCAGTTCAAAGGAAAGTGCTTGATGAAAGTTGAAACAATCTCCATTGCTCTAACAATTACTGCTCACAGCTATTGAGCCATAGGGCACAGAAAAAAAAATTTCTACCACTAGAACAGTTTTTAACAGACAAACTGAGCTAACGATAGATGGCAGTGAAGTACGAGCGCCATCTTGTCCACCATTATCCAATTATTAAAGCCACAAGACAGGATCTTGGACGATGCAGTACCTATCATCATCATCATTTCATCAAGCTTCTGTTTTACTACTAGTACAATCCTTTTTTTTTTACCAAGGGGTGTATATGTACTTATATCTGTACTGTAGCTTTTTGGATCAGGTAACTTTACGGCACACTATCTGAGTATGTAATCAAGCACGAACAAAAGAGGCAGAGAAAGAGAGAAAGGAGTAGTAGTACTAAAACAATGTTGTTGACATCCAAGCTCACTTTTATCTTAATCATTTGAGTAATGCAAAAGAATTACTGCTAGTACTACACAAGGAGCACTAAAGCAGCAGAAGCAAACGCACATACAGTGGGAGGGCAGAGACAAGATGATGCATAAGCAGATACAGAGTTGACCATCTTGAGTGTTATCCAGGATGAAAAAGGAAGTGTAGAAAAGAGAGGAGCGAGGAAAAAAGGGAAAGGCAGAGAGATCGAAAGGGATCACACCCACTGAACACACAAAAATAAAAAGGACAAGGAAGAAAGAAAGAAAAGCTAAGTGCAAGCGCGCCTTCATTATCGTGCACTGATAAATTAAACAGGGCACCAACCAAACCAGGCGCAGAGACAGGATTCCTCCACATAAAAAAGTTGGTTTGCCACCGAGACGCCCTCCCCCACCCCCACGGTATTATTCTAATTCCAGCGCAGCGCACATGCACAGTGCTTGCTGCTTACTGCAACATTGACATTGCAATGCTATCCAAAGACTCTAATTGACGATGAACTTGCAGTTTTTGCGAGCATGACGATAATGATAATAATAAGCATATCATGGTACTACTAGAAGGAAAAAAGAGTGACAGAGACATAGCAACTAACAGTCACAGGCAGGCAGGCAGCCAGGCAGGCAGCAGGAAGATGCATTCTTGATTCCGTGTGTTTCTCCTTGCTTATTTTGTCCATTCATTCATTCTCAATCATTCATGGTGATAATTTAACACATGAAACAATCCATACATACATACATACATACATGGCATACGTACAGAGGAGCTGAGCTACCAGCCTACCAACAATTACTTATTATTACTATTATTCTCCCCAAGCACTAATCCAATCCAGAGATGAACACAAGAGCAACAAGAAGAAGAAGAAGAAGAAGAATTCTGGACAAAAGGCCTAAAGAGCTAGAGCAGCAAGCAGACAGAAACAGAGGAACAAGTGAGACGACTTACATGGCCTTCTTTTGGGTCAGGTAAATTTCTTTTGTTCATTTCTTGGCACAGCATTTGCAGCTGTACATGTGATTGACGCCAACTATGACTCGTGCAGCAGACAAGCAAGCAAGCAAGCACGCCTTCTTTTCTTTGTCTTGTTTCTTGGAGCAGCATAGCACACCGATGCAACGAAATGAGGAAGGAAATCACAAATGAATTTAGAGATGTCCACACTGACTGACTAGAAATCACACGCACGAGAGAGCAGTTCCCCTGATTACTGCAAAGCAAGCAAGGCAAGGCAAGAAAAGGAAGAAGAGTTTGTTTTTCATCTTGTTGATGGTGGTGGTGGAGTCACGGTGCACAGCAGGGGATGGATGGATGGATGGATGGATGGATGAGAGAAGCAGAGACCTAACCTAATCAGCGGCTAAAGCTCCTATGTCAACCCAACTGGGAAGAAGCAAAGAGCACAGAGCACAGGGCTGAAATTTGCACTAAAACCAACCATGTCTGATGGCTCAATTTTGCTGAGCACTGTAATTGTTGCTCCTGCTCCATCATCAATTCGGTCGAACCCTAGAAATCGAAGGAGAAAAAAAAAAAAGAAGAGCAGCAAGCGAAGCAACGTGACTTGCGACTGACTTTGAGTGGAAGTGACACGCAGCTAGCCAGAGGAAGAAGACGGGATGGGAATGGAAGCAAACCCTAAGCCCTAAATAAATTAAACCCTAGTAACTCAGCGGGCGCTCTCCTCCTCGGGTCGGCCGGTCGCCGCCGTGGCCCCGGCGCCTCCTGGGCCGCCGGAGAAGGAGGCGAGAAGGTTGAGGTTGCCCTGCGCCATGGGGAGGTAGTTGCCGACCCTGGCGGCGGACGCCTCCCCAGGCATGGCGGGTGCGGCGGCGGCGGCGACCATCATCTCCGGCGCGGCGGCGAAGCTCCAGAGCTGGCCGAAGTCAGCCCTGGCCGGGAGCGCCCAGAAGGCCTGGGTGGGGGCGGTGGCGTCGGGAGCGGGCGCGGGCGAAGTGGTGTGGTCGTCGGCGGCACGGAGGCGCTTGCCGAGGATGAAGGGGGCGGCGCGGGGGAGGAGGAGGTCGTTGGAGTTGGAGGTGGAGTTGGAGCGGAGGGAGGAAGGGGAGGAGGTGGAGAAGGAGGCCGGGGTGGTGCCGGTGCCGGTGGCGGCGATGATGGAGGGCTCGGCCTGGCGGAGGAGCCACTCGATGGTCTGGCCGTCGGACTTGTGGCCGAGCTCGCGGGTGAGCTGGAAGACGCGGGCGGCGCAGATGATGGGCATGCGGATGCGGCGGCCGCGGCCGTCGACCTTGCTGTGGCGGTCCTTGGAGGGAGGCTTGCGAACGGCGAGGGCGGTGCCATTGGCGTTGGAGGCCGGGACGAGCTGCTTGTCCGGAGCGCCGCCACCGCCACCGCCGCCGTCTGGCCTGGTCGTCATGAGGAGAGGAGAGGAGCGGAGAGGGGGGGTTGGGGAAGGGGAAGTGGGGTAGTGGTGTGGTGTGTGGGGGATTGGTTGCAGTGCCACTGGAGAGAAGAGGAGGAGACGCCAATGCCCAATGCAATGATTGAGGGAGGGAGGAGGAGGAGGCGAGAGAGACGACGCGGCTGGGCTGCACCTGCACCTGCAACGACGAGACGGAGGAGCGGATCGAGCCGGTGCACGGCCACGCCAGACACACGGGCTGGACGGCACATGGGCCTGCTGTAGGGGCCCACCTAACCCAATCTACACACTATGACTATGGCCCTCCTGGTGGGGCCCAGCTGTTGCCTTTGTGGGCCCAACTGTGCCGATGGTCGGAAGGGTGGGAGAAAAATAAAATCCAACTATACGCCCTGTTTGTTTTAACTTATGATTATTATAATCTAGATTATTAAGCCAGATTACTATAAACTGGATTATAATAAGCTGGCATAAAATAAGCTGTGAGTTGTTTGTTTGTCTGGATTATTGAAGGCATGGATCATTGGGTTTGAATGGCTAAAGTCTATAATGCCCTCAGCTATCTATTCGGTTGATGACATAGGTGGATAATTTTTCTCAAGTATGTAGGGGTAGTGGGTCTTTAGCCACTCAATAATCTGAAAAAAGCTCTTTTAGAGCAGCTTATCAGATTATAATAATCTGGCTTATAGATTATAATAATCTACTTGTTTGTTTCAGCTTACTCCTAATAAACTAGATTATAATAATCCTAAGCTGAATCAAACAGGGCCTTATTATCCCCTACCTCCTCCACTTTCACCACATGCGCCTCTCCATATTGAGCCACCGCTCGTGACGGAGCTAGGATAAAATTAAAGCGGGGACTAAACCAAAATAGCCAATAAAAATTGAAACATGTCTCATATAAATTAGCTATATTTATAATACAAACTATAAATATATGGATTATAATTTTAGGGGAGTATTATGGGGGCTCTAATACGCTGTCTCCACCGTTGGCCACCACCACCGGTTGCCTTCTTTTTCTACCCTTGTTCCTCGTTTTTAACAGTATAAATTCCACTAAACTACTTAGTATATGCTTTCATCAATCTATCACATAACTATATATTTAAATATTATGTACCATAAAAAACTACAGATTTAATATCATATCTTTTTACTATATATCGACATATCATATAAAAATTACACATTTAACATCGTTTTATCATCAAACTACAACTTCTATAACCTCAATAATACTACGGATATATACTCTAAAATATGTGGCTTTTAAAAAAACTTTATTACTCAATTTGTAATTTTGAGATAACTGTCATCTCCGTTCTCTCCTAAACTCATTTTTGTTTTATTGTGCATCTTCTAGAGACTAGCCAATGAAAGATTCATTTCTATATCTCCTGCACATTAATTCAAATGAAACAATAAAATCCCATTGGGAACTACGAGCTTGTTCATTTTCTTACCATATTCACACCTTATTAATTTTTGGTATGCTAACAAACCAAACATATCCTTACCATTGTCACTCTACCAAACTTTGGTAATTCCGAAAGTTTCCACTCTCAAGTTAAACATTCTACCAAATTTTAGTAGGTTAAACATCCAACACAACCAAGTTTTGATAACACTAAAATGTGCCAAAATATGATAAGATTGAAAGTGCTAACAAAGTGAACTAGCCCTACATATATATCAACCATTCAGTCTCTCCTTTTTTTTAACTTTGGAAGAGATGACTAGGGGAGGATGCTCAAATTTGGCCAATCAAAAAAAAAAACTGTCCAATGCATTTGGATATATATAGTCTGTTAGGGTATGTTTTTTTTCCTTGGTTGGTATATGGCTAACCTCAATCTCTTAGAGTGTTCTTTTACGTGCCTTGAACCAATTTTTTTTCACAGGATAGATTGAAGGAAGGTGTGTTGGCAACAAAACAAGCTGAAGGCACAACGGAAACCAACCGTAGAGGGGTGCCGGGTGCAAATGCAATGCAGGGTGGGTGAGGCATCCCTATCCGCGGGATTTTTTACATTTTGGTTCTTTTAAAAAACTTATTTCACAAATAGACCCCTAAAAAAACTTATCCTAGAAATGGTCCTTTTAGGGGCACCAGAGTGGCTGGCGCCGTCATCAACGGGACCGTCCTCCTGCCACCGTGGCGCACGCGAACCGAAGTGGCAGGAGGAGGGCGCTAGCCATGCTGGCGCCGCCCCAGGGAGGAGGGTGCCAGCATGGCTGGCGCCGCCGCCTCCATTCCTGTTTCTCTGTATGGAGTTGCAACGGTGTCATTTTTATTTTATTTTTTCGGATTTTTTTTCACACTCAGGATCACGATACAACCAACCACAAAAAAAAAATTTAAACTCGAACTACCACTTAGCTAAGTCTGAAAATAGCTAGCATACCACTTAGTATACTTTGCACCTTCACTAAAATTAGACCATAATTCCATTAGTAAAACCCTTTGATCAGGATGTTAAACATAATGCACTCTACCACTATATGAAATTACTTAATCTAATTCAAAATATAACCACATGAAATGACATATAAGTTAAACAGTACATAGAGATGCAATTTTTTTATTTTTATTTTATTTTTTTGATATTTTTTCACACTTAGAAGAATATAGGAACCAACCGTATAAAAAATAAACTCAAACGGACAAAATATGTGACTTGTAGAATTTTCCAAAACTCTACCGAAACGGACAAAATATGTCATCTATTAAAATAGGCGTAACTTTCTCATACGGACTCGGAATCAGGCAAATAATATATGCACAGACATCTACAGAAAAAGTTACATCCGATTCTCCCCCGCTTTGCCGGGTCTGGCAATATTAAAACCTCCAAATTTCGCTTGCAAGATTGTGTTTTCGAGGAGAGAAGTTTTTCGGTAGAGCTTTGGAAAATTCCACATGCCATATATTTCGTCCGTTTGAGTTTATTTTTTACATGGTTGGTTCCTATGAGTTCCTAAGTGTGAAAAAAATATCAAAAAAATAAAATAAAAATAAAAAATTTGCACATCTCTCCTTTGCACTAGTTCGGAGAGAGAGGAGAGGAGAGGAAAAATTCTATAGGTCACATATTACGTCCATTTGAGTTCAATTTTTCTATGGTTGGTTCTTATGTGTCCCTAAGCGTGAAAAAAATATCAAACAAATAAAACAAAAAAAATTTCGGGGGGAGGGAGGGCGCCAGCCACTCTGGCGCACTCCCCCTAGCCACCTCAGCATCGCCCCGCCACGTCAGCAGGGGGACGGTGCCAGAGAGGCTGGCGCCGTCCTGTTGGACGACGGCGCCAGCTACTCTGGCGCCCCAAAAAGGACCATTTTGGGGATAAGTTTTTCTAGAGATCTATTTGCGAAATAAGTTTTTTAAAAGGACCAAAATGTAAAAAATCCAGTCCCTATCCGTCCGTACCAATCCAACCAGGTCTCGACTCCACTCGGGTAAATTTAGAGAGAGATGAAGGGATGCAACTGAAGCCTATGTGGCGTGGGCCCTCCGTGTCGGGTCTGGTGGGCCCATGGATTGGATTCAATCCTTCGTCCCGTTGGGTTTGGGTTGGGATTGTGATTGTGATTGTGATTGGGTGACGTCCGTAATTAAGTGACCTGGCAATGCGGGACGACATGTTGTAGATTTCCAATCCAATCCAAACGACGGATGCCAAGTGTCTAGCTTCACCTTTTTTTGAAACCGACTAGTCAGTCTCAGCCTTGTGGTGTTGTTGTACATCAATTTTTATGCACAACCAAGCATACAACACTGCTCATGAACCACACTGTACTCCCGCCATCCATATGTAATAGATTTATGAGTAAAACATATCCAAAACAAAAACATGCATGCCTACCTGAACCTCACCACTACAACAAGCTCACACACGTTTACATTGGACAAGGTAGGTTTACCTGGCAATTTTTATATAGCAGGATATATCGCACATATATACATTTCAGTGAATTAATGGAACTGAAATCAACAACACGCTGGCTAGATCGACAAGCCTCTCAACTTCTGCTCTTGCTCGGGTAATTGCAAAAGAGAATGAATACCATACAGAGATTATCATTTTCGTAAGTACGTAAAACAACCGCAAGACATGATTACGACACGATACGCTTATACACACTAATTATAATAGTATACTCATTGCGTGGAAGAATTAGAGGAGCTATCTAGGGCAATTGTCAACCTATTCATTCATACTACTTCCGTCTCAAAATAAGTGCAGCCGTGAATATCCGTACCCAACGTTTAACCGTCCGTCTTATTTGAAAAATTTATGAAAAATTTAAATATATTTAGTCACACATAAAGTATTATTCATGTTTTATCATCTAATAGCAATAAAAATATTAATCATAAAAAAATTTCAAATAAGACGAACGGTCAAACGTTGAACGTGAATAATGCAAAACTGCACTTATTTTGGGACGGAGGGAGTATATGCTATAGATCTGGGGCCCACCGGAAATCCCACCTGATGTGATCCTACTTGGACCAATGGCCTCTGCCCACCGTGCATCTGATCCTATCCACAATTCGTACTACCACGTGGAAAAAGAAATATAAGTAAAACCTAGCTACATACTGAAAAAGGCTATGAGCAATTATATATTACTCACCAAATGACAAATCAGCCTCTTCCTAACCTTTTTATTTATCTCTCGTCTCTTGCGATACTGCTGAATTAATTTTTATTAAGCTAGCTATACATTGGCTATCTAATCCAATCAATAATTGGAAGCATGTAGAGTACTAAACTAGAAAGGAAACTATATTATTCATTCATCATCTATTACTATAATACTGAAAGATTAGGGGATAGCTGTAAAATTAAGCGGGGAATAGAACTTAATTTCAGGAATGTGTGCTGATCACTACAGTAGCTTCCAGTCTTCCACCTTGCAGGAAATTAAACTGTGTGAAAAAAAGGAAATGAATAATATAATTAAATCCCTATAAGCACACATGGGGCTCTTTCATAATTTTAGTCCCCGTAAGCTTTCTTGCCCATTTCCTAAGATCACAACTAGCACCCTCGTAAAACAAAGAGAGTAATGCATAGTCAGTAATGCACTTTTTGGGAAGAAGATAATATTTCAGAGCGGATAGACATATACAGTATATAGTATGTGACTACTTAGGACTTGTATGAATGAGCTCAAGATTCTGAGAAGTAGCGGTTGATAGTTAACTTCTAAGAATATGAAAAGGACAAAAACTAGATTTAGAGAAGGTTTTTTTGGGTACAACTGTAACCGCCAGAAGCTTCTACTGTTTTTTTTCTAGCAGTATTGTACGCCAGTACCAACTACTGATGCACAATTTTGAACCTCGGATCCCTAACCCACTCTACATGCATGTACTACCTCCATTCCAAAATACACGGTCTCATCTTTTCGCTTATGCTTATGCTTATCAGCCAAAATTTAAATTTTCAACCTTAAATTTAGAGTTGATTTTAGGGTTTTTTTTTCATCGTAGTTTATTTTTTAGCCTTTACTTTTAGATCGCTAAGAACACGTATATAAAAGTTTTATTCACAAAATATTTTTCGTTTACAAATAGGACGTTTGGCTTAATCCTAGAATACGGTTGATAGCTATTTCTAACACAATACCTTATCTCAAAATAAAAATATTTCTCCACCTACTTCCTCTCAACCAATCACAACCATTCTCTTTCATCTACTTTCTCTTCTCAACCAATCACACCCTTTCTCTAATCATTTCCATCCTACATTTTGCACGGAGTAAGTTTTATTTTACAGTAATTTGCATGTTTAGTTTGCATGGATGGAATCAGTGCCCTGATTGATGGGACATGATGAAGCTACCAAATTACTCTATCCATTTCAAAATAAATCAACTGCTAGAGTTTGAAGTTTGTTCTAAGATAAACCAGCTCCTACCTTCTTACCTACCACCAATCCGCAAATAAAAAAAATCTTATTACTTCAATACCGCTCACGTACCCATCAACTAATACAATTTTCACTAACTAATGGTATTATGGTCTTTTGTTCAATTTCTTAAAAATTTATTGGGATACTAGGGTTTGAGGTTTTTTTGAACGGAGGGAATACTCCCTACAAACATAGTATAAAATGTTATTTTTATTTTGGAATGAAAGGAATATAATACTTCCTCCATCCCGTAAAAACAAACCCGCGATTAGACGTGACATATTCAAATACAATAAATCTAGACGCTAGGATATGTTACATCCAACTCTTAATTTGTTTTTCTATCAGACAAGAAATATGTGGTAATAGTAGAAAATTAATCATAAGGGCCGGGGCTGGGTGTGGGGGCCGGCACAAGGCGGTACGGTGTGGGGATGCAATAAAGCAAATGCATGGATGGCCCTAATAACTGAATTTACAGGCGGACAAGCAGCAGCGACTGGGTCTGCCTGGCTGGCCACCAGTCGGTCCGTCCATCATCGATCTCTACCTGTGCTGTACGAGTACATACTATACATGGGATGGGAGGGACCATGCAAATATGCAATGCATGTGAGTTTCATGCCTAGCTCAGCCGCGGCAACTGCACGTACCTTCCTTCCTTACCTACCAGTGCACCACACGCCATCGTCCGACCGTCTTATCATCCATCGATATACATATCGTATACCGGTCCGCTCACCATGTTTTCTTACACAGGGTTCAAAATTTCCGGAGGGAAACTTTGGGTCTATCAGACATTCAGACTTCCCCGATAGGAAACTATTTCACCCAAAAATTTTGGTTCTTTCCATTTTGTTGTGAATTTAGATAAAATTATTCAAATTTGACCAATTTTTTTCAAATTTCAAATAATTTGGACCAAATATCCGAAATTTTGGTCCTATCGATACCCCCCCCCCCCCGGTAGAAATAGCTTAACCAATATATTAAATCTTACTCTTTCCATAATACCGTATTATATGTCATTTTACATTTGTCCTAAGTTTTTTTTTCTTTTTATACTTTTTTACAAATTTACATAAACTTGAAAAGGTTCGACTTATAAGAGAAACAAAATAACTTACAATAAGGAGCAGGGAGTAGTAGCTAACTCAGGCCCTGTTTAGTTGGGGAAAAGAAAATTTTTGGATGTTACATCGAATGTTTGACCGGATGTCGGAAGGAGTTTTCGGACACGAATGAAAAAACTAATTTGATAACTCGCCTAGAAACCGCGAGACGAATCTTTTGAGGCTAATTAAACCGTCATTAGCACATGTGGGTTACTGTAGCACTTATGGCTAATTATGGATTAATTAGGCTCAAAAGATTCGTTTCGTGATTTCCCCCCTAACTGTGTAATTAGTTTTTGTTTTTATCTATATTTAATAATACATACATGTATACAAAGATTCAATGTGATGTTTTTGAGAAAAAAGTTTTTAGAACTAAACTGGGCCTCATACTAATACGGCTGGCAGGGCCATCGTCGATCACTCTGCAAAGCAACAAAAACAACCACTACGCCAAGCAGCAAAACAGGCACTGCGCCAACAGGGCTTCTCTCTCTCAAAGTCTCAACTACTCCAGAAAAAAGATAGACAAGACTTTCCCTGCTTCCGCTAGCTAGAGACAAGCGCATGGACTGTGCGATGCAGCCGATAGATCTTTTTTTTTTTTGAGAGAGAAAATGCAGCCGATAGATCTTGATGTGTCCAGGCTTTGATTTATCAACAAAGATTGATTGTAATCAGTGCGCTTAATTAAATTGATTTCAGCTCTGCAGACTCTTGCAGTTGCAGAGCTCACAGGTAGTATCAAACATCAGTGGCAACCAGACTTGCATGCCAGATTTTCTCTAATCAGTAGCAAAGGCACATGAACAGATCAATATGTACTCCGTATAAAGCTTTTAGTTATCCTACTACATGCAGTCACGGTGGTTGAAGTGGGCGGGCTATGGCTTAATATAATCAGCTACTTAATATACTATGGAGTATCTAATTGCAACATTTGTGGGCAATCCCCCTTTTCGGCTGTCCGTCCTTAATTAATCTGGGCTCTATTTTTTTTATTATTTCTGGTTGCTGTTAGAATCAGGTGAAGATTCTCCTGGTAGTATATGATATGATCCGTATATCCTAAAAAGAAGGGAGCCAAGACTAAAAATATTTGGTTTTTTACATACATATAAATCCTCATCCTCACTATATATAATTCATAGACCTGAACGATTGTATCAGTTTGACACCTAATTTGACCAGAGATTATCTGATTTGTGCTCGGGGTAACTGGGACCGGTACAATTAATTGTTTGTTACTAAATTGAATTGGGCCAGTACTACATATGGCCCAGCCCGAATAAACAAGCGATCCAAAATATGCGGAGATATGGGGGGCAGGCCTATATATAGTTATGGGCCCCCTCAAATAGTATTGACGTCCACGTGGTCTTTTGCATAGTGAACGTCCTGTGTGGGTTGCAGGTCAATCTGGGAGTGATTGTATACAGTAGAGTTCCTTGTCTTTCTACTTTCTACACTAGTTTCTACTGTACGAGGGTAGTCCTCAGAAAAATACAGCGGTAAATCATCAAATCCCACTATGGTTACCAGCTCTATGTGTTTTGTTTAGACCAAGTACACAATTAAGTGTTTAAAGTTATGTTACCAAACGGGCGACACTAGTGTGGAAAGAAAACACAGCAAGAACTACCCACAAACTACCCTGTATATTCAAACTTCATTGACAAATACAACCAAATGGTTCCAAACATGACGAGTGATTATACTGAATAGAAAAAAAAAACTAAGGTCAATGCTAGATGCATAATAGTACTTGCCTGGATAACTGGATCATTCACCTGAATGGCTCCACCATGAATGGTACTAAATTGGTACATGTCAGAATTGAGGTGTTCCCAAATTGATGACCAATCCTTGCATGCACATTGCAACCAACACAGAGCAGGAAAAGAAACCGCCCCTACGGCCTACAGGCAATGCATTCCATGTGATCAGATATTACATTGCAAGAGACAAGAATTTTGGTTGCAGGAGTACGGCCATAGTTTGCACAAAATTGATAACTGACCTTGCTGAGGCAAACTATCTCAACATTGAGAATTTGAGACAGAAGAATCTCCACCAAAAAAATTGGTCTATTATTTGATTTCATCAACATTCCAACACATATTTTTCTGCACTGTAAACATTCACGATCCTTATTGAAGAATACTCCAACAAATCACCATGATGAACCTGTGTAGTCACAAGAGAGACAGAACTGCTAGCAGTGAGGAATCAAGCCATAAGTGAAAATTGGCAGGCATAATTGTATAGTGGGTGAAACTAAGATCATTTACTAATTTAAAATTTAAAAAGAGGAAAAGGAAATAGGATTTTACAGGCCGACCGGGCAAAAAGAAAGGGGAATTTACAGTAACTATCTGTGTGCAATAGTGGCTGTTTTTTTTTTTTGGCAGATTGGACTAACATGGTCATAGAATAAACCCCAGCAATCATATGTCCCTCAGAAATCATGCCATTGCTTTTTGTTGTTGTTCATTTGACATTGAAGAATTTCAGCAAGAAAAGAATCACCTTACCGCTTTGTCCCAATGACTTGATGCCTGTCATATGAGGCCACATCCACTTCTAAAAAATCATTGCCTCTACATACTGACTACTGACAACCGGATTGCCATTAGTTTCATCATGTATAGTATGTCTACATAGCATAGATCATCAATTACACAACAAAAAAGAAAAGATTAGAAAATGTGAATAACATGTTCTGAATATAAAAATTTTTGAGCATGTATGCTTGAACTAGAAAATAGCTGACATAATGCATGCAGAAAAAAGTGGATGCAGCATGGGTCGTAAGTTCATAACAGCTTGAAACATCAGAATGCAATATGAGGAAGGAAATGAAAATAGCTAAAAAAGATGGCCTATCCAGCCTTCAGCCCTGGAAACATGGCTGTTTACCCGAGGGTTACTGAATATCAAGAATAATGGCCCCTAGTGCTGCCAACATTTTTTTTATCAAGATGCAACATTAAGCAATGACTCTGATATATGTTTCCAGATAATCTTCTCATTTCTAAGTTGTTGAATGTACTGATGATAGCACATATAGTATGATGATGTTATAAACCAAAAGCTCTGCCAAGAGCTCTAGTGGACTTGAAAGAACTAGTAGATACTCTGGGTTATGTCCCGGAATCATGCCTGAAGTGCAATTGACAACAACTCAGGTTGAACCATTGAAGGGAAGCTAAGTAAAGGAAAAAAAATAAAATCAAGCTTCAGAAAGAATAGAAGACAAAAGTAGGTTCTCTTGATTATTTGTTTCCTATCCTTTGGAAAAAATGGTTGCATTGAAAAAAAACTGACAGCTGGAGGAGGGATACGCAGATTGTGAGATTTGCAAAATAAACTGACAGGTGGAGGAGAGATACGCAGATTGTAAGACTGAAAACAGGAGCATGGTTCTATCAAGTACGAAAACAAAAGAAGATAGCCCAATCGAAAATGTGCGATGCATGTGAATTGGGAAACAGCCGATGAATCAAATAATGTATTATGATGACATTTAGGAAATGTAGTGAGTCATACAGCAGTGAGGGAAATCAGTAGCATAGGTGGAGATTATACAGGCATAAGGGTTCCTAGTTGTACAAAAATATTCTTATCAAGTTGCAGTAATTCTTGACATATGTAGGCAGATAATCTTGTCAGTTCAGTTGTTGATTAGCAGTGATGAGATATCACATATAGGCAGCATGATGAGTAGCATTGGTAGCAAACCCAGAGGTGTCCCAATGGGTTTAGTGGAGTTAAAAGAAGTAGATGTGGTTATGACAAACTCCTTGGGGGTAATTTTGTCCATTAGATTGGCAATACCTGAATTGCAATTGACAAGGCTGAAGGAGAGGTAAAGAAATTAAAGGGGGAAAACAAAAAATGGAATGAATAGTACATGAAGTAGAAAACAGTGGTAGGATCCCTTGATCGAGATTCATTCGCATGCTGTTGTAATTGTGAGTAGGAAAGGTTGGATTGCAAGAATTAGAGACGGCATTCGCGGAAGAAATTAATGAAAATAAAAGTTAGTAAGAGTAACAAACGTTTGATGGACGTAAGAAGTGAATTGCAGGAATAATCACCACTGAATGAATAAACCAATCGATATATTAATATTATTGATGTAATTTAGGCAAAAGAGTGATGCATACAGCAGTGAGTGAGTAAGTAAAATAGAAATCCCTATGCTATTTATTCCTTGCTAGGTCTAGGTGGAGTTGCATCCAATCCACATGGTACAAGATTAGATTAGAGCAGCAGAGTGAGGAATCTGACGGGGAACCTGGGATGAAGGAAGAAGGAGGAGGCAGGTGGAGCTAGGGTTTAGGAGGGGGATCCTCCAGGTCCAGGGCGTGGTTGCGCTTGCGGCGGATGAAGTCCTCGAGGACACGGCGTCGGTCGGCGGCCTTGGCGCGCTGGGGCTCGATGTTGGCGTAGGAGAGGCGGGCGGCGGCGAGGATGAGGGCGACGCCGGTGAGGAAGAAGCAGGCGGTGGCGGCGCGCTGGGAGCGGGTGGCGGTGTACTGCAGCCACACCATCTCTCCCCCTGTCTCTGGTCTGGTGGTGGTGGGGAAGAAAGGAGACGTATCGAGGGAAAATACGCCTTTGGGAGGGGAACGGAAAGAGTGTGGTCAAACCTTGAATTGACTCGTGGATGGGATGGATTCCTTTCCTTTCCAGCTTCCCTCCAAATGGTTGAGGGTTCAAATTTCAAAATTCGAAGGCTACTCCTCCTACTAGTCCGGTGCCCGCGCGCTGGAGGAGGTGCGGTGCGTGTGTGCGTTGGTACGGCTGCAGCAGCCAGAAAGAAGGAAGTGAACGGGGTGCGGCCGCCTGTTTTGCCTGCCTGCCTGTGCGCGTCTCGAGGAGGACATGACATACTACTAGTACCTGTTTTTTTACACAAGGTCCCCCCACATTTTCTTGTTTCTATGATTGAGTACACTTCGGCCGAATTTAGTTCCATATTTTTTAAAAAAAAAAACTTCCAACTTTTTCATTACATCAAAACTTTTCTACACACATAAACTTCCAACTTTTCCGTCACATCATTCCAATTTTAAACAAACTTCCAATTTTAGCTTGAACTAAAACACACCCTTCCCTTCACCCGATTCCATTCATAGGGTGTGTTTAGTTCACATCAAAATTGGAAGTTTTGTTGAAATTGGAACGATGTGACGGAAAAATTGAAAGTTTGTACGTGGATGTGTTTAGTTCACGCCAAAATTGAAAGTTTGATTGGAATTAGAACGATGGAACGGAAAAATTATAAGTTAGTGTGTAAGAAAGTTTTAACATAATGGAAAAGTTAGAAGTTTGAAGAAAAAGTTTAAAACTAAACTCGGCCATAGTATAAGAGAGAGAGAGAGGTGTTGCTTCGACCAATCTCTACAAACCCAGCCATAAAATCACACATTCAAAACACATAGATCACAAACTCCTTCTATTGCTTGCTTCCATTGTGTACACAGTATATCTTCGCTAGTTACTCATTTACATGTCCCCTCCGTGATAAATAATCACCATGGTTTACAGCATTTTTAATAATCAGACAAAACAAGATGAAATATTTTCACTATGCGTGTGTACCATATTACGTGTATATATATTGATGATTGATGTTACTGTAAAAAAAATACAAAATGCACGTAAACAGAAGCAAGAGATATACATTTTTTTAGAGGGAAAAGATCAAGCTTAAACGACTGTACATTTTAAATAAGGTGAATTAACTGTACATTGAACAAATGCTTTTTTTAGGTGTTAAAAGAGAGAATGATGGCTATGGTCTAGACGCGGAGTACTCTATTATGCAATCCACTCCTTAAAATATAATATAAAAAAGCACGTACCAATTTTACGCGGGAAAATTTATTACTATCTGTTATCTAATCATCATACTCTATATTAAAAATGTAACCTATTCAAATAATAACGGTGGATTTAGATTGTAACCGTCGAGATATCGACTGATATAGTTATATACAAAATATGGACTACGTATATTTCGAAACAAAAGCTATTATTGTATATTCAATCAATTCATACATTTAAAACCTTGTGTCCCGCTCAAAATTGCGCGGGAAAATCCATACGTTAGCAAAACATCGTACATATACTATGTGTTTGTGCGTAAGAAAAAAAAACGCTCACCACCTCACGGAGTTAGTCGAAAGATCCCTGAACGTTTCTTCTTGTGTTTGTGCGTAAGAGCTTCCTAAGGAAAACACTAGTGAAAACTTGAAGCTTAATGACCATCATATTTATATATAAGTAACCAGTTGCATTTGCACGGTATTAGTATTATTTGGAAAATTGGATATGCAATGTAAAGCACGGGCATGCATTCAAATGTTGTGAAAGCAAAACGAAAAAAAGGAAAAACTTGGAGGACCTTTTTGTAACTGTGGTTGGAATATTGGAAGCGCGGGTAATAAAAGGAGGACACTTGAGAGCCTACGCCGCAGCCGCCACTCTCTCTCTCTCGTTTTGCCCCAATATCAATACCATCGCCGCACCGCCATGGCGGCGGAGGAGGTGGAGGCGGCGGCGATCGACGGATCCGGCGAGGAGGCGAAGCGGAAGAGTGGTAAGCAGAGGGGATCGGGCGCCAAGGGGAGGCGCCGGAACGGCGACCGGGCTTTCCGCCCGCCGGCGATGAGGCCGGAGGAAGAAGGGCGCGGTGTTGCGACGAGGCCCGGGGCGCTCAGGGAAAGGAAGCCGCCGCCCAACGCCTTCAACGCGCCAGACGATGATGAGGTAGGGAATCTCTCTCTCTCCCCCCCTCTGTCCTGTCATATGTGTTGATCAAACAGCTTGTTCTTGTTGCTAATCAAGCAGCCATTGCAGACGCAGTGTGTTCAATCAATCAATATACATTTTGTTTTGTCTGTTCAGTTTCCGCTCGAGTATCTTCCATTCCATTCCAGCAACCGTGTATCCTCTGTATCGAATCTGAATCTGATTAAAAAAATACTAGTACTGGTATAGGATATACTAGTACGGAATTATTCCTTCGAATCCGATCCCTTTATATCCCAAAACATCTTGATTTTTTCCCCTAGATTCTTCCACCATTGCTTTCTCATCTCATTTCGCCCGATTGCTACAAATATCTTTAAATTTATTTACGTCAAAGAAAGTTACGGTTTTTCGGTTCTTTCTCCAAAATGCTATCCGTTGCTGTTTCAGTGTTTGTGCTTTTATCTACTCCATCCGTTTCATACTATAATTAGTTTCACTTTTTTCCCTAGTCAAACTTGATTAAGTTTGATCAAGTTTATAGTACAATTTAACAACATCTAAAATGTCAAATTAGTTTCACTAAATCTACATTGAATATATTTTAATAATATGTTTATTTTGTGTTGAAATAGTACTCTACATTTTTCTATAAACTTAGTCAAAAACTCGAACAAACTTAACTAGGAAAAAAGTCAAACGACTTGTAATATGAAACGGATGGAGTATCTATCTAGTATGGATTTTGGTACTCTTTGAGGGAGAACTTATAAAGTTATACTGACCAATTGCTGTTTTGCCAATAGGATGTCGAGAAAACTGATCAACTTCTCGAGCCTCTCAACAAGCCCAAAAGACGTGATGCAGGGAAGAAGAGAGGACCCAGAAAAAAGAAAGTGGATCAAGAGAACATCAAAACCCACAGGGTAAACTACTCAACGTTCCTTTTACAAGTTATTTGGGAACGGTTTGGTTTGTGACATGTACGCAGTTCACTATATATTTGCCTGCATCGTTACTTTTGAACGTTTCCTACTCGACCTGCTACCTTGTGAACGAGTACCTGATACCTTCTCAAGCTACCTGCGATTCATCGACCAAGCCAAATCTCTTCTTTAAATTAATTTTGTTTTGTGGGGGCCTAATTATCAAGTCTCCCTAGTAAGATCGCAGTTTCACCGTCAATTTTAGTCGCTTTATTTATTGCTTAATGATAAACCCACCATTATGTTTCTCCTGAACTTGGTCAGTTTCAAGATTATTTTTTTTTAGAAGAAGTTTCAAGATTCTATGCAAGCTGGTTTTGCATAGATTTTTTATGACAGTGCAAGTGCTTGCTTGAATTCTTGTCTTTTTAGATAATGTCTGAATACCTGTTATGATTCGATGTAACTAACTACATGCTTAATTTAAGCATGTTATTGTCATTCAAAGCATGAAAATTTCAGAGGTTTCATGTACTTGCTTGGAAGGTGCACTTTTGTGTTCTTTACAAAGTGAAACATAACCCCAGCTCTTTGATATTGATACCGAAATAACCCATGACTTTCTTTCCTCGACAGCATAACGCAAATGCAGTAAAAGGCAAGATGTTAGTCAATGATAAGGTTTCGAAGACTGAAAAGAAGCGTAAGAGAGGAGACACAGGAGCGGCAGAAAATAATGGGGTCATAAACTACACGTTTCTTTGTATAAGTTTTTTTTTTAAAAAAAATTGTATAACTGTTTTGATGGGTGTGCTAACTTTTCGTTGTTTCAATTATGTAGAAAGGGAAGAAAATGTTGACAGGTGAAAACGCCTTAATGTGTCACCAATGCCAGAGAAATGACAAAGGGAGAGTGGTCTGGTGCAAGACTTGCAACAATAAGCGCTTTTGTGTGCCATGCATTAATCAATGGTGTGCCAAGTTTCCTCAAACTTCTAGTCTACTAGTTGGACTCCCAGCCTACTGTTTTCCTATAGGCTTAAATGTACATTTTGCTTTCATCTTACCCATAGTCCCATAACACCCATTTTTTCTGCTTACATTTTTTATGGTATTATTCTTGTTTCATCTTATGTTTGCCTTGGTACATATGTTTTTATGCACTATACCTCTAGTAACCTTTTAAGGTGATCCCATGTGTTGTATAATTCAACTGGACAGGTATCCTGATTTGCCTGAAAATGAATTTGCTGCAAAATGCCCTTATTGTCGCAAGAATTGTAATTGCAAGGCATGCCTGCGAATGAGAGGTGTCGAAGAGGTTTGCATTTCCATCTCATCTTTTCTTTACAGCATTTCCATTTCTTCAGGACATATTTCTTTTTAAAGTTAATAAATGACACTTTCTAGTATTCTTACTGAATAGTTCATTCCATTCATTGTGAAGCAGCCTCCAAGAAAGGAAATTTCTAAAGAAAATCAGATTCGTTATGCCTGTCATGTGTTACGCTTGTTGCGTCCTTGGCTGATAGAACTGCGACAGGAGCAGATGGCAGAGAAGGAATTAGAGGCTAAGATACAAGGTATGGTTCTCTAGCACACAGACTGGAAGCTGGTATGGCTATGAATGCTCATCTTGTTTTGTTTACAGGTGTTTCAGTTGATCAAATAAAGGTGGAACAAGCTGTGTGTGATCTAGATGAGCGTGTCTATTGGTTAAGTTCTTTCCTTGTTCACTTTATGCTATGATATAATACCAGAAAGCATCTGATCCAATTTTGTTGTCAACTGCAGCAATAGATGCAGCACTTCTATAGTTGATTTTCATAGAAGCTGCAAGCACTGTTTCTATGACTTGTGCTTGACCTGCTGCCAGGAGCTTCGCAAAGGTGAGATCCCTGGAGGAGAAGAGGTGGAAATTTTGGATCCTGAAGAAAGAGACAAGGATTATGCTTTTGGTAAGATTCTGTCAGATGGTGAGAACCAAAGGGACTCTTTGAAGTGTCGCAGCGACACCCAAAACAGTGAGTCAAACAAAGGCATGGCTTCTGACGAAAACCAAAAGAAGGCTCTGTTACTTTGGAAAGCAAACAGTAATGGTAGCATACCTTGCCCACGAAAGGAAAAGGAAGACTGCAGTTTTTCATCTCTAGATCTGAAATGCTTGTTTCCAGAGAAGTTGCTCCCTGAATTAGAAGATAGATCTGAGAAGGTCTTCTGGAGTGAAACATTTGCAAAAGAACTAGGTAGAACAAGTGAGCTGTGCCCTTGTTTTGATCACTCAGGCAAGATAAGAAGTGACAGCAAGAAATTACGTCAGGCTGCAAATAGGGAGGACTCGAGTGATAACTACTTATACTGTCCGGTGGCCACTGATATCCAGGACGCTGACCTGTTGCACTTTCAGATGCATTGGGCAAAGGGCGAACCAGTTGTTGTTTCAGACACTCTTAAGCTAACTTCTGGTCTTAGCTGGGAGCCGATGGTTATGTGGCGGGCAGTACGAGAACGAACCAAAGGGAAGGCAGAAGATGAGCAGTTTGCTGTGAGGGCAGTAGATTGCCTCGACTGGTGTGAGGTGAGGATCTCTAATGTGTTTATGTGATAGTACTCTTTTTCTCGGGTTTGGTTTATTGTACTTTACCACAGTTCATACTCTTTTTACATACCTGGCATAATCTTGATTTTATCTTTTGGCAGAAATACATGAGATGATGCTTATTTTCAAATGCGACAATGAAATAATGTGTGCATGTGTTGCCTTTCCAGAAGAAAGTAATACACATAATGATTAAATAATTGACCAGTTTAACTAATTTTGTTGATCCATTAGTGAATTGAGCTTCCCTATTAAATAATGTTTGTTATGTGTTTCTGTTTGAAATGAGAGAAACCTATCTTTCTTCATCTACAGTTGAACTTTCTGGCGCTTACTACATTCATATCTGATTTTCCAGGTGGAAATTAACATACACATGTTTTTTATGGGATATACAAGGGGCAGAACTCATCCCAGGACCTACTGGCCTGAGATGCTTAAGCTAAAGGACTGGCCCCCTTCTAGCTCATTTGATCAGCGATTGCCTCGCCATGGTGCTGAATTTATCAGTGCATTGCCATTTCCGGAGTATACTGATCCACGATATGGTCCGCTAAATCTTGCAGTGAAGCTTCCTGGTGGTGTCCTGAAGCCAGATCTTGGGCCAAAAACTTACATTGCCTATGGATTTTCTGAAGAGTTGGGCAGGGGTGACTCTGTAACCAAACTTCACTGTGACATGTCTGATGCAGTATGTCTCTATTATTATAATGATGTTTTGTTGTTTTGTATGAATTGTGCTCATTTCTTTCATTCTGATAAGCGAATAAAATTGACTTGCTGGTTGCTGTATACGTACCTCATCTGCAGACATTCAAATAGATCATGTTTTCTATCTTGTTGTTTCTTGTGCTTTATTTGTTTGTCTTGGCAGTGATTAATTGTGAAAGGTATCTTTTTTATCAGGTAAACATCTTAACACACACAGCGGAAGTGCCCTGTGAGACTTATGATGCTGTTCAGATTAAAAACACGCAGAAAAAGATGAAAATGCAAGATGACATGGAAATATATGGGATGATAGAATCAGGCAGTGAACTCAAGCCATCAGCATGCCCAGTTGAATTGGGGAACAAAGCTGTTGGTGAAGCACCAAAGGCCTCATGCAGCAAAGAAAATGTTCATACCTTGAAAGACAAGTCTAATGGTTGGTGGAGAAAATATACTTTTGGTATGAAATGAATCTTTTAGCCCACTTTTAAGTTTTGTTGAGTTTATTGCTTGCACAATGCAGGTTTGGATATAAACGCTTCACCACCTGATGATGCTGGAGGTGATGCCAGGGATGAAGCATTGTCCTATGAATCTGTGGTACATAGTGATGTAGCTCAGTGTCCAAACCATAACCATGAGACCAATAATTCTGATGATGCACGTATTGGAGCTCAGAGATGTCAAAAGAAAGCTAAAGGTCGTCCTCCGAAGACAGGTTCAGGGGTATCAGAGCACCAGGAAAGTGGTGGTGCTTTGTGGGATATTTTCCGAAGAGAGGACTCTGAGAAATTACAAGACTTCCTTAGGAAGCATGCGCCAGAATTTCGGCACATCCACTGCAATCCAGTGAAACAGGTATGTCTGCCTCTCTATGCTGTTGCAACTGATAACAATACATATTACCTGTGTTTTGCTGACCAAGAGCTATGTTGAGTATCATCAATTATGTTAACTGTGCAGGTTATTCATCCAATTCATGATCAAGCTTTCTATTTAACTGCGGAGCATAAAAGAAAGCTGAAGGAAGAATATGGTTAGTAAACATGTTAGCATTAGATCTTGAGTTCTCTGCAATCACATTGTTTCATGACCATGCCTGTTTTTATATGTGGATTTCCTGTTGCAGGTGTTGAACCTTGGACCTTTGAACAAAAGCTTGGCGAAGCAGTTTTGATTCCTGCCGGATGTCCTCACCAAGTCAGGAATTTGAAGGTGTGACTGAATTACTGTAAATGGAGATACTAATATTTTCCCTTCCTCCTGATATTTGCATGAGGTATATGGGGGCTGAAAAATGAAAAAAAATGAAGCTAATTTTGAACTGAACTCTGCAGTCCTGCATCAAGGTTGCACTGGACTTTGTTTCCCCCGAGAATGTTGGTGAGTGTGTTAGGCTGACCAAGGAATTTAGACGACTTCCATCTTCCCACAGGGCTAAAGAAGATAAGCTAGAGGTTAGCTTGGTGTCAGTTGAAATTTCTGGTGTTTGATGTGGTGACTGACTTGAATTTGATTTGTGCGTTTTACAGATCAAGAAGATGGCTTTCCATGCTCTGAATGAAGTTCTAAACTTTCTGGATCCTCCTTCCTCAGAAGGGTGAGCATTCATTCCACTGTAAACATAACAGCTGTGAAGTTTATACGTTCTGACCATTGTATGTTGCGTGATTGGTGGATCAGGTCGAAAGAAGCGGCGGAGAAGCCTCGAAGGGGGCGTGGTCGCCCAAGAAAACACTAGCTGCAACAAGTGATGACTTGATTTGCTGCGTCCGGCTCCCTCTCTGATCATCTTTTGTGGTGATGAGTGGGCTAAAATCGTTCATGCATTTTGGAGGAAGGGGAGGAATCTTGTGCATGTCAAAATGTGGTAGCAATAGCATGATCGATGTAGGTAGGCTGCTAATGCTAATCAGTTAATGGCTTGATACTTTTCCTTTTGGCTTGAACAACTAACTAGCTGTCTGTCTGTCTGTTTGACTTGTGTTAAGTGGATTCAGACATGTAATCTGGTCCATGGTTTCAGCTGTAGCACATGATGTTCCATGTCTGCTTTTTCAAGGTTGTTGTACCCCCAACGAAACGGATGGGATTGATGGCCCTTTTGTTGGATTCAGATATGGGTTATATACAAATACTAGTTTCCTTGCAGCCTGAATTTTAGAAGACTTTTACGGTACATTATATTTCCAGTATAAATGAGATTATGCTGGGAATCTGCTGCAAAATAGAAATTTATCAGTAGTTATTTCGTGTTATATCTTCACTTCGATAGTAATCCTAATTGTTCGTGCGCCAGATTAGATTTAACTGGATACGGTTGAATAGATGGCACAATCAAATCCTTTTCATCGGATTGGTGGATTCATCAAACATATAAAAACATTAACCCGTGTTGAATAACTAGAGTGAGGGAGATTATCTAGCATAGAGAAAGATCATTCTATCCCCTTTAATTTTATACTGCAGTCGATTTAAGTGGATAATAAAATCAATCTACACATTTGAATTGTTTTGAGTTCTCGAATTTTATTCTTCATTTCCATGCGTGCGATGTGATGCCAACATCAACTTCTGGGTTTTTGGCTAAAAACAATTGAGCTGAGCAAAGCAAGAGGAAGAAGGAACAATTGTGGATGCCAAATAAAAGGACCGCAAACATCTGATTAACATGAGTGATGAAATACATCATTATAGAATTCAGCATTATTATGTATAACATCATTAGAGAATTTAGCAGATAACAATATGTCAGAACCAGCATCAGCGGCGGTAATATTAGTATGTCAATTCGGAGGAGAATTGATAAGGCACAGCAGAGCACGGGCTCTTGTACATGTTGATAGATGAGCGCCGCGGTAGTAAATTTTGTTTGTTTGTCTCCAAAATACTACATATATGGACATATATGCAGCAGTCAGAACTCAGAATGTTGGTCTGAAATTCTGAAAATACAGCACATGTACTCAGTATATGTGCTGACAGATATTTTTATTTTGGACACAAAGACGATGATGGTGATGATGATAATGACAATAATGCATGATCATCATCATGATGATGATCACTAACTACTATGTACTGGTACTCACAATCATATAGGTAGATGGATCGGATGGGGAAGCATTTGTTTGGTTGTCTAGGGCAAACTGCAGACAGCGGTGCAGCAAACAAACAAACAAAACCAAAAGGCCGCCTAAACTAAAGTTGTTTGTTCGCTTTCCTTTATGGCTCGGTTCCTTCCTTCGGTTGACACACCCCACTCACACACACTGTCACTCAGTACAGTACTAGTATTAGCTAGTACAATTCACAGGTCACTGCAGCAATGAGCACCCATGAAAGATCTATCTTTCTATCTGCAGCAATGAGCTCCACAGAATAGTACTCCATATTACAGTAGTAGTATATATACTACTACATAATAAGAAAAGAGCTTGGAAAAAATTAAAGGAAAAAAAAAACAATAACACCTCTAAGGGCGGTGACATAGCGAATGGTCTCGCGATTCTACATCAGATATGTCAGAGTTTTTTTTTTTTGCCGGGTCGGCCGAAGGAATCGGCGACCAAATTTCATTAAGATTGGGAGAAATAAAATTAAAGTACAAGTAGTTTTAGCTTGCAACGACAGGAGGCTGTCGAATTAGAATTAGACTGGCAGAAACCACAGCCCGACAAACTAAAAAACTGAAACGCCAACACAACAGATATGTCAGAGTGGCCTCATGGGCATGTACTTGTCCTGAAAAAGGCACGAGAGTTATTATCCAAACAATTATATTACGGCATAAAATGCAGAGCCTTTGTGCGTGCGGAACTATTATCGAAACAATTATATTGTGCAAGCATTAGCTTCGTCGCGGTTGCTTATTTTGGAGCTCATTAAAGCTACTACTATGTATTAAGAAGAGAGTATTCTTGACTATGGCTTAACCTAGTACGTGACATACTCCCTCACAAGACCATTTTTGGATTGTAAATGCCCTAATGTACATCCCATTTCACTTTCACTTTATGTGCAAATCTTTTCCACAATTCCTTTTCCAAGCCCGGCAGAAGCTGCTACTCCTGATGACTGAATGAAAGCCACCCTGCACCTAAAAAGCTGCAGAGAGTGTGGTGCTGGTGCATGCTCTCCCTCTGATCCCCACATCCAATCCAGATCAATCCTGCCTAATCATCATAAGTATATTGCTTGCCCACCTAGAATTTCTTCGACTCAAAATATAATAATAACTTAGCATTTATAATTTATCTTAAAATATAACAACTTTTTCACATGTACTCTCTTCTCAACTAATCATAATCTTTCACCATTTAAATTCTCCAACATTTCTCCTCTCAACTAATAGCCGTGTTTAACCTTAAAAGTTCATGTATCCTGACTCCTGAGACGAATGTAGTTACTAGTGCCTTTTATTGCTCTCTGCTGTCTGCCTCACTGCCATGACAAAACCTGCATTCATCAATATCTGAATGTCCCAGCAGCAGCAAGCTACTACTACTCCATATCAACTGATTGATCCCTGAAGATCTATGTCGCTGCTTACACATTTTTGTATCATATTTTAGATAAGGAAGATGGATTACATTGCCAGCCGCATGTGTATTGTATACTACTAGCTAATAGCAATCTATACCAAATTTGTGAGGTCATTTACACAAATAACTTCAATACTTTGTTTGGCAGCTGAGCTGAATTATGTCTACTATATGTGAAAAGGAAAGAAAAGATTGGTAAATCTTTTTTATGGCAATTCATTCGTAGTAGATGGCATGGAGATCGGAATAGTGGATGTGCGGGTTAAATCTTGCATATGATCAGTTCCTGATTCGCTTTAACTATTTAGGATGTAAAGAGTACAGGTTGCCAGCTTTATCTACAGCTAGCCTCACCACTGTATATACTCCATCCGTCCCAAAATGTTTGAAGCCGTTGACTTTTTTAAATATACTGGAGTAGTATATATTGATGGATGCATGGTTCGATTACGATCGAGCTGCATGCGTGATAAGGCGTAATTAAACAAATCAAATTAAGTAAGTATATCACGTCACGAGTAGAATATATAATACCATGCTTCGATCGATTCGGAGACAATATATATCTTGAAATTCACCACACTATCAGGAAGTAATTGATCAGTAGCACTCAAATACGGCCTGCATATGTAATAATGCCATCTTTCATATATATTTTTATTTATAGTTCAGTCGTCTCAACTTTTACATCATCATTTTCCATTATTGCACATGACAATACACATTAATTAGTACATACAAAAGACATGAATTGTATATATATCCATGCTACCACATATATTGGAGTATATATATATGTACATATATAATCAGAGGCGCATGAACACACTAATTACTTAGGTGCTGGTAGCCGGTGGAGCAAGAAGAAGGTGTGCTGCCTGCATCTGCATATTAACGTAAAAACTATGGATGAAAGAAAGGAGAGGGGAAAAAAGTTAAAAGAAGAGAAACAAGTAAGCATGCAACGTGATCATTGCTGCAGGGAAAGATCATTGCTGCAGCTCGATCGATCGGCAAACATGAATGAAATTATTCGCAGCTAGCTCAGTAGCTCTATGGCTGTGGTTAGCAATGCAACCACCAGTTCACCATGGAGTAGTGGAGTACTACCTCCTATCATATGCAATGCACAGTGAAAGCACACGCTTCGCTAGCTAGCTAGGGGCAGCAAGCACACGCGCAGAGAGAAAGAGAAACTAGCACAATTCAAGGCAGGCTCGCGTCACTTCATCAATCTCCTGCCTGCCTTCCTGCCCTCCATATGTATATACAGTAGCAGTTATTTATACTTCCATCTTCAATTTTGCATCTATCGAAACTGCTTGAGCTTGAGATCGATTTCATATGATATGATATGAACTGGAGGTTTTGACCGTGCTCCCAACAATGAGTGACACTGCACGTCGATCGACATTACTATGATCATGTCCATTGATGAATTGCTTAGTGGTCGAGTTGGCATTTGCAGAGATTCAGATATCCAAATATAGACTTGATCGATCGACGAACTGAGAACTGACAGACAGTATCGATCGAGCAGCATATATGCCAATTAAGATCAATCCAATCTGTCCTGGCCGTTTCTCAATTTCTTGCTTGCTCTCAACAATTCTGAACTCTCAATCAGATGAGGTGAGCAGCATGCATGCATGCAGCAGAGACAGTGTAGTATGTGTACTAGCAGCAGCAGCAGCTGGACAAGAAAGAGCCTGTCTGATGCCTGGTTGCTGGTTGGATCGATCTTGGATGGACGACGCGACAGGTCAGCCTTTCTAGCTAGGTCGACACCGATGGACGGATGGATCGACAAAACGAAAGCTTAGCTTAGCTTGCTCCATCCGTCCATCCATCCATCCTTCGATCTGCTGCTGCTGCTGCTGTTCAGTTCATCTTTTTCTAGATTCTGTTCATCTAGCAGTACTGAATAATGCATACATATGCTGCCATTCTGCACGCTCGTGCACGCTATCTTTCTTAGCTTTCATTTCCCAGCTACATGCATGCAAGCAAAAGAGAAGAGATGAACAGTCAAACACTGGTCCACCATGCAATGCAGCTCACAGATCAAAGTTCAAACAATACTACTGTAAAAAAGGCTTGCTATCACCGGCCGCCTATCAGAATTAATTAGGATTCACCATGCATTCAGTTTCTTAATTTCTCATGTACTAGGTAATACTATGTAAGTATGTAGTGGTAGACTTTAACTTCTTTTTATATATATAAAGGGGCTAATAATTAAAACCCAAGCCTTTAACTTAATTCACCAGTTATATTGATGTACAGAGATTGCCTTTTCTTCTTAATTTGGTGAAACATATATATCTTGCCTTGAATTGTACCAGTACTGAATTTGATGGCTAACTCTGCATATATATATATATATACATATAATATACTGCCAAAGTAAACCATTTCCATTATCTAAATATAATATATAATGCAACAGTACCATTTGTTCACAACGCAACTGGGAACAATAATACTAGCGGTCTAGCACACCATGCATAATCCATTCATATGAAAACTACTGCTGCGTACAACTTTCAAATAAAAATATATGGTATAAAGTATAAACAGTAAAAAAACGCCACTTACTTTTTTTGATCTTTATATAGCGAACGTACAAACAGTTTTGGGAAAACCGATCACAACACATATAATCTATCTACTACTGGAAAAAAGGATCTAAGATCAAAACATAGATGAATTCAGAAGAAAACCAAATAGGAACATATAAACCAAGGAAATTAGGTAAATTAGACTCAGGGAATAATTTCAAAATTATATATATATGTGAGAGACCTACCGGGTCAATGAAGCACGAACTATATTGCAGTATATATGTACAAGACCATAAAGCAAAAAAAAAAAATGGAGTAGATATAACAGTTAGCTATACATATATAATATGACTCATGAATAGAATACCAAGTGCAAATGATAAGATCAGATTAGCATATGGAGATCTGCATGCATGCATGGAGTACTATCATATCGATTGTTATCCAAAAATTGAGTACTAACCATACATTAAAAAGGGTGCATAAACTTGCAGATCTGATCAAATTAAAGAGTACTGAAATTAGCCTGGCCGATCGAATTATTTCAAGATATCTTTTATTGCAGATAGAATATTCCAATTAGCAGAAAGAATAATTCAATAAAAATCCAAGCAGTAATTTTACCTGCTAGATCGAATTGCACGCAGATGGCGGCCGGGTGAGCAGTATCTGATATGCATGGATCGATGTACAGATCAATTAATCTCCATCGCGATCGATCCAAGAATTAGAGCAGGCAGGAGATATAGCTAGGTAGATATATAAGTAAGATATAATTAAGATCGAGGGCACCATGTTTTCCAAGGACTTTCTTGAACTATCAACAAGATGGGGATCCAGATGCGCATCGATGACCTAATTCAGATCAGATCGATCGATATGCATCATGCATGGGATCTAGAACAATATATGAGGAGCATGCACACACGAGTTCACAGTTCAAGAAAGCCTGTGGAGAGCATGGCCGCAATCTTTCTTTTTTGCTCGCAATTTAATTTGTGTGTGTGTGAGAGAGAGAGAGACGATGCGAAGAAGAGGAGAAAGAGGGGTGGTATATATAGAGCCAGAGGAAGCTGATCAATCGATCGATGCACTGAAGAAAGAGATGGTGGACAGACGTAATTGGACCCATATACTTTTGATCGATCCGTACGTACATACATATTCTTTTAGAAAAAAAATACTACTAATATACATGATCAATTAATCATGATATATAAATCAGATTTTAATTTCTGGATTATTTATACGACGTCTATTCCATCTATGGTACGTACAGAATATTAATTATGTTGTGATCGATTTCTGAATTCTGATCGCCGATCGAGCCGGTAACATATATATATATATATATATATATATATATATATATATATATATATATATATATATATATATATATATATATATATATATATATATAATTCATCTTGGAAATTAATGGCAAATTGCGTGCTAGCTGTATATAAGTACGGCCATCGTGGGGTGATGATCGACTCAATTAATTTGCATATTGTAATTAGCTAGCTACTGGATGCTAAACAATAAATTTGGTATGGACCAATTAATTAACCACTGGTAACATAAATAAAAATTCACCGTGTATATAGGAATCAAATCCTGGTGTACCCACATATATGAATTTTCAATAAAACTTTAGTAAGATCATGAATATGTCACTGGTTCTCTTGGAACATGCATGTGTGGCGCCTGCGATGTAATAAAAAAATCACCATGTTTAATTGCTGGAGCAAATTAAAGCAAATTAAACGATGGACCAACCGTACCAACCGGTCGGATCGATCGAGGGGTAGCCGGCTTAGTGATATCTATCGATGATGGATGGATCGATCAAGAGTACTATCAAGAGCTGCATGTACCTATATAGCTTTAACTTATTGACACTTTTCACGTGTGTATATCACCAACCAACCAGGCTGAGGCAGGCAGGATTCGAGACATGCGTGTACTATCATATTTATGCATCCACCGATATATCGATCGATCGATTACCGTGGAGCCCTCAAAAATTAATTTATTATGTATTGATAGACATCAATCGGTTTTATTCTAATTACATATCTCTGTTGAGTGATTAAGCATCTACAGTGTTTGCATTAGCTAAGCTTGCTAGCTAGTAGCTTAGTTAGTGTCTATCTGAATGGCTATGCATGTAGGAATGATCATACATCTTACCTACTTACTACTATGGGCCTGTTCGGCTGGCCGATACAGCTACTTCAGCTGCAGACACAACACAATACTATTTATGTTGGCTGCACAACAGTGAAATTAAGTGCAGCCGAACAGAGCCATATAATATATGATATGGATCAATGTCCCAATCGTCGCCACTATCATATTCTTACCTACTTAATAGAAGTGAACCACACGTATATGTGCATATCTACACCTACACATTATTAACAGAGTTTGAATATGAGATGTCATGTTTATATTAAAAAAAAGGCACATGGTCTATATTAAAAACTACAATTTTTTAATGAAAATAGAAGCGAAGAATTATATATCAAACTCAATTCTTAAAATGTAGGCTATTTAAGTTAAATAGTGCGCTAAGACTACCTCACAAAATAACCTCCCCCCTCTCTCTCTCTCTCTCTCTCCGCTCTCCTCCCCCTCCCCTCCTCTCCTGGTGTGAAAAAAAAAACTCTCCTCTTTAACCAAACATTGGTCTATCGATCGCTAGGCTCCCCTCCGTCTCCTACTCCCTCTCCTTTCTGTGCCCTCAGTCCTCATCCACTCCCCCTCTCTCTCTCTCTCTCTCTCCTTCTGCTGTAAAAGAATTAATATTTTCATTATTTGAATGAAATTCACTTATTATTAAGAAAAAGATTAATCTGATCAAAATAATTTAATGTTGAGAGGGGTAACGATAATTTTTTTCATAAGGAGGGAAAGGAGAGCCTACATGACCAACTTTCAAAAGTAAATTACCAGGATAAATTTTCTACATAGAGAGGTGGAAGAGCAATTTATTTTTTTTCTGAGAGAGATAGAACCAATTTCTGGCTAAACATATTACCAAAATAAATTTATTATGCCCTATATGCTTGGAGGGTTGAGAGTTCTTTTACGAGAGGAGAAGAGGGGGGGGGGGGGGGTTGCTAGAAGGAGTGAGATTTGGGATGGGTGAAGAGACTAGAGAAATAACTACTCCCTTTGTTCCCTCCTAGTACAACATTGGCTTATTTTGGAACGGAAGGAGTAGTGTTTGGGTTGTTCGGGTAAATGCAAGAGAATTTTTTATATTATTAGGAGGGAAGTGGGAGAGTGGATGAAAGGGGACAGTTGCTGTGTGAGACGCATTGTTTATCACTACATAAAAATTGCAATTGGATCTTGAAAAACAGGAGCTAAGATTTGCACCATCAATTAATTTGCAACATCAATTAATCCAACATTTCTACTTTTAAGATTTAGTGTAGCACAAAATACAAATACAATTGTATTGATATATTCCAAAATCATACTAGTAGCTAAGAGTTATACCAAAAACTTTTTTTTCTAACATTATGTTAAATTGTGCATAAAAATCCGTTAGCATATATAACACAACTATTAATACCATGTGCCTAATTAGTTTAGAACCTAGATATACTATTGGGATCAATTAGTAGCCTAAACTTCGGGCACTAAAAACAAATGGCATGTGTAAGTATCCCCCTGATATTTTGTAGGTGGGTCGCCTGGCCAGCTAAATTAACCTTGTCTTTTTCCGCTTTACACTAGTGGACTCGTCCATATTGTTTCCTTAATAATTCGCTGCTTTAATTATTTCCAGATCACCAACGGATGATAGATCAGTGCTACCTAAGCATAGTACACAGCACATTTGTATTGTTGCCCCGTGCGGCCAGCTCACCATCCAACCATGGCAATGCATGTGTTAGTTAGCTCCATGTGAATGTGATCCATCCATCCATTCAATCCCATATATGAATCTCATCATCAAATCATTAATTCCCAGATTATTGTGATTGGACCATCTAGCTACCAAAAAACACACGATCGATCGATGATGCGTGAGTTAATATCACAATGAAATTAACTGCATCCAAAGAGATCAATCAAGCATGTTACAGTCCAAATAATGCTGATGCTGCAAAACAACAAACATACATATATTATATGTTTTGTCACTCGATATGTGCTACTCGTAATACAGATACGGTTACATGTAATTTCACTGGATGGAGCAAAACAAACGCACACTGGTTAGTATGACAAGCAAACATGAAGCATCTCGATTGTTCTTCAGTTTCAGCTGCAGCCAGCTTCGAGGCTAGAGGATACATACTAGTAAGTAACTGAGGCTTCAATCCCCTTTATTCATTGAACGCTGACTTGTAGTGAGACTCGTCGATTGTTGAGTATATGTGCCCAATGTCAGCGAGGTAATCAATAGCTACCCTGCATAAATTAACAGAGAGCGAGGTAAGCATCAACCAGCAGCCATAATTTTTCGTCGAATTAATGTCTCGCTGTTGCGTGTGTGTGTGTGAGCGAAGGAGTGAAATACAGACTTGATCTTGGCCTCCGGTAGCCTGAAGCGCTTCACGATTTCATCAATGTGCACACCATGCTCGCTCTCGCTGTCAGTTTATTCGTTGGTCAAACAAGATGAGCAAAACAGCAGTCACCAGATCCTCAAATCTTAATACAATCGGTAGGCCGCTTCTTCAGCCAACACGACAATATTAACAGACAAATACTCTCCATTTCTCCTAGCTAGCAATCCTAGCCAATTCTACTTGTGTTTAATTGGAAAATCTAGGAAAAGTAGATATTGATGGAGCATCAGGTTTTCACGGGAGCTGGTATTTCTAAGCAGATAAAAAAAGGCAAAAGAAACAGAGACATGCATTCGGAATTCATTCCTGAGTAATTGACTTTAAGTCTTTAACAGGACAAGCATTTCTTTTTCCTAGATGACAAGGAAGACGGATGTGCAACTTACACGTTTGCTGGTTCGCGGAAAACATTCAGCACTTCTGTGTTCAAATCAGTTTTTGATCCATTTGTTACACTGAGCACTGGTGCCTGTAAGGATGAGGGAATAAATCACGGCAGCACAGGAGTTTGATTGTTTGATCAATGCAATAACTGTAAATACAACTTACCGGGTTGGATTTCACAGAGGTCGGAGTGGTCATTTCACTGAAGCCATTGGAAGATGAGGATCCCATGGCAGAATATGTTTTTGCAGGGCTACCAATCTACAGTGTTGAAGGTAAGCATTAGTTCTTTTTTTGTTCAAACTCATGAACCTTCTAACTAATGAACACGAGATTGCTATCACGAGAGTATTTGTATAGAACAATTGTACATCACAGCAGCATACCTGTGATTTGGTGTTCTCTAAATGCATTCGCACGCACTGAATGAAATGCAGTGTGACCTCATTATAATCAGTTACAGGCCTGAAATGAACAAAATAAGAGAAAATTAGTTGCATGTCTTATTGCATATTTGCACCAGCAGAATATATGAATGTTACGTACCTGATAGCGAAAGCAGTAGCACGCTTCCTCTCCTGAAGCCCCTTGAGGCTACCAATGACAGAAACATACATTCCATTCCTTTAATTAGGAAAAAAAATAGAGTTATGAGAAAAGGTGATGATCCTCAAGGAGAAAGATGCTAACAATCCTCAAAAATAAAAGATGATGAAGTGCATATATAGAAGCATAAATGGGAGCTATGACTGGTACGTACTGAACAGCAGCGGTTTCAGCAGAATCAGCACCATCATTGACCCTGTAAAATGGATGGAGATAAATAACCATGTAAATCTGCTGAAGCCATTGGCAAAAGAACAACAGGATGTTGTAGTAATTAACCTAATTTCAGAACTAAAGATGTAGGAGTACTACTTATATCATTGCCTTGAATACGAAAAGACAGACCAGATATGTGCTGATGCTCAACCAATGCTTCTAGAAACCAAAAGACACCGTTTGTAGTAGAATGTTTATACTAGTAGTAATTAGCATTCAGGATTGAAAAAACATTTTCCGAATTCCCGGCCTTGAATTGTTTGGAAGTCTAGAACGAGCAAGCTGAACTACAAGTAGTAGTAAACAACCAGTGATGGCAGTTGAAGCAGAAATAGTATTGACTAGGAAGATACAGAAGCGATTGAATCGGCGAAATGGGCTCACCATCTGATGAAATCGAGGCGGCCGGTGCCATCGTCGATCGTGAAGGACACATCGGTGTTCCGCTCCGTCTTGCCACTGACCAATCCCACAAGCCTAACCTGAAAAAGCAACAAGGAAACACCCAAATCAACAAGCTAAGAGGAAATTAAAGCAGGGAGGGGGGGGGCATTTTCCGTGTTGTGTTGCAGCATACGTTGGCTGTCTCGACGCCGTCGACGACGAAGGGAGCGCCCTTCTCCCCGGTGATGCCAGATTGCTGCGCTTCAGAGATCTGCTTCACGGTGAGCGGCATGGTGCTCGATGCGCCCCGGCTCTACAAAATCAAAAGAAAAGAAAGATGATTTTATCCCCCTTGTTTCTCGAAACCAAGACACACACGGATGAGAATGGAATGGAGATTACTACCTTGGAAGGGGTGGTAGAGTCGGCGGCGGCATTCTGGGAGGAGGTGAACTGCGACGGCGAGAAGGCGTCGGGCTGGCTGAAGGACATCATGCTTACTCTCTCTCTCTCTCTGAATCTTTCTTTCACTCTCCTCTCGCGTCTCGCGGTGGTGGCGGCGGCGGCGGCGGCGGCGGGGTTGATGGGATTTGGAGTTAGATCGAGTAGACTAAAAAGCCCAGGAAGAGCAAGCGCGCGGGAGATTGGGGAAACCAAGAGGCGGGAGGTTGTGGAACGCGCGGGAAATGGCTCCATTCATTCCCGCCATTTCTCTCCTGACCTTTCGCGTTGCTGACACGTGGGGCCCGCCAGTCAGTCAGTGTGCCCAAACCCGTTTCATCTGGGACCTTCTTCTCGACGGGCACAGACTGATAAGTGATAACCAGTTCTCAAAAAAAGACTGATAACCAAAGTCGAGCGATGATTCGATGGAATTCGATAGGTTTTGATGGAATTTCTTTGAATTTTGTCGGTAACCGATCAGTTTTACAAAAAGAAACGAAATTCAGCATGCCTGCACTTGCTCCCTTAATTTTGTTTAGGAAAAAAAACAAACGAAATCATGTCTTCTGCTAATCTGCTATCTATTGATGAATGAATGGTGCAATCTTTGATCCAATTCCAAGAGGAGAGATGAACGCAACTCCAAATTTCCCATTCACACAAATTAAATCATGTGCGTGGATGGTTGCACAAAAAGGATATGCTACATCATGTCAATCGTATGAAATAGAAAAAGGGAGGAGAGACAGCCGCCAAAAGCCAAGCCATTCTTTGATTCCTCTGCAACATTAGATACATGGGAATGGAATATACACTTGTCGGCAAAAATAAAGTTAAAAAAAATCAAAACAAAACGACCTCTGCTACTAGCTGCGGATGATCAGATTCAGACAGATGGATCGTCCAAATACTCCAGTCAGATCAGATTCTTCATGCATCAACTCTTCAAGGGTTGAAATAGCCTGAACCACCAAGGTTGGATGAGACCAGCACCATCACACTTGTTATGGCAGCAAGCCACACTAGAGCAGTATCTGAATCACAAACAAAATCAGAAAATCAATCAAGGTGATGTAGTAATGGAAATCTAAACACAAGCCAACCAACAATACTATGCAGGTAACCAGCATAGTGAATTCAACAGTTGGTTACCTGTGGAGCTATTGGATACAGTCCCTGTATCAGCAGCTGCTGCAGCATTTTCACCATCTCTGGATTTAGCAGCCTGCTCACTATCTCTCAAGCTTCCGGGTTCAGACGACGACACAATGCCTTGAAATTCCTCGCTGACAAGCAGCGCGGCCAGCAGATCCATGAAGGTCTCTCTCTCTTTACCATCCATGTCACTTTGCTTACTTGTACTGTCTTGGACATAATCTAGCACATCCTCGTCTGAAACATAGCCCGCAGCAAACTCATTTTTTACCCCTTCATCTTCCTCGTCCTCGACATATGCTTTGTATGTGAGGCGAAGGAGTACTTCCCCTTTTGACCGTTTCCCAAGTAAGCCCCATCCTCCATATAAAGTTACAATTTTGTCTGTAGGTACTGTGTCTTTAAGTGATCCTAACTCAACCTGGCAAATAGAATATACTCAGAAACACGTTCCACTTCAACAAAGGACACCCAAAAATACAAACAAAATACACTTCACTCATCACTGATATAGTATGTTTGCTTGACCTAGCAAACTGCTGTAAAACAGTACACTAAACTACAAATTTCCAAGTAATATCACATACATCAGCTTAGAGAGGATACTAAGGAAAACTTTCAATTGAAACAAACTTTGCAAAAGATGAAACCCTACCTCTCCAGTGCCAATAGTGACATCGGTTAGACCAACTGAATCCTTTACTTGAATGCACAACTTCTGTTTGCGAGGGTTTGCAACTAGCATATGAAAGTCCTGTTTGATGTCAAGTGCTTATGAGCATGATAGTATACAAGAAAAAGGTTCCATCAAAATGCCCATGAGCTTAAAGTATAACTGTCTCAGAGCTTTACTTGATTCCAGATTGGTTCGCCTGGTTGCCCAATTACAGTTGTTTGACTATTCTTCTTGCTCTTTATTTCTTGATCACCAAGAATCATGACAACATATGGATCAGTCTTCCCTGCAAGTGACAAAAAAAATTATACCTAAATATTCTATCAAAGTGACACAGATGTCTGTAAGGATAGGCGAACTAATTTTTTATTTCATCTCCAGCTTGCCCAAGTGGTAAAATTATTTAATGATTTGATTTGTTTTTTCTGAGCAGATAAACTCAATAGAAGCTAAATATTTATGATATTCTTCTAACAAGATGCTGGGTGCAATTTCCAAACTAATAAACATACGCTAAATATTTCCATTTGGAAACCAAAGAGTTCTTTTTTACCGAATAAGACAAAGCTAAGCTTCCTGGCATCAACTAATGTCACTGATAGTTCTCCAACGAAGTCCTTATTCCCATCTTGAATTACATCACTTGCAACATCTTGAAGTATGCCACTTGCAACATTTTGGATTACGTCACTTGCAACATCTCCTGCAACAGGTCCCATAGATCTTCCCTGCTGAAAATCAAGGACAATCTTCTTGGGCCGCACAAAGAGACGTGGCAAATCTTCTGTTAGAAGTTTCGTGAGAAACCTAGAGGAGGTAGAGTCACAGGTGACTTATTAGAACCACCGGCCAAAGGGTGAACAAGGTTTGTCTATTAAAGAGCAGCATTAAATGAAAAGCTAAGCCTTAAGGTGTTGAATTAGGATACAGTTGCAGAATTTTTCCGAAAACATGATACAAACAATAACAATGCAGGCACCTGCATTTTATATAGATTGTTAAATATGGTTGCTACTAATTCAACAGAATCTTCATGGATCTACCAACATGTATTTAATAAAGAGTCTAGGCTAAGTAAGAAGCAAAAACTAATATTGATAGCTTAAACAAGTAATAGCATATGTTTTATCACCAGCTAAGCACATGGGGATAAGAATATTTAACCACCTAGAACTAGAGTGAACAAGAAAGCAAGAGAAGAAGGCGGCAGAGAGGGTAAAGGTGACAGTGGGAAGGTAGGTTAGGCCATTACAAAAAGAAACTAAGAAAGCAACTTTAAAATGCATTAGTAGTCCCTGCTCATTGAGCAATATCTATGTAGTAGCATCTAACCATGATTCTGCGTAGATGTTTGAGATGATAGTACTTACATTGACAGAACAGGAATTGCTGGTGAAGACAAGCACCATATCCATGCAAAAAATTGAAAATACCAATATACCATTAGCAAAGGCTCAAACTTATAACATACAAATTTATATAACGGAAACAGAAAATAAATGAAATAAAAGGCTGACAACTACCCAACATGAACAAACGAATAGGAAACAAAGCACAAATACACAACATATCCAGTTTCAGAACATTAAACAGATTGACACCATTGTGCATACATAAACTAAGAAATTGTAGGCTTGAAAAACTAAAGTCCTACGATCGTAATTTTTTTTCTCCCATTTCTTCCAATTCATTTGTAAGAAGACATTCATGGTTACAAACTTACAATTCCAAGATATCAGTCAGAAAACCCCTGGATCTTTGGGACACGAAATATCAGAAATGCAATATATAAAGGGGGTACTAGAGTAATAATGGACTGCGGTAATTGGCAAGTATATACTATAGTACAAGTGTGTTACAAATACTGTTAAAACATTAACCGTACCAATTGGAACGCGGTATACTCTAGATATGTGCAGAAATGGGCTATTTGCAATGCTGTGTTACATGATTCACAGGGCATATTGTCAGTTGGTGCTGCATGTTTGTTTCCAGAAAATCATATGAGTTAAAAGGTGCCAACCATGCTTTCTTTTGGAATCACGAGAAAATCAACCTTACAAAGGCATGAAATTTAAGTACAGGTTGCATAGGAAATAATAAGATTGGACAAGCAAGTCATACCCATAAGATTGAAAAGCCGGAACAGAGACAGCTCAAATTTAATCTTTGGGAGCGATACAAATGCCCAAGATACAGCTCCCACCCAAGGTTCTGTCGGTATAAGCCTTAGTTTAACCCACAATTCCCCATCGATATCGAAATCTCGAACCCAGACTGGCACAACGACAGGTACGGCACTAAACTTTAAGGAGAGGGCCAATGCCATGCGTGCACCACCAGTATAACGGAGGCCAATTTGGTACCTGAAATACAGGATGAGTTACTCGCTGCCTTTTGCTGGCCAACACTAAAACATGATATAGATACAATAACAATGTAGACAGCAGTGTTGCCGTTTGCTTTTTAAAAAAAATCAGGGCATCAACAATGACCAAGAAAGTAGAAATCAGAAACTAGAATGAACATATTTATACGGTAACAGATACATGCCCACCCATAGACTGTAGTAATAAGAAGTGAACTGCTGGAATAGTCATCCTAGTATTTTGTTTCATGGTGGTGCTAATCCTATGATAGATACCCAAAAAAGAGTAATACTCCATTTTGGTATGTGAATTACAGGCAAATGGCGACAAATATTCCTAAGACCAATGTCATCATGCTTTGCTTTCCAATTTCCTCACATGAGCAGTGCAATGGTAGTGGGGTTACCATACCGATTACCAATGTGTTATGTGCTTCTCAAGCACTAGTAGTAGTACTAGCTAGAACAACGTTTGGGACAAGCAATGTGAAGAATATTTCCATGTTTCTTGCTGCAACGGTAGCTCCCAACCGAATTGGGTATGGAAAAGAAAGAAGAGAGTAGTAGAAGAAGTGAGGACGTACTGGAGGTCGTTGGCCCGGCGTGAGGTGCGGCGCTCGACGTTCCTAACGGAGAGGGGCTCCTCGCCGAGGTAGAACTGCCTGATCTCGACGCGGTTGACGTAATCGGGCTTGTGGAGGTTGTCGATGACGGGCTGGAGCAAGCCGACGATCCAGTTCTCGATGCCAGGGCGGTAGACCTTCCAGAGCTTGCCGAGCACCATGTTGACCCACTCGACGGACTCCTTGCGCTGCAGGTCCTTCTCCTCGAGGAAGAGGGAGAAGCTGGAGGTGGGCACCTGCGGCCACGTGCCGTTGACCTTGACCTCGCGCTCGGCGCGGCGGCGCTTGCGCAGGGTCCAGAGCTTGTCGAAGGCGGCGCCGACGAAGAAGAAGAGGGCGAAAAGGCCGAGGACGGAGCGGTTGACGGGCGGCGCCGGGAGCGGGTGGATGACGCCCAGCTGGGTCCGGAGCTTGGAGACGAGGGGGTCCTCTCCCCCGGCGCCGCGGAAGGTTCCGGAAGCGAAGGTGGTGGAGGAGGTGGAGGTGGAGGTGGTCTCCGAGACGCCGGGGGTGTGGAGCGGGAGGTTGTTGGCGGAGAGGGGGGCCGGGCGCCTGGGCGGAAAGGCGGCGGTGGCGGTGGCTTTGGGGGTGGGCCATCGGCGGCGGCGGATAGGGAGGAGGGAGGGGAGGAAGCAGGAAGAGGTGCTAGCGGCGGCGAGGGAGGGCGGCGGCAGCGGAGTGCCGGCGGAGGGGGGAAGCATCGGGGTCCACCGACATCCGGCGGAGGCAGCGAGGATTGCGTCTCGTCTCGTCGTCGGAAGCAGAATTCAAGTTGAAATTGAGCAGAGCAGCAGGTCTCCTCGTGTAGCTAGCTGCAGCTGCGATGCGACGGAGGGGGAGGGGGAAGGGGAAGGGAGGGGCAGTCGATCAGCTCACCGTCACCGGCCACCACAGCCGTGCGTCGCCGCGTGTCGTGGCGACTCCCACCCCACCAGTTTCCTCCCTTGCCATTCCATCCGCGTCTCGCGCTGTTTCTCTCTCTCTCTCTCTTTTCTTCTTCCGATAAAATGAGCGAATTTTTTGTGTGTAGGTATATTTTTCTGGAAAAAAAAGTTCGATGAATCGAGTTTGAGTATCACATTTACGACGTCTCACAACTTAAATCGAGTGTAAATCTAATCCCTCGTCAAATTTAACTCGAGTGGTCTATTTTCCTCCCCTCCTCTCTCCCCATCTCTCTCAATCATTTTTCTCTCAACAAATATCCAAGACACGACTAAGCACATGAGGTGTTGGAGCGCCATCAGCACCTAGAGCTCCTGTCAGAGCTTCTACGACTCCTATTCGGCGATGGTTAGCCCGAGGTGCCCCCCGTTTCCTGTGAAAGCTCCCCAATCCCTGACCCCACGGTAGCTGCAAAAGGGAGGAGCAACATCCTTCTACTCTAGCCGTGATGGCCTGTCACTCCAACAGCAACTCAAGGACGGTGAGGCAGATGAGGAGGCTGTGGTGGCAAATGAGTGGGCAGCTCTGTCGAATCAGGCCTAATTGCCTGCCACATGAGCAGCGCGAGCAGCGCAGGTAAATCCGGATGATTTGCTTTGCTCGTCGCGGTTTATATCCAAGCCTGAGTGGGCAAGTGCCTTCCCTTGCCATGGACACATTGTCGTCAAGCATCTATGATTGTTCCTTCAAGATCCAGCTAATCGTCTCATCAGGGGCTCAATCGTCGACATGAGTGGCTTACTCGCTAGCTTCGTCTCCACCTCTCACCTTGACGATGGGAATCACGCCTACCATAGTTGCATAGGGCTTTACCCGTCCATGCTACATCTTGCTAATTTGTGTATCATTCCTATGTTGTTCCGATCAGGAAACACACTGGTAATTAATTATTTATTTATTGTCTCTGTTAGGTACTTAGGTATTGTATTAATTTGATGCCTAGCCGTGCTCAACCTCCACCTCTCTTAATGAGGCGCCACCGCTTGCGCTGCTGGGTGACACCATCAGTCGTCTCTATCGTGACCGCAATTGTGTTGAGGGGGAAGAGAGAGAGATAAGGAAGAGAGGAAAGAGAGAGGCGTCCCTGACGTGTGGACCTATGTAGGTCACACGCTGACTCACGCCATGTCAGTTGAAAATAGATGTAATACACTAATATTTACCTTGGTATTACAAGTTGAGAGATAGGTTATATTCGATATTACGGTTCAAATACAGTACGTGAAATGAACTTATTTCCTATTTTCCGTTGGGAGAATAGGCCCATCAGCCTAGTCCACAAAAATGAGACCCGATGCAATAGGCGAATTTTTTTTATTTATAATTTTTTTATTAAAAGTTTTACAAAAATAATTTTCCATTTTGAAAATTGACGGAAGTAGTCGCCTACCGCCCTCTGGGCGTGATTCACTGCAATATATGTGAACTCAATGAGATACATTATTCATTAGATGTGACAAGACGATCACGCGTGGGCGTGATTCACTTTATGTCAACAGGCAGCGCCGAAAGTTGATAGTGACAACTCGAGCTGCCGCTTTTCATGTGTGCTGTTGTGGACTGTGCGCGCTACTGGATCTGACACTACCGTGAAGCGCCGAAAGTGTGTTGTCGTGAGCATAAGTTGTTCTAGCACCATATGAATGAAAAGAACTATCTAGACGAGACAAACACAAGTAGTACTGCAGTAGTAATAGCAAAAGTAGTACTGCTTTACAAGTTTGTAAGCCAAAAGAAACGGTCACATAAGGACTGAAGAGGTAGAACACTACTGACGAGGCCTCTTACCCCTGTCCCTCCTACCCTGCGCCCTAATGTGCCCCTGGGAGTATGTGAGTCAGTCCGGGGGTACGGCACGGCCAACCCGTCCTGCCTGTACAGGTGTGACCTCTGGCTGCTCCTGAGTGTGCGCCTCTGGAGCTCCTCCAAGCTGAGAGGAGCCTAGTACGTCGTGGTGGTGTGCACCGTGCAAGTCGTCGTCGTAGAACTGGCTAGTAGGACCAGTCCTACCGGCGTGAGACGAAGAGGCCCCAGTACCGAAGACCCCGGCTGCAAATCCTGCTGGACAAGGACCATCAGTTTCATACAGGTATTTAATAGTATTAATAAAAAGTAAAGTACCGTGTGGGCGAGGGATCGACGCTCCGTGAGAGGAAGAGCTGGCGAACGCGCCCGAAGAGGTGGCGAACGCCCCTGCGGAGCTCGCGGAAGCGCCGGTCGTGCCTGCGAACGCGCTCGAAGGCAGACGAGGTCCTGCGATGAGGAAACGTGCCGTTAAAACATGGTGACATATTCGTGCAAAAGCTGAAACAAAAATGAACTAATCTCTGGGCTGAACTGTACCGTGCGAAACCGGTGCTGTAGGTCGCACTGCTCCAAAGCTAGGGGCGCTCGAAGGCAAACGAGGTCCTGCGAGGATGGAACATCAAGTTACGACGGGGTGATGTTTTCGTACAAAAACAGAAACAAAACTTAAGAAACCTCTGGGCTGAGCAGTACCGTGCGAAACAGGTACCGTAGGTCGAGGTCCTGCTCCGACGGTAGGCGCGCGAGGCCGTGGTTGTACCGGACCAGCTGGAGGTACGACGTCCACGGCGCTGCGACAGGAGAAGACGCGCATGACCGCACGCATCTTCTCCTGCATCCGGTCGAAGGTCACCCTCTGCTCAACGTCAGTCAAGTGCAAACCTCTGTTCAACCTCACTTGGACTGCGGTGATATCGGCACTGATATCCTGTGCGGCATCAGCCTATGCAAGATGGAAATAAAAAATTCAGTAGTTGTCCTATATTATGCAAGATAAATGAAATAATTGTAAGAACTAATACAAATTCGATGTACCCCCACGAAGTAGTCTCGGTCACGGTGCGTGGGATACGCGTCCGTCACAGCGGCAACGTGCGGCTCTGGGGCGTCTGGAGTGAAGGTCACACGCGCACGAGTGCGAGGAAGGTACCAGCGAAGGTAGTCACGGTAGTTCTCCTCCGTGTGTGGGAAGAGCTCGTTGATCACCTCCTCTGTAGCTAACACCCAGTCGTCAACGTACTGCTGTACACGTGGAGCCCAAAGTGCGCCTGCTAGCTGTCCCCGTCGAGTCAACCTGTGAAGAGAGGTAAATTATATGGCTCGATGAAGTAATTATCATAAAAATTTAGAAATGAACAATCCGAACTCACGAGTGGTCGGCAGGGAGGACGGTCGGCTGCACGTTGCCCGGAAACACCTGCCTAAGTCCGAACTGTCTCATCACACGCTGCGGGCAGTGAGGCTCAACGAAAATGTCGAACACCATCGGCAGGATGGTGAGCCAATAAGCCCGGTCGCGTGTGCACAACGACGAAAGTCCTAGCGGTGCTCTCGCAGCGACGGCCTCTTCTGTGTACGGCTCCCAGATGACGTCGCTCGGCTGGAGACGGTCAAACTCGAACACGAAGTCCGGGTAACCTCGTCTCACCTGGACGTGAGCGTAACGACGCTGCAATAAACATGATCGGAATTAGACATGTTATGTGAAGAAAAAAAAGAAGACGACTGATAAACTTATAACGCAGCGAAGTTGCACTAACCCCACGTCGACACCAGTAAGTCCCCATCGTGGGACCGTCCTCTGGCCACTGCGCGCTGCGACCAACCCCGTAGGGTGCGCTGTCCACCACTGGTCGACCTATGGCAAACCTCTCGGCTGCCCAAAGCTGAAGCAACATAGGGCAGCCAGCGATGATCGCTCCCGCGTCAGTCTTCGTGCACGCCTCACAGAGGGCACGGTACGTGGCTGCTAGCACGGCAGAACCCCAGCTCCACTGCGGCACGTCCTGTGGCTAAGCATCCGCAATGGACCGTGCGTAGTGGACCAGCCGGAAGTCCACAGCGTGCCCGTGGGTGCTAGTGAACATCACCCACCCGAACAACCACATTAGGTACGCCTCAAGGGAGCGTCGGACCGAGTAATCATCAGCGTCAGGGTGCAGAAGGTCCGCCTACAATTAAGAATGAAATTTTAGTACAAAACACTCATCCGGTCGCAAATAAGCATGTATGATAATAACAACTTATTTACTTACAGTGAACTGGAGCAACCAAGCCTTGCTAGGCCCGACTGTAGAGTACGGAGGAAGGGTGTTGGCCGGTCCTAGGTGTGGAAGGCGCATCACCTGCTCGAAGCGCGCAGTGATATCCTCCTTCCACCCAAAAACACCGTCCACGGGACCAACTGGTGCTCCCGCCAGCGGTAGCCCGAGCAGGTACGACACGTCCTGCAGTGTCAGAGCCATCTCCCCACAGGGAAGGTGGAACGTGTGCGTCTCAGGTCTCCAGCGGTCTACAAGAGCGGCAAGGAGTGACCGGTCTGCATCCCACCGCTTCGCTGGGTCACGGTCGTCCGCCGCCGCCTCAACAAGCCTACAAAGTGGTAGAAGGCCTGCCGCACGCAACCTGTATAGAGCAAACTTCAAACATAACTACGACACAAAGCAAAGTTGAGTTGAAATGTGAACATACGCGTACCAAGGAACGTGACGGGGGTCGACACGCAACCACTCGCGCGACGTGCGTGGACGGAAGGTGCCGAGCTGTGCACCCTCGACTGCTGACAGGAACGAGCGGTGGTTCCTGTCAATCCCACGGTTCAACAGCGCCGGTGTGTCGTACGCCATACCTGCATTAAATAGGTTGATCAGAAACATATAAATAATTAGTTCAACATAAGTAATAAATGTTCATAAGCGAATTACTAACACATATTAAACAAGAGTACAAACAAACAAAAGTGTTTAGTCCGAACACTCATCACGATAACATTATGATACAACACCGAATAGTTCGCAATACTACTAGTACAACAATAGTCGGAGGTACTCATTACAACAACATTGAATTGAAATTACACGATAGAAGTATTTAGTCCGAACACTCATTACATCACAACAGCATTTTATTTCCTAAATCGAAAGCATTGTTACACCATGGAATCGCCTGCTGCGCGACGACGCCTTGGCCTTGCGCGCCTGCTTGTTGTTCCTTCACCAGGTGGTCGCCTACCATCACTTGCCTGTCCAGATGGACTAGCATCTGCGCCGCTTGGAACTTCTGCATTCTTCGGGCATTTCTTGTAAGTATGGCCGCGCAGATCACACTTGCTGCAGCGTAAAGTCCTCCCACCTGCTTCTGACTCATCCATATCATTTCTGATGCGTCTAGTTTGGCGTCGACCCTTTTTCACCCTTAACTTAGATGGATCTGGAATATAAAAAACTTGGGCACTCAGCGTTGTGTAAGATCCTGAGATCCCGAACCCATATATCTCCTCACTCCATGTATGAAAGATTGCTTCTTTCCTGAAATAATTTGAGACGTACACATTGGGAGATATGCCACAATCACCGGCAGCAGCAAGAACGTGTGAGCAAGGAAGGTGATGAAGCTTCGGCTTCATACAACTGCAGGTACATCCACCATCCGCCTTCAAGACACATTCCTGCACGGCTTGCTTGCGATAGATACCACGCCTGCTCCTAT